TAATTTCTGCTTTTTTATGCGACTTTTATTTAAACTAGACAAATAATCGAGATGACCTCGAACAAGAATTTCTTGATTTTCCATCTCAATTTCGATAATTTTCCAAAAGTAATTTCTTTATAGATTGCTATAAGATTTTAAAGACATTTTGAGTGTCCTTTGAAATTTTTGATAGATCTTAATGAATGAATTTATTAAAATATGTAACAATGACTCGAAAATTGTTCTTGTGATAAAACATTAAGATTAGCTTTGTTGATTTCAGTTTATTATTTTACAAGCCTTTGATGTAACAACAGATGTTTCAAATAAAAGGTAAAATAAGGTTTGTGTTGTTTCTATTTATTTCTACAAATTTTAACGGGTAGACAACCAATATTGACTAATAAATTTTTAAGTTGATGACTATTTGATAAAAGCATTTGGGCATTTGGTAGACAAAGATTTAAATTGAATTTAACATTCTGGTTCAACGCTGTAATTTTCTACGTAAAACTCAAGAAGTTTTCTAATTACAAATGGTTGATTTTCACTGAAAAATGTTGGAAGCACGTCGCCTATTTCCTTGCTAATGATTTCATCATATTCGTCATAATATGCCATTCCTCTAAACTCACAGGAAACTGCTCCAAATAGGAAAGAATCGAACGAAAGTATAGCTCGGTCGCCTTGGAAATTTACCGTTGTTCGTACTGTTAAATCTAAATGATTGAAACAATTTTATCGCTTGAAACTTCACTTCATATTAAAATGTGAAAATTCACCTGTTATGTTTGCAGTCACCGTATCCATATCTTCCCATGCATGTGACTCGAACTCATAATCTTCCCAATCAGCCAGATATGTCCCAGAATAGAATCCGTGCATACGGTGAAGTCCGTTTACCTGTACAAACGGAGAGCTAAGCTGGAAACTTATGCGATCTGCACCAAAAGCGAAATCGCTGATGATGTAAGTGTTGAGACCTTCAATCGTCAAATCAACAAACAAAACATTTAAACTAGAGAAACATTATTTTTAATATGAATTATTGTGATCGAACTTCCAGAAACACTCACTATTTCGCTACAATGACATCAGGAATATAAATCGAATAGTTAACATTCAGAGGATCCCATCGAGATTGTTGACATTGAGGGGGACTCGTCAATCTTGAGAAAATTATGTCAAAATCTTCTCTTGAAATTGATGCCTGCATCTCAGCATCTAAAGCTGAAATTGAATGTAATTCATGAGAATTTTTATAATAAGCGCAGAATAAAACATAATTGAATGAATAATTGCGTACCAAAACCACCAGCAAACAGCAAAGCTGCCGAAATTATCAAAAATGTTTTCTTCATCATTTGACTTTCCGTTCTAGTATGGAGTATAATGTTCTGCTCATCCTAATTTTTTGTCTTTTATACTTGCAAAATCAGCCAGAATTTCGTCACAACAATGTCAAGTTATAACTGCCTTAATCAAGTTGAGCAAATATTGTCCCATAAGACAGCTTTTTCGTGGAAAAACTTGTTGTCTTTTATCACTAGGACATATTTAAAGCTTTTCTTCTGAATGAAATAAATAAACAAAAATAATTTAAAATTGTTTGTTTTTTCTTCTTTGTTAATATTTATTTCTTAATTCGTACATATCTAGATAAGAGTTGAGCGCTTCTTCCTTTTTAACTTTTTACTTGTTAATTCATTCATTTGGCGTATTATTTTACATCTTTTATACTTTAAAGAAGAAGCTAAAGTCATAACAACGTCCATTGATGTATCCCGCCAGGGTTCTGATATTCAAAATTGTGAATTATTTTTTATTCGGTGCGGACAATGATCAAATTTGTTCGACATGTCTCTGTAGATATTCATTTCAAGTTTTGCATTCTTTAAGCATCAATTATTTCATTAATAATTTATGTCAACTCTAGAGTCCTTAACGTCTCTCCAATGAATGTTGATGAAATCACATTAAGATTGTCATTAAAATTTGATTTATTTTACGAACATTTTTAACACCTTTCGCATATTTTTCAGGATTATTTCATGACTAATTTACATTTCCTCATAAAATGAGATTTATTCATCTCATTATCAGCAAAACTAATCTACTTAACATATCAATAAAATAAATCTTACTTGGCATAGAGAAATTAAATTAAATGAAAACAGTTAAGTTTAGCTAAATAAAAACCACCAAAGTTTTATTCAAATAAATTTCAATTACATAGCAAAATGATTGACAGCTACAACGGGCTACTGTTTATCTGCAGTATTCACTGTTGATCGCTTTCGCGACTTCCTAGACGAGGTTGTTAACAAAATCAGAGAAGAATCTAATAATTTGCGCATTCACGAAGCTTTGATTTTCGGCAATGAATTGCGGAGCTCCAGCCGAGATTACAGCGTTGATTTGTTGTTCCATTGAAGCAGGTCCAAGTCCGGTGAAAGATGCAGAAACTGATCCCACCGAAATTGCTTCATTGTTGATAATTAATCGTGGTCTTGGGGAGAAAACAACTTGGAATGATGGGCGAATTTCCACATCTAAACAAGTTATTAAAATTATTAACTAATATTCTGCACTTTCATTTATTTCAACTGTTTTACCTCTCACGACAATATTGAAGTCTCCGGAAGTGGTGAATGGAGCTCCACTGTACAATCCACTCATTTGTTGCTGACCTCTGATTGTCAATTCGGGATATTTAACACTGAAACTCACTCTTCCTCGAAAGATGTCGGCATTGACGTTACTTACGACGTAGTTACTCAGACCGGTGCCTTCAACATTTGTGAATTTTCCATCAACACTGAACGGAATAAAATTTCATTCTAATCTCGATCACTTTAAATTTCAAAGCATCCAAAAACTTACTTTTGTGCAATTTGGACGTCAGGAATGAAAAGCGAAAATTGGTCAACATTCAAAGGATCCCATGGCGATCCACCGAGACCTTCGGAGCGATTTGGTGAAAGTGCTCGTTTGAAAATGAAGCTGATGATTTTATTAAGATTAACAGATTGTTGAGCTTGAGTGCTTGCTGCTGCATTGTTAAATTAGAAAGAAACTTTAAGAATATTTCTTGCAATTTAGTGAATAATTTCATAATTTACCAAGACAACTTGCGACGAGTAAAAGTGCTAATGCAAACTTCATCTTTAGATATTTTGATATTTAGTTCCGAACTCAAAGTTAAACTGATACCATTAGTGGAATTCATTGCCATTTAAATACTTGGGAGGCTGTAGCAGATTTTTCATTGTCATGGTGTCTATTTGCAACTCTTTTTGCGATAAGTCGTTGATGATAAGATATGAAGTAAATATTTTGTTTAATATCCTGGTCCTAAGGTTTGCTGTGACGTCTTTTGTTATATAAAATGGGTCATAAAGCAATGACGATATTACCACGTGAACTTATCAGACAAAAAAATCCCCTTCAGTCCCACACATCTTGAGATAAAGTCGACAATAAAATTCAAAGTAATTAAATAGTCAGACAATTTTCTAGAAAATTCAGATAACATTAAATGATCTGGTGTCAACAACTGATACCAAATATGGTTGACTTTATTGTCATCATGATTATGCATCATAATTATCTTTAATCATGACATTATTTTCAAACAAATCATAAATCTCAATAAATTAACTTAAACCTTCTTTAAACCTTTTCATGTTCCATTAAACTTGCGACCTTTTCTACATTCAACTAAAGTTACAACATAAAAACATGTTCTTGAAACATATTTAACATAAATATTCTTCTTATATTTCTCAACTGTTTATTGTGGACATCATCTCTGATAGAGTCTAAATAATTTTTAATTGGCCATCGAAACGTCAATTTGATTATGTTTAAAATGAATTTCATTTTGTTACTTCTGCTACCGTTGTTCTTGTCAGACATGTGTGCCGTTTAAACGTGAAATTTTCGACGTGAATCTATCTCCAATTGACGTGAAATGTGATTGACTTTGCTATCGAACTAAAAGTAGACTACGTGACATCAAGTAAACTAGAACTAATAGATCGAAGCAGCTAATTGAATTTAGAAGTTTAAGCTTTTCTTTCCCTTACGAACAATTCAAATCGTTGTAGATAATCGTGAGAATTTTATTATGGCAAAAAAATGGTCATGTCATTGTATTGAATAACTAATGAATTCGATTAAATTCTTTATCACGGTTCTCAACTCTGAACCGTTCGTTCGATGTCGATAATAAAGACATAAATTTTCTTGTGTTGATAAAGTGCTAAAGTTCTTCTTCCCTTTCTAAGTTTCGATTGCCAAGAGAGAAATGAATAATGCATAAACTGTGAGATATGACTTTATGCAGTTGTACTGAGCAGTGGTGGCTTTTCTCATAGCACTTGAAGCATGTTTATGGTAAATCTGCTGCACTGATGATTCATTGATCGTACGGAATCAAGTTTTCTTCCATTTCGGATGTAAGAAGGAAAAATGCGATTTAATTCTTTAGGCATAATTCGCTAATTCCATTTATAGTAGAGAAAGTTGCGTTGTTTGAAACAGCGAGATAATCTGATGATATTTTCAAAATGATTAAAAATATAATGGAAGGAGAAATAAAAACGCAATTTTTAATTTCTCGTTTGTTCAACGGAGAAGAATCAATCGAGGAAGAACATGATCGTCGAAAGATCTTTATGGAATGCAAGCATAATTCATTCAACAAACAAGTGGCCTCAAATGCATCCAGCATCATAAATGAAACAAACGACTTCATAGAGAGAAAAGATTTCCACTGTCGGCGGTCCCGGTCTTGAAACTCTTGAAATGAGAAAAAAAATTCCGAAATCGTGGTTTTGTCTTGATTTATATTCTGCACTTGTTTATGCATTTTCATGAGTGAGAAATTGGTTCGATTTGAATTTACTTTATGTGAACTTGGCTCATGTGCATATCAAAATGATAAATTATAGTGGCAGAAGAGAATGGAATGGTCATTAGAATGGGAACCTGTTAACCTTTCCGCAAGCGCACCAAATCAATCAAAAACTGTCCCGATTTACATATAATAAATAATTCGTTGAATTATCTTCGCCAGCATTCTCGATGTCTTGGAGTTTCAATGCATGTTGTGATGAACTTCAGTTAATTATTTTAATTCTGGTTTGCTTTCACACCCGGAAAGAATGATTTCACAAAAATATGGTTTGTTGCATTGTTTTCAGCCTGCAAATATGAACCGAACAAACCTTAAATGACACAGAATGCAGAAATTACACAATTATAGGACGACGTGAGTAAAGATCGATTTTAATTGGGCTGTAAATGCACGGCGCGAGAAAAACTGTTAACATTCGGACACGATATGGAATGCGAAAATTTCTTTTGGCGAAATGAATGTTAATTAATCCATGGCTGGAAGTATAACAAAGGCGTGATATTTTTAGCAAAAGAAAGTTATTCGTTTCGGCATATAACGAGAATGAAAAAGTTTTACTGTTCTTGTTATGTGACAGAAGACAAGCAATGTCAATTAAATGAATTGTATTTGGATTAAACTGAAGGCAATTGTATCAAAGTATCTCAGTTTTTTTTACATTTTTTGCTTTCTAAATTTATGTTTCTTATAACTCAGAAGTCAAAGTCAGTTCACTTCATAAATGGAATAAATTCAATGAAAAATCTTTCTCGATTTTCATCATCAAAACGAAGTGTTTTGTTTAATTGAATCGCATCTCGTTCACCATTTCCTGGTTAAATTTTCGTGAAATACTCTGCCTTCTTATCTCATCTCCTAAATCAGCAAACTGACTTGAGCTTATGCATGTAACATTGAAGAGTGCCAACAGTAAATTAATTTTTATGACTTCAACGGCATGGAACGATTCTTTTTCGTGAAGAAATTTCCATTCATTTACCTTTGCATTTGGGTCAAGAATGTTTCTTTTTTACTTTTTTTGGGGACGAGATCTATTGAATTTATTTTCTTTATCGTTCAATATCAAAAGAAATAAATTTAATACTCGTCTTTTAAATTGAATTGTTGAACTTTTCAATTTTAGTAATGAAAACAGCGATGAAAGTTTCTCTTTCAGTGAAGTTGTAACACGTGATTTGCTATCAATGAATGTTAAGTGATTTATATGCGTAGAGTTTTATGTAATATTAAGTGAAGATAATTCACGGAAATTACTTTTCGCCATAAACAACAGTTGAGTTTAAAGAAATACGTACATGATTGCCTTTTAATCGTAATGATAGTTTAATTAAGAAATATTTGCACAAGCTCTGAATAGTCTTAATTATAATTTCACAAGAAATAATCTTCACAAACCAAATCTTCAGCAAATAAACGGCAGTAAATTCCAGTAAAATTTTCGATCTGGATAATTAAGTAACAATGCGGCTTCTTCTTAAGAACTTTTGTGCGAATTTATCGTCATGATTTTTAATAGCGTAAAATAAAACTTAGATCAAACTAGAACAAAATTAATTTTTCAGCTATTCATCTTTATGAATAAATCTTGTAATTGCTTCCGTTATTACCTTGATAATTATCATAACTCAATTCACCTGGTGCTGCGTACATATGTAATGAAAGCTTTAAATTTGCCAAAACTTATCTTTAGCGGGATCATTCTGCCAAAAAATTATTATACACAAATGATCTACTTGTCCATACCTCATCTCGCCACATTCATCATTTTATTGTTATTATTCACAACCAAGCACAGCCAGAGAAGAATGAATAAGAAGATAGAAAACAGTTTCTTTGACTCTCTTGCTCTCTTTTAAGTTTTTCATTGCATAACATCAAGCATGAAGCATAAGATTGAATGAAAAGCGAGAGAATGAGTTGAATCTCTTCAAGGTTGAACACAATGCACGTGAGAAAGTTGGAGAAGAATTTTTCCAAGAATTTTCCTCATTTTATCCACCAACACATGAGATTGAATGGAAGAATAAATACTAAAGTTAAAGAAGCGAAAGAATAGAATGATTCAACAAGTTATATCGTTAAGATTCTTTCACTTTATTTTCAACTTATAGCGATGAATTTCAGTGAATGGAGCAAGCAGCAGTATTGAAAACCATCGTCTCAAATTACGACAATAATATTCGAAAAGGAAAATTCCACGAATGCTTTTCATTTGCGAGACATAGTTTCTGCTTTTTAATGCGACTTTTATTTAAACTAGACAAATAATCGAGATGACCCCGAACAAGAATTTCTTGATTTTCCATCTCTTCATCACATCGTTGAAAGCGGAAGAAAATAAAAGTAAAATTTCTCTAAAGATTGAGAATATTAAATGAGACTTCAAATGACTGGAAAATATGAAAAACTTTCTAATTTGATAACATAAAATTGCAACTTTTATACATTTTTTTCTCACAAAGCACCCGAGAGCAGCTTCTTGCAAATGCTGAACTCAATATGTTATTTCCAATGCAAACAATGGCAATATAAACGACTCTTCTCGTGAAGATGCTGTCATGATAATAATAATGTACCCTCGAGAGAGAATCTTTACTTTCTATACCGAATATTTACTTTCGATCCTATGGAAAAATTTAGAAAGAGTGAAGAATGAAAATAGCACACGAATTCTCATATCGATACATTGCAAGCCCAGCAGATGTAGTTGGAAGTTGGAGAAAAACTTCACAATCGTGTCTATAATTTCCTTTTACTTACATGAAATTGAAAACCAACAAAAAAAAGTTAAAAGCCAATGCATTTGATAATCAGGTCAAAGTCATGTTTTTATTTTTCTCTCGCATGATCATCATCAAAATTGTTTGAATTTTTTTTTCTAATAGAAATAAATTGAAAATGAAAATTTGCGTTTCACTTCCACTGCTATTTAAGTGAATGTTTTGACCTTTCAGAAGAAAAAAGCAATCGTTAAAGTGATGTCTTTCCTTCCAAATACGATAAAAGACTTTAAATGATGTTTTGAAACATTTAACTAAGTAAACGTCTCCGTTTCTTTTCTTTCTTTATTCCAAAAATAAATATTTGTCTTCACACACAAAAGACTATGAAATTTGGTTAAAAGACAACTCAAAATTCTATAAAACTCTGCGTTAACTTGCGTGATGCAACAAAAGAAAGTTCTCTTATAATTCCTCAAGTTAAAAGCCTCAGGTCATGCATTGAAATGCGAGATAATTATGGCAATAGGTCAGAGCCATAAAAGTCATATTAAAAAGTTATTGTGATTCATAAAAATGATACGGAAAGCAAAAATAAAAATCACCCACGTGGATCAGTTTGAGAATTATTGCTGCTTGATGAATGGCATTGTGCGTGGAAAAATTCATTCAAAAACATAAAACAAGAAGAATTTCTAAACTTGTTGATTCTTCTATTGTTGAAATGATATTCATATCACGTTTAATCGTTACCTTAACAATGACTGTCAGTTATTGGATATCTCTTTTTTATGTTTGTTTTACGACAATTTGATTGTTAATGAGACAAATAAGTTTAATTTGTTTAAAACCTGTTTCCTGACTAGCTTTTTCAGGTCTAGTCTAAAATTTTCTCTCATCATCATCAATTTTATTTATTGGATGAAAAGGAATTTCAAGTAAAACTAAAAGTCAAGGCTATAAATAACAAAAGATATCTTAGATGGAGACATAAATTATAAAAAAATGTTTGCGAAAGCTTCTGGTGTTTGTTTCATCGTCAGCACAACTTTATATTAAATTTAATCTGTTTTATTAATTGACGCGACGATGCTGAAGGTGTAATGTTTATAAGAACAAGTTCTTGTTCTACTGTTAATTGTATGAAATAAAGTATGAAATAAAAATAAAGCATACACTTAGATAACATCAATGCAATTGAAACGGTGAACAGAAAAAAAGGAATGCACATTAAAGTGTGAATCACAAAGCAACCTGACTGTCTTAATAATCTTTTCTATTTAACTAATACTTGAAGTTTCAACAATTTTCATATAAAGAAATCAAAAGTGCACTCAATCACTGCCTGTCCACTGTCCGATTAACAGTCAAGCGCGAAACAAGGCTAATACAAAAATATTTCAAATTTAAATCTTATCGCCATTGTTTGCAAATGTGCACCTTTTGAACGTTCAAACAGCACTTTCAACTGTAATTTCACATGCATACGTACACACTTTTCGTTGCACTGTTCCACTGATCCATTTTTTCGATGATCAACAAGCGGCATTTTTCTTTTTTTTTTGCATTCGCTCAAAATGCTTTATGCTGGAAAACGCGTTCTGGAAAAACCTGAATGGCTAAACTAGGTTATGCTAACTAACAATCATGAGCCTCTCTTTCACTATATTGTTTACAAATTATCGTAATTATTACGGCTAATAACGTCTTCTCTCTTTTTTTTTCTCTTCAACTCAGCATTCCACCAAGCGGCAATATTTATGCGTTTCTTCACGCTCTTATCCCGAAATATATTAAAAAATATATAAAAAGCAATTGAGAAGAATGAAGAAAATGGAGCGGGCGTCACGCCGAAAGTCTTATGATCATCAGAAGATTTAAATATTTGGGTTACCGAGCGAATATAAGTTTGACACTTAAAAGTGATTTTGACTGCTCAACTCCAGAAAAGGTTAATTTCACGCATTACGCCATTTCATCGACGGCAAGTTTGATTCACTTTACATACTCTTACTTCTTTTTTGTTCACTTTTCTATTATTATTATTTTGTGTAACAAGCATTTAATAATTTCATTGTTCTTTGGGACGAGTTTACCTACCAGCGATGGAATGTTTTTCAAGACACAAGTGGAATGTGACGTTGCCTTAAAGCTTCGTTGCTTTGTTTGTTCTTCTTTAGGGATCAGTAAACAAATTAGGTAATAAAATAAATGCCAATAAAAGCGTTGAACAAGAAAATCACGCATTATCGTCATACACAAAGTTTTCCATAAACTTCACACGCAAATTTCCAACTTCCATTTATGTTGCTTGAAACCTCATTAAAATGCATTTTTCGCTACTTCAAGATAAATTCTTATTTACCTCACTAGATTTCAGATTAATTCTATGTAACATAGAGAATATTCTTTATTTTGCTTTTAACAAACGTTAATGTTTTCAGTTATTCTATCTTGATTCTGGAATAATGTGAAAATAGCAAAAAAAAAAATTGAAAGTTTCAAAAGTGAAAATAAAATTGCTGTGTTGCGTGACAATTGAGATGATAAAGCGGGGTTGAGATATGAGTTGAATAGCAAGTTCCTTGAAATTATTCCAAAGCTTCTAATCTAAGTTCATTCACTTTTGGATTGTTAAAAGCAAAAATAAATAATCATCGGTTTGTCAAGAAGGTTCTCAGCAAGAATCAAACTCAAAATCATCCAATCAATCTATCGACGCGATTCCGTTATGACAAATCAGTCAAGCTTGCTATTCTAACACATCAAAAATGATGCCTTGATTTTCGTCTAGAATCATCAATTAACAGCTCAGATGAAGCTCTTTTTGAGTAGCGCGAATGATCTCCTATGGTTCTATCTGAGTCAAGCAACGAGAATTTTACCAACGACGTGTCATTAAGAAATTACTAACGGACTTTTTTTTTTGAGAAAGCTCAATTCAGTTTGCTTCCGTAATCGGAGAATCGCAATCGGAAAGAAATAATTGCTCATTACGGGATATAATTATATCGAAAATATTTCTCTTTTTTTTTTGGTTCTACTTCACTCGATTCGATCCGATTGGATGTATCTTTATGCTTTCATGAAGCTACTGAAATTAATTCTGTTGTAAAATTTTATGACAATAACTGCTGCCAGAATCAATGAAGTTTATTGATTGCTTGCAACGGGAAAACCTTTTTACATTTTTCTTTCTTCTTAAACTTAAATAAAGAGAACATTGAATTAATATTTGAGCATACATGAAACCACCTTCAAAACATTGTAGCCTCAAAGAAATAGCTTCAAGTAAAAGTGCTTTTGATCATTGCAAATAATAAATTTCCCAGCCTAAAACATGCTTCAGTCAGTGGGTTAGGAGAATGGAAAATTGAATTTGTCTGCTATTAAATCTACAATTGTTGACTATTTTTCTTCCTTCTTTCATCACAACAATTCAGTATCTGCAATAAAAGAGTTGCCTACGATTAAATCAAATGGCAAAATGCTGACATTTTAATGGGTCAAAGTAATTCTCAGCTACTCGTCGTCGTCATCATCGTCATTGCTGTTTTCTCAGTTTATGTTGAAACTGGTATGAAAAGAAAATTTATCCATCTTGTATGATCAAATCACAAGAAGTGAAAAGATGTTATTGAAATGTAAGACCAGAGGAAGAGAGAAAGAAATGGGACAAAGATGTTCTTGTCGCTCACGTCATCTTCATTTGGAGGGGAAAACGATTTATTTGCATTTCGTGTTGATGTTATTTCGTTTGATGTAAAATATTGATGACGGTTAGAAAGTCTGCAGCATTTTGTATGTTGTTGCAGATCAGTAAGAGAAGAAAGGTCATCACTTCTTTCTACACCTTTCCACAAGATTAAATTTAATTTTCTTTAATAATTGAAATGAAAACCTTTTGATTTCTTTTTATGCCTCCGCTTTCAATTCGCGCTTCAATATTCTCGGAAATTAATCGTTATGCAAAACTGAACTCGCGTGCTTTAAGCATTAACGTTTACATAAATTCTTATGGAATAAAAAAAAAATTAAACAAGACTATAATTTTAAGATTCTAATTGACATTTAATTCTCGTGCGCGAGAAATAGTGCAGCAGATACTTAATTTAAATCTTTTTATTCTCTTTCATACACTGTGCTTTCTTATTCTTGATTTTGTAATGCGAACAAGGCTGATACTTTACATGATAATGATAATTAGTGGTACACAGTTATTTCAAGAATCTTAAATGTCTTTAAATGCCTCTTGCGTAACACAAAAAGCATTTATTGTTGAGTTTGGTACATGATGTAACACAATTTTCTTTCTCTTCTAATGAATGTTTACTTTCCGCTCTTTTTGATTTACATACCAAAAAAAAATAGAAAATAAAACACTTTATGCTTTGAATGAAAGTGAAACTCGTTTGGAGTTCTTTAACTTGACAAAGAAATTGAATAAATAAGAAATGAAAAATAAGAATAAAGTCGGGGAATGTTTTGAATGCTAATTAAATTAGACTGCTAAGAACTTCTTATGTTTATTGATATACTGTAGCAACACAAATTGACCACATTTTGCTGAGTCATTTTGAGACTTTTCTTTTTCCAACACTCGTTGAGATTGTCAAGAATCAATAATACTGAATAATGAATTCAAAAAAACATGATGAATGGAAGGAAAAGAAGGCATAACCGATTGGATTGTCAACAGTATGTTTGATCAACTGTTAATTTTGACCGAGATCATTTCATTGATAAAATTAAAACTTATTATAATTTTTTTCTTCCTTCATTAACTCGGCTATCTTTATTGAATAGATTAAGCTAATAATAATCTGTAATTAATGTCAGATCCGTCTTGTCTTTCAGAATCTTATAAAGAAGTAAAAAAAAGCTAGCGGTTAACCATTGAAAAAAAAAGGCTTTTGCTCGCTATTTTTCATGATACTTCTTAGTGCGACAATATTTTGATGTTTAAACATGACATTACATTGTTAAACAATAGTCCAATTAAATGTTTTATATCGTGGTGGCATCTCGTTTCTCATAATTTGATATCTCCTTTAGTATTAAAGATCATTTTATATTTTAATTCATAAAATATCCCATTCCGTTATCTCTCGGTGGTTTCGACTGAATTTTTACACCTTTTTATTCATCTCTTGTTCATTCTTGAACGGTAAAAAGAAGTAACCGAAGTGACTTGAGCATTGAAATCATTTTAGATTGGGTGAAATGTCTTCATTTCATATTCTTTGCTATTTTCTCTATTTTGGTGTGAAATTCCATACTCTTGGTGAGTCGCTCGATACTTGGCGAGTTTCGTTTGATTTGATATTCTACGAAGCATTTCTTCACACAACGTGAAGTCAAGAACTTACGGTGCAATGGTGAGCACAGCACAGATTTTCCACTTGAGTGGTTGTGATGGTAGGAAAATAAATAGTAACAAGATTTGTTTACCCGTTGAGCTGTTGACCAGTCCGCCTTCTTCTTCTCCATCTTCATCTTTTCATTTCTCACTCAATGTTCAACAAAGTTGAAAAGATATTTATGCAATTTCTATTGTTCTTCTTATTCAATTTTTTTACTAATCACAGTTGATCATAATGAATCCATTATAACAGTTCACTGTTCAGTTTCTATGAAACCTATTATCACAGCAATCGTAAGTATTTCGGGAATTCTTACATTATTCGCACATTAATTCTGCACAATTTTCTTCTCACCATATTCAGATTATATTCTATTCAAGGATTGATTATAGATAATCTCCATCTCATTGCATAATTTCAACAACGGTGGATTGTTTCAAGTTGATAAAAAAAAGAAAGATTCTTTCACCAAGTCTTGATTCTAGTGTATTAGCAGTTACCCGATGTTCTCGAAAGATATGTTCCGACGACCGCAGTTATTTATATTACGAATTGATTTTTTTCTAACATTTTTTTCACCTGACCGAGATTTCCTGTACACAAATATTACGTGATTATTTAATAAGCTTCCATATTTAAAGCAATGATGATCATCTAATCAACTTATTGAGCATTTCATCGATTAAATGATCGAGTTAAAGGTAATGATTAAATAATAAAGTATATAATTATTCAAACAAATTCATTATAAAATAAACATAATTAGAATAAGCGAGGAGGAAAGAAGGAAAAAAAAAACTTGTACTCGCGAGCCGAGTGTTTAGAACAGTATTTTAACAGTTATCTGATGCTTCTTACATATTCATCAACACTCATAACCATAAGAAATATACTAATTAGATTAACCACTATGCAGTGCAATATGCAATACTTGCATTGAATAGTTGTTGATTATATCGTGGGACCGATCAACACCTCGATGAACGGTCTTCTTCAACTGATTGTCTAGAACAAAGAATGAGACAATAAAAAAATGTTCATGTCGCATTGTAAAAGCCTTAATTACAAAGAAATCATCACCGGTCTTTGTGTATCTCGTTAAGAATTAAATAATTATTGTTCTCTGAAGGTCGGTGACAGAAAATGTCGTTTTAAGAGTTTTCCATCCGAATAAAAATATGAAATTTGCAAAAATAAAATTCGGCATGAGAAAATGTTTCGCAATTCAATCTCAATACAAAAATCTTGCAAAAAAATAAATAATCTTCACTATTATTTAGTCGTAACAGCAATTAAAAGATGTAAATGGTAAGATCTTAAACACCTAGCAATTGTATAAATTTCTTTCCGCAAATGAATTTTTAATTGAAGTTGATTGGAACATTCTTTTGTCTTGAGTCACAACGGATTTCAGCGCTGTTAAACATGGAATAAAATAAATTAACGTGGGTGTATAACTTAATAAAATATAAAACATATATCCAATCTTTTATTTAAAACATGAAATATTCTAAAGAAGTTTAAGATCAACAAGTTCCTTCACAATGAAATGCTTTAGATGCAATCAACGACGATCTTTCGACATGTGACTTCATTTTCTGACTGGAGATCGTTTTTCAATAGAATAATACATTCTAGCAGTTCCAACAATCAAGCTAATTTACATCTTTCAAGCTTGCTAATCAAGAACATGTTCGAAGTGATACAACTGATTGAGTTTCGTTGATATGACCGAAAAGTATTTAAACTATTTTCAACTGCAGCCTGCATTGTGTTCTGAAAACAGAGAAGGAGAAAAAAAATATCGAAGGAAAGGAGAATAAAGTTTGATGTTCGATGATATCAGATAAAGAAAGAAGAAAAAAAAACATGACTTTGTCATTAAATTTCATATGAATATAGAAGTCCGTTGCATGCACAAAAGGCAAACAAGAAGACGAAAACAAAATATGCAGAAGAATAGAAACGGTTTAGAAAACGACATTATTGGCAATTTAGAGATTGATCTCAATATTCACTTTTGTTCTGTTTTCTATTTCGAAAAGTGTTCACTTCTCTCGTCGTCGTCGTTCCTTTCCGTGATCTGAGCTAAAAGAAAAAAAATTAAATATAAGAAAGAGTCTTTGTGCCTTCCAACTTCAACAACAGAACAAAAGTGTTTGCTTAACAAAAAGAAAAGACGAGTATCGAAGTAAAAAAACTGAAAAGGTTTTTCTGGTTTCATTTCTTGTGTACTTTTCGGTTCAAAGATTTAAGGTCTTAAGCAGTTTAAACATATTTCGCCTTTAAGATGCTGATAATTTCTTTTTCTTTATACATTTTTAAACTGCAGCTTGAGGTTGTGCTGGTAATTGAAGATTGAAAATTGAGGAAGTGAAAAACAAACTGAATCACTTTAAATTGCTTTAAACAGATGGGAAAACGTTCGTTTGTTGTTGCTGTTGCATCATTTGCATTCTCTCAGAAAGTGATCAGTCTTACGCGCATGTTTAAAATATTTACTTTCTAGATTGCAAATTGCGTAATTTTTTTTTCTATGTTATCTAACTCAAACAGAAAAGTTGTTTGTGACTTGTTGTGTGAAACTTTCCAGAACAGACAAATGTTGATAAGCAAGCAAATAGGGAAAAGTGTCTTTAAAGCTTTTGCACGCTATGCGATGATATCGCAGAAAACATTACTTTCAATTAAAAATACAATGTGAATGAACGTTTATCAGTTGATCACAGAATGCCACTCTTAATGTATTCGCAAATAATTTATTCAAGTCTTGCGTTCGTTTTTTGCTTCAACCGTTTCAGTCTCATGAACCGAAATCGCAAGTTGATGAAGACAGATTGAGGATTTAAAAGCTATAATAAATCATTAACTTTATCCAAATGTCAACTCAAACACTTTGTTCAGATTCTATCATTGTTCCCGAATATTCTTTACGTTAATTTTAATAATTTATGTTGTCACAATGAAAAAGTTTAAAATTTCCAAGGAAATTGTCAGATTACTGAAAACTGGAAATTTTTTCTTGTTTTCTTAACCTTCCAGAAGCTTCTTTTTATTATAATTTAAGAACAGTAAATCTACTTTCTAATTTAAAGAAATTATTAATGAAGTGTTTAACACAATGTTTGAAATATTGAAATTTGCAATTGGTAGGCGTGGGTGTTTAACAAAAACTTGTTATCACAGCATCAAACATGGATTTATAAGTAGTATCAAGTTGGGATATTAAAACAATGATAGAAACACGAAGTCGCGATTGTGAAATTATTCTTATTCCATTGATATTTCATGCTTCAAGAGATTTTCGTTTTCTTTCTTCCTCCTCGCCTTGCTGTTTTCCTTCTTATTTAAACTTATAGAAAGAACTAAAAGAATGGCCTTAAAACGTGAGAATATTTGAATTTACATTTTACACCATGAATCTTACTGCAACTTAAAATTATTTTTAAATGCTGGCTTTGAAATTTATGTTCTGTTTACTCGAGGTTTTATTCGAATTAGAATATGGTGCGCTTTGTTGGAAGAATCTCTGTAGTGCGATCATGAATCATTTGATTTCCTGGATTCGTTTGATTCCTTCAAGCTATTTTAATTTTGCATTTAAATATGTGAAACAATCTAATGCAATGTGAATTTTAATACAATTTGCGATTATGAATTGTTCCGTTTGTTGTTGTCAGTACTTGTGAGTTTACGTAATGATTAATGTCAGTAATTAAATGTTTAATATTATTGGATGAAAGAGCTTTTAGGGCTTTTTATAATTTTACACCAGTTCCATTCATTCCTATGTTTAATTATGCTTTAAAATTAATAAGAATCGTTTTCAGATTTTCTAATTACACTTGAATGCGGAAATGAAGCACTTCGAGTCTTCATTTAATGTTTTTTTATATAAAACTCACATTAATAATTCCATTCGCGGCTTCTAAGTTCAGAAACAAAGTCATCAAAGTATTACGAAAGCTTACCATCACTTACATGAACTTGTTCCAGCCAATTATCACTGAGAACGTTCACGTAAATATTTTAATGGAATTAATTTGATGTAAACTTTCCTGAATATCTTTTTAACGAGACAGAAACGAGTCAAAGGAGAAACTAATTAAGATACTTCATTCTTCCTGATGTTAGCCATTCACCAGCTATAATTTCTGTCAAGCTTTTTAATTTATGAATCTTGATAAGAAAGTGTTTGCATCCGACTTAATTATGATTCATTGACAGTGGCGATTTTTTTAATTCCAGTTTTTTGATGATAATCGCTCAATATACAAACATCTTCCAAACCAGTTTAACTTATTCTGTAGGTTGGCGTCATAAGCAATCATATCAAGTTGTTTGATGAATAAGTTCAATATATCTATGGATATTAAAACAGAACAAGCGGAAGCACGCAATTGAGATAAAAAAGAACTTTAACAGTTCCTGAAAAACAATAACGAGACTGATCTGCTTGATTTATTTGCACATATCGTCCAATGTTAAAGAAGGTTGCAAAGGGATATGCACCAATTGCTGAATTGTTGTTTGAGCAAATCAATATCTAATGGCGTGAGTTCCAAACACATTTGTTATGCTACATTAACCCAATCTCCAGGCTTAGCGTCAAGTTTCTTGTTAAAAGATAAGTTCGCCAGGAATCCGCATTTTTTTCATATTGCAATAATTTTCTTTGCACTAGTTTCAAACTGTGAAACCAGCAAACGGCACCACAAGATTCATCTGCGAAGAAACCAGAAATGAATCGAAGTTTTAACACTCGAGGCTGAAGATATTGATCACAATTTAAACAAACTTACGGGAAATGCTTTCCAACTGTGGATAAAGGAACTTCTCCATTTGTTATATTTTTGATAAATATTTTGCTGTATCCTGATTTGGTGTTAATTTTTGCAGCTGTTTTGAAGAAGGGAGACTAGTAAAAGAAGGCAACAAAGAGTAAACTTCCTTTAAAACAAATAATATTTCATTGCACCAACGATTCTTTGTTCTTATTTAATTTACTTAACCAATCATATGAAATTTTAAAGCTTAAAACAACTCGCAGCCATAAGTTCAATAGAGTGAAAAATTGATTTTATTTTACAGATTTGGCGATCACTGCATAATGTGTGCATTGCTCTAAAAATTATTTGAATTGCCTCTGCACTTGAGCCTCGAGAAAATTGTGCTTTTGACTTATAATTTTCATCTCACTTTGCATGAATTTTAGTGTTCAACTGCCGTAACAAAAGATTTCAGGATTTTCACGAAATCTTTTGCATAAAGTTTACTGAACTTCCGTCATTTGAAAAACAAGATTTTTAAACCTCATTCAATTCACATTTCGATGTTGTACTTTTTACCTCAAAAATTTCAGAAATTTTTAAGAATCTAAGTCAAGAAGAGAAATTTTATGCTCTCATTTAATCAATAAACACATAAAATAAAAAGCATATAAAAGTGAAATTAATTTAATTTATAGATTTAAACAACAATCACAATTTTCTCTTATTTATTATACTGGAAAAGTCTTTGAAAAAGCCATTAACAGTTGATTTGATTCGATTTGATTAGATTTGATGGCTTCCTGTGTAGTTTTCAAGAAATCAAGAAACTATTAACAAGTGAACTGATTTATATATTTTTTGAAAATTCGTACTTAATATCGCTGTTTAGGTCAGCACTTAATATTTTTCACAAAAAGCTTAAAGATCATTCATTGAGTATAAAAAGGGAGGGAAAAAAGCTTTTAATTCTTATAAATAATTCCCAAGATAATTATAACAAAATCATAACAAATTGTGGAAAATTTTCCATGAACTTGAAAGTAAAAGCGGGAAGTTTTCTCAAGAATTGAATTCATTTCCAAAAGTATGCAAGTGATAATGCAAAGATCATTAAAGAGAAGCTAAATATGAAAATTTTTTAATAAAATATTCAAGATCTGATATTAAAAAGAGCATAAACAATAGAAGCACGACTAGTAAAATAAATTGATCTATTCTTTTAAACAATACACAAGAATTTTGTTTTTTTCTTTCCCTCTCATATCTCTTAACAATTCTTATTACGAAACCTATAAAAAATTATTTATTGCATATGTTTTATTTTGTTTTAGAACATTCGTTATAATTTTTATACATTTTGTTTTCGAATTTCCTTCTTTTCCTTACCGGCAAAAAACAAACCGCGAACGTGAATCGGAACTTTAATTTGCAAAGACAATGATAATAATTTTTTTATAAGATGAATTTCCATGTTGACTGTTGTGGGCAGTTTGTAAGTTACGGTATAAATAGATGCTTGTTAATAGAAGCTTAAAGAACGTGATCAACAATATTCTTCGGTTTCGCTTAATTATGCAAAAAAAGCAGCATCGTGGTCAACAACCCATGTGGTTCATATCAACTGTAACTTCTTTGACATTTTGAAGAAAATATTGAAGAAAGTGTCAATTTTATTTATATGCAAATCAATAAAATGCTGGAAAACCCCACGACTTAAGATTTAAAACCGTAAGTAATGTAACCAGCAAGTTCTACTTTCGAACATGTGCACCGCGGATATTACAAGAGATTAATAAAACTTGAGCGTATTACTGGTAGTTTGGCATAACAGTTTGCATATAATTTCCTTGGTGCATGTTTCTCATCTGCATCCATTCGAAAAACTATTCTTAAGAATCGGTGAAAAGCTGGAGAAAATTATAAAAAAAGCAAACCATAAAAGAGAAAGAATTCTACGTGATGCTGTTTTCTTTAATTAATACTCGGCCTAGTAGCAGCATAAAAAAACCGTAAATTTATTTATGTTCAAAGTGAATTATTGTAAATTCCAAGAACATTCCAAATGCACAGAGAGTGCAGCATTATCTAAAGCAAATTTCAGAACAAATTTTTTAATTAAAACAACAAATCATTTTAGTGTTGCGCATTCTGAAATCGAACAAAAGATTTCATTAGACACGGCTTTGGCTTTATGGATTTTCGCTGGAAGTCTCAATGAATATTTTATTAGACATTTTCTATCCTTTCATAATTGATTTTTCATGTAAATTTATTGTTGTTTTCTTTTTCATCTTTCACTACATCCACGAGCTATCAAATGGTGATTTGAAGTTTTAATAAACTTTTCAAACCTTAAGCATATCGACACAAATTTTACAATCATTCGAGAATTAATGACACACTCAACATTTAATAAAGATGTCGACAACGCTTTCAATTACAAATTAGTGTAATTTATAAGAATCTGGTTAAGGTCTGAGTTACTTCAATATATTAACTTTATCATGCACATAATAACCTCTCAATAAATTAATCAAAAACTCTTAATTGGATTTCAGTTTTTGCTGTTGTGAAACTTTATTCTAAATTTTATTTTTATTTATTCACGACAAACTCTTTGGCATGCTTACGACTTTTATTTTCTCATCTCATAGTTTCACTCAAATTGAAATGATAATTTTATTTTAATTATTTCCTAGGGGCACTTCGTGAATTGAATAACATTATTCTAAATGAAAAATCGTCTGCTGAAAGATTTAGTTTATCGTTTGATTGAACGTGGATAGTTAAATATCAAAGGAAAGTTTCAAAACATGAAAAAGATGTCAAAGTTAATTTTGGTAAATTCATCATAATAATTGAATAATTTAAGTGAAAAGTGTTCCATTTGTTGGGACCATATTATCCAATGTAAATTTTGCGAGCCTTTGAGGAGTTATTGGTAATGGATTCGAGCATTTGGACTGAACTTGTTGTATGTAGAACGTCGATGATGAGAAAACGTGTCTACTAAATTGAATATCAACATGCACGTTTATCTATTTGACTCACTTCATTTTAAATGCTTTCTTAAACTTTCAAATCATTTTAGTGATCGATTTGGTATGAAAATATGTCATGGAATCAGAACGTTATGATTTTGACGATCAACTGGCCGATTGCCAGCTAATTGAATACGCAGTTTGAATAAATCAAAGACTGCAAGTTCAAGTTCTTTGAAAACTTCATCGTTGTGCAGTTAAGTATCATTGATTAGTTGGTAATCAATTGTAACGGTGTAATCGAGAGCATTTTGCACCAACTTCGATGAACATTCCAATCTTATGATTGACGCTGATCGTATTTGGACAGTTCATTACTGATGTAGTTTTATCTCAATGTCGATATCATCGTTGAGCATTCTTTGGAAGTTCCAATTCTTGTTTATTTATTAATAGTAAACGCTTTGGCATTTTATCGTATCATGTCAAGTTGAAATTAAAAAGAATTCGAAAAAGTAAACATTGACGAAGCTTAATTGAAAAGTTAACTCTTTATAATTAATGTGATTATATTAACATTTTGATGCAATCCCCAAGTGTAATTATTTCACTTCAGAAGACGAAACAAGATATGAAAGTTGTTTGAAGAAACTTCACTTGCTGAAGCTTCTTTACGGAAGAATTTCATTGTCAGTTGAGATTCTTCATGTGAAGAATGCAAAGATCGACATAAACAAAGTTTGAAGTTTAATCAAACATCAGTCAGTTTCATGGTCGACATAATTTATTCAGTTTGACTCCAAACTTAGTTTGCATTTTATGATTTAATCTCTTGAAATTATTTATGGTATTTAGATCTGATGAAGTTTTACAAGCATCCGTAGCTAAACCAGAATCTGATAATTTAAAGCTCTTCCATCTAAGACAGATGAAGACAGTTTTTTCATAATTTATGATTCACCTTTTATAGAAGTCAACATACTTAACGTTAACGAACAATTTTAATGAATCAACTTCCTTTGTCTTACATAAATAAGTTCGATGAACGATGAAATTTATCGAAAGCAAATTAGAGATAAACATCTTTTGACCAAAAATAAATTTAAATTGACTTATGTTGCTATGATGTCTATTTTTAACTCCATTTCATTTGTGATTCAATCATTTGATACTTGCTAAACTGATTGTTACATGACATGATGTTCGCAACTTATTATAGAGCACTTAATGTCAGTCGAATTAAGTGAGTGGATATTAATCATGTACAAGGTCACTGAACATAAGAACAAAACATAAAATTTAGATCAACTGTTTGTTTGAGGCTTCTCATTTTTAAATAATTGAAATCTCAAAAGATAAAATGAAAAATTTTAGAAAATAAAGAAGTTGTTAGATTTAGTAAGAGAAAAGAGTGAGAAAATATTATTATTGTTGTTACAATTGCATGTAATTAGAACATTCTGAGTGAATGCTTTTTGGATTTCTGGAAAGAATAGAACGAGAGAAAGCACTCAAGGGCGATTCAGGTAAATCATTTACCAAATGTAACAAATAGCTTGGATTGAAATGCATATCGTTAGCTTTTCTCAAACAACTGTTCATCTTAATTAACACTTCAAAAGAAGCTGTTTGGGGTAGACTTAACGTAACTATGAAACTGATTCTGTGTTATTTCTTGCAAGAGATGTTTGTACTGATCATTGCAATAAAAGTGAGAAATAAAAGTTAATCTGTTTAGAGTTGCTCGTGAAATGTTTTTTCTAGAAGAATTTCTTCAGCACGAAATTAGGTGAATCAGCGATGGTCTCAAAATGTCTTAGGGATTTCTTTTTCTTCTTCCTTGTCTTCTTCTACTGTTTACGAGTTCGATTAGCAATGGAGAGAACGTGACAAAATATTTACGATAATTCAAGTTGGATTTGGAAGGGAAGAAAAGTTCAATTTAAAAGTGTGTCATCGTTTTACATAGGAAAGAGTCGCGTAAATCCAAGCATATCGTAATACAATTTAATTATCTATTAAGACGTTGCAAATGTCAAAAGAGTTTCTCTCAAATAATTTTAATTCCAGAAATTTCCATAAATTAATGTTCAATATTTATGCAAAGTTATGCAACTTCAAAGAATTGTATGTAAATGAAATGTTGTCAGGTAAAGTGTGCTACTATTAAACTCACTTATTTGTGATCCATTTCTTATTGTAAACTTCTTTTAATTATTTTTTATTCTTCTTCGTGTGTGTTCTTTCTTCTTCATTTGTTTATGATCTGGGTTTTATTTTCTAAAGACATTCTGATTACTTATTTTGCATGTACTGAGGCTTGTGATATTAACTGAGAACTGGGCTATGTCATGATGTAGGAAATTAAAACAATCTTAAAAACGCTTCTCATAACTGATAAGTTATTTAATAACATAGGTATTTGAAGGCAACATCTCAGTTCCATGAAACTCGAGTATTTAACTTAAATGTATCAATTAATCAAATATTTCTTCAACTGTTGAATTTAAATAGGGATCTAAGATAAAAGATCTTTCATGTCATCCCATAAAAGTGGAGATAAAGAAGATAACATAATAAAATCGACTTAGCATAGTCTAGCCTTGAGCAAATTTCGTACAAAAACAGTTTGCGTGCGCACAAAATGTGTAACAAGGCAATTATTTTTGAAACGTAATAATTTTCTTTAAATGAAATGATTTGCAAAGAAATCAAATTAATTGAATCATAAGCAATTATTTTTATATGAAATAGTGAACAGATAAATGTTTGCATGTTTCAATTAAGAGATATTAATAAAAAGTATAGGGTATGCGAAATTTAAAATTTTGTAGTATACAAAAGTGTAGTTGAAGTGTTGTTTTGCAAGGGAGATTTGTAAAAAAGAAAACAAATTTGGATAAATTAATAAATTTTACTGTATTTAGTGCAATTAAGACATAGATAAGTATATTTTTGTTAAAAATGGCTAATAGTGATTGGAGACAAACAATTCTTGATCGGTTACGTGAGAGAAATAAGTGTGAAGGCGGTTTTCATGAAGTTATTTTGCATAGTGAGTGTTTTTGTTTTTATTGTCATTTGTTTGTTTGTTTTTATAAAACTGTTAATTTAATTATAAAATACTCAATCAATAAAATGTGTAAACATGAATATTCATAGATCATCGAATCCTCGAACGTAGTCATCAATTAAAATCTGAGAATCTGACGTTATCAGTTGAAAATGAGAAACTTCGGAGTGGCCTTGGCTTTGGTGACAGTGCGTCGGCAGCTCGTGTTCAAGCGCTTGAAAAGAAATTACTTGACAAACAGGAAGAATTGACTGATATGCATAAGCGTAAAGGTGACAACCAGCAAATGATAATTGACTTAAACATCAAAGTTAGTGAACTTCAAAAACAGCTGGAACTTAAGAACAACAGGTGAGATTAAAGAAAAATCGACACAGCTTCAATTCTGAACACAATTAATCATAATTTCCAGTTTAACCGACCAAATTAAGAATAATCATTCATTAAAAGCCGAAGTTCAAATGTTGACAAATTCTATTCATGAACTGAAAGAACTTAACACAACACTTCGTGATGAACATACAGCACTTCATCTTTTACATTGTTCATTAGAAGAAAAACTTCGTAAGACTCAAACTGAAAACTCTCAACTTGTGGAACGTGTCATGAAATTTAAGGCGAAAGATGCAGAAAAAATGAACGAAGAGAATGAAACTTTTCTCAGGTACGTTGGGTTGTTGTAATCGTATGACGTTGGGTTTCATCAGCTATATGTGCAATTTTGTATTATTCACCTTCCAAATTCCTTTTGAAAATGACTAACAACAGCCTTAGAAAAATCCTCAGCTTTACACTAACTCGTGTTTGATATTTTAACCACCACAGATTTGGATCATTATTTTCCAGAAAGAAAAATGACGCAATGAAACGAGAGTTGGCCGAAGCCGCTCGAGAATCAAGTGTCAGACGATCTTCTAGTCCAGTTTCAATTAATGAACGTGACGACATGTTCCAAGGAACTTTAACAGGAGCTGGAAATGTTTATTTCGGTGATGAAATTCCTAATAAAGTTCACATAAATTTTGACGCACATGACGGAGAAGTCAACGCAGTTCGATGGTCGCCAGTGGATCGAATTGTGGCAACAGGTGGTTCCGATCGAAAAGTTAAACTGTGGGATGTCGGGAAAGGTGAGAAAGTGATGATTTTGAAAAAGTTATTTAGACATCAAACAACTTTTTATGACAGGAAATTCATTCGAGTCACGTGGAACACTTGTCGGAAGCAATCAGGCTGTGAACTCACTCGATTTTGACTCAACGGGTACACTTATTCTTGGGACATCGAATGACTTTGCCAGTCGCGTATGGAGTATATCCGATCATCGGTTACGGGTAAGTGAAAGCGTCAAAAATTTATTTTTAAACTTTTTCTTTATTTCTTGTCAAAATACTTAAGTTTTGTTTTTGTTGGAAGTCAAAAAATTTTCAATTCTTCGCTTCCGATAAGGAAAGTGGAAACAAATTTTTTTCGTTTATCAATTTCTTCGCAAAAACTTGTTATGATTGTATCTTCACATGATGCTCATGAGCCATCGAATTGAAAAATTATCTTACATGCTAAAAATGTCTGCGATGTTTTTGTGTTAAATAACTTAGAATTATCGGATGTGGGATAGTTGCGTAAAAAAATGTTAGTTTAAAATGAGAAATAAATAATTAATTATCTATTATTTTTAAAAATTGATCTAGTCATAAAGGCTTTTGGACAAAGGCTTGGCACAGCTTCATTATTATTGTTAATTAAGTGAAAAAGAGAGAAAACACTTTCATGGGTGCACCCACAAAATAGCAAACTCTCGAAGCTGTTAGCCATCGCCTTATCCACCTTTCGCTTCTTCGACTTTGTGCGAGCAAAAATTAAATTCAACGTGAAAATTTTATGAAATCGAATTCAATTTTTTTCTCGCGGTAATCATGCGAAAAATTTCTTTCTCGGAAAAAAGGATAAGAAGATATGGAATTGAAATTGTTACTTGCTTAATTATTTGTGTTTTTTTGTCTTTTTAAAAATCCGAAATGAAAAGCCACAAAAGTTTTTTCTTTCATCTTTTTTGTTTTGATTTTGTTTTTGTTTTCTTAAAACCAAAAATCATGAGTGTGATGTGCAAAAGAATTAGAACATCCTGTCGTCCTTTTTTCCAATCAAATCAATGCTTACAACTAAATTTAAATAAATTAAATTAATTTTTTGCCATTCATTCTACGAACAGATCTCGCCATAGTTGAGCGAGAAACTAACGAGAACGCTCAGTTCCGATTGGCATAATAAATCTACTTGAAATTACTTTAAATTGCGCTACGGCAGAAATGCATTTAAAATTACTTTCTTTTTCAAATTATTTAATTACTTTCAATTATTACCATTTTCATTGTCATGGCCTTTTTTTTCTTGCTTCTAATTTACTTGAAAATTAAAAAAAATTATTCAATGAAAAAAGAGAACCGAAAGGATTTTAAATCCACATTTTTGTAATTTTTCTTTCTGAATGTTTCTAATCTGAATGAAGAAATAATTTCAATGCAATTAATTTTCAACTTACAGTCTATCAAATTTAATGCTCGATGATTGTCTAATGAAGATTTTTTTCTTTTTGTGTTTGTTTTTCGTTATGAGAAATAATTGAAGAATGCAAGACAAATAAGAAGAATATTGCAAAGCTTAAATGCTTAATAGGTTATTGTAGACTAAGAAATTACGTTTACACGTCTCCCCTTCATCCTTTTCTTAAAAATGGCGACCAGCATATCCAGTATCGTAAAGTTTGCACATCGAATCAGTTCGACTGCTATTCGATGGAATCTGTGATGAAACGGTCGTTGAGTTGTCGAAGTCTCGCTGCTTTTGACGGCGCTGATACATAACAGTCCAAATTGCAATCACCGCTAATTGTGCTAATAAAAAGATTGTTCCAGCAACGATTAATCCTGTTGGGAGAAAAAGCGATTAAGATTCGTTTTGCGATTAGAATAATTTACAAAATATTTAATCATAAATATTATGAAAAACTTACCAAGTCCATTGACGCAGAAGCTGTGTGAGTCTGGTGTGGCATAGAAAACTGTTTCGCTGCTGCTTACCGTTGGTTTTGCTTGTTGTTGCTTGCTAGCAAATCCAAACTTATCTGTTATGTGAATTGATTGTACCAGCAACATATCTTCATGTGGGTTCTTTGTCGTATCTGTGCTTCGTCGTTTTCTTTCTTCGACAACTGTATCGTTTAATGATCGTCGTTTTCTTCCAAACGATATTATTGATCTCAATTCTCCGCCAAAGTCTTCTTCATCACACTGAACCGGTTCGCATGTTGGCATGCAAGGTGTTACTAAAGCTCTAAATTGTACAGTTTGTGACGATGGGAACTTGAAAGCATCGAAGTGTGAAAGAAGAATTTTGCCAGAATTAGAACTTTTGTAAATTGGTCCCATGATGTAATGATCGGTTGGACAACCACGTGAGTCAATCAAAGTAATTTCACCACTGTCAGCACCATCCATAGCGACAAGTTCACGTACGAAGATTTCGTAAGGGCTTTGAGCATCCATAATTTCGAATTTTAATGCGAGCGGATCACCAACTTCTGCTGATTCTTTCATTGCACTTCCGTCACGTGTTGTAATTTTCATGTTAACTGTCGGTGATTCAACGATAACTTCTTCTGACATTGAAGGCTCGATGTCACCAGTGACACCTAAATCGACATCATTCGAGACTGTTTTATTTGTTAAATCATATTGACACGTCAAAGCAAGACCTAAATCCGATGACGTTACAATCATGTCGTGATGTTGAATGACAACGTCGTTCAAATATCTTCCAAGGCCATTTTGACGTACATTACATTCAATATCTTGATATCCCATTCGTAATTCGAATTCCAAAGAGTTCTTGACATCAATTGAACATGAGTTTGGAGCACCTTTGGCATAGACTTTTCCGTCAAACAGTTTCGACGTGCGTATTTTTGCGATCATATCTCCGGCGCGGCATTCAATTGTGACGTTATAGCATGAAGACAATTCATATGTTGCAGCTTCTGGAACTTCCAAATAAGGATCTTGAATGTCGCCGAGAGTGGCTCGACTATGATGACTCAAACGGCAAACCATGTCGCCAGTATCGCCATAATCATAAGAGTGGCATCTGTAGGGTGAGCTGAGGCAGAGTTCGCGACATTCATCAACACTGCTTACATCTTGATACACTGAGTCGACTGTCTTTAATATTTTTCCCGACAATCGTTTAAATTCACACAACTTTGTTGGTTCATCTGCACAATTATTTTCTAAATATTCAGCTCCCGTCTTGGGAACAAATGCCGATGACCCAGCCAATGTCAAACGATCCATTTCTGATAGCTCACACATGCCAGTTGCAGCATACCAATTAGCGGATCTGTTAAAGGAAGAAAAAATGAAGAAAAATAGAAGCATTAATGTTGGAATTGCATTTAAAATGTTTATCGTATGTTTACACGAAAAAAAAAGAAAAATGAAAAATGAAGAAGTTGGGGGGAGTCTACATAAAGAGTTCATAACGATTATTGTTTCAGTTATATGAACGACATCAACGACAACAAAATGAGAAGCACAGCAGTAAATAATTTTATTTTATAGCTTTTGTAAAGGGAACTTTAAAGGATGATAGTCTTAAGAATAGATCAATTTATTTTGCAAGTCGTGTTGCCATTGTTAGTGCTTCTATTTGAATCCGCAAGGGATTCTTTTTTTACATGTTATTATAACAATAGTCGTCTGTCTGCATTACTACTGCGCGCGGTTCATAGCATGTTGCTTTTACTTTCATCTTCAACAATGATTTAAAAACGCTCTCAGTTGTTCACAATAGCAAAATTTATGGCTTTCTAAATTGATTAATCTACTAGAACATATTTGGATCACACGAAGTGTAGTGAGAAGTTTCTTAAACGACAAGTGGTGGTCGGATTCGTGGTGCTCTGATAGAAGTGTCAAAATTAAAATGTAATAAGCGGCGTTTTCTTTCAACACTTCAAAGTGAAGTAACAGTTAAGGTGATAGTTTTGTGCTAATTCAATCATCGATGATCTTTTTCAACTTGAAAGCAAAACGCAAAAATGTGTAAAGAATGAAAACAAAAAAAGAAGCGAATGCTGTGCAAATTTTAATCATTGTTGAAGCTTCAGGAATCACGTATGAAAAATGATGCTTGATGTCAGTTCAAAGAGGGCTTTAATTCTATTACTGTCATTAAAATTTCATCTTGAAGTTTATAAAAACACTCAGTTAGAGTCTAAGAATGAATTATTATTTTTGCTGCTGATTTACCACACAAAAAGCATGAAGAATCTCGAAAAAAGAAAAAATTCCAGCAAACGCGGCTCTAACATCTTATTTCATCTCAATATAAATATGTTCTGTTGAATAACATGATCGTTTCGTTGTCATTCTTTACCCGTCCTCGATTCTTCTGTTCTTCATCTCATACAAATCACTTTGATACTTATTTAAACGACACTCAAACAGTTGACTTGCGGATTTATTCAAAAGGATGAGAACGAAGCATGAATGAGTATAAATTTCAAGATATCTTCAAGCAATTGACCTGTGATTAACATGAAGACTTTAAAGTTCGTTCATTGATACTTGATGAGATATGTTTCCATATTTAACATGTCATAAATCAGAGACATAAAAGGAGATTCGATAGAAAGATGTTCGTTGTTTATTCTAATGGTTATTTTCATCTTTTCATTTATTTGTTTATTCACTCTGCTTCTCCGGTATCATCATCATAATAAAAAATTAATTATACTCTGTTACTTTTTTTGTGAGAGAAAAAAAGAAGAAAAGCAAAAGTTTGGCGTCGAATTGATTGTTATTATTTATCTTTTACTTCAGAGATTTGCAAGCGATCTTGATTCACATCAATTAATTAAAGTTAAAAGCAATGCTTAAATTTGTTACCTTGTAAAATTTGGTAAAAACAATTCAATTTTTTATTTTATTATGTGGTTTTTGTTCTCTTTCGTAATTGATTTACCAGAGAGAAGTAAGAAGCAAATAACAATTATAAAAAGCATTAGAACTGCGGCACCAAAGTAAGCATCGTGGTAGGAGATCAACTTCTCGCCAGTCAATAACCTTCTTCGAGTCGTGTTACTCTTTTTGTTTCTCGTGTTGCGTATCTGCTATTTTTTCTATTTTCACTTCAAGGTTGGTTTTTATAATAGCGAAATGATATTGTTTTTTAACAACTATCGTACTTTGTATCGTCCGTTTTTTTATATTTATTTTCTTCTTTTCTTCATTTCATTTTAATTTAATGATCTCACAATTCTATTCTCGTTTGCTATCGCTATTCTGGTCGGTTGCGTGTAAAGTATTGTAAAAATATCTCAAGAACATCAAAACTAAGATTTAAAGTTAGCATATTTTTGAATAATGATGTTTGGATCCGTTGAACGATGAAAGCACTAATAAGCAGAAGTAGAGAAACATTAAATTTCTTTACGAGAATTATTCTCTAATAAAACTTTATTCAACTTCATTGCGTCACGGGATGAAAAAGATAAGTTTGTGAGTTTAACAAAAAAGCAGATCACTAATGGCATCATCAATTCTCGTTGAAATGAAGCTCCGTTCTTAGCTTCTTATTTTATGATCTTTCTTTGATTAATTTAATTAAGAACTTTAAGGTTTGTTACGCCCACCGATACAAAGATGCTCTTTGTGAATATTTTTCTTGTTTGATGTTTATCGTGTCGAAAGTTAAATTAACTCACCTGCAGAGGAAATCAGTTTCGCCAAAGCACATTTCATAACAATCTTGTCTCGACATCGCTGTTGCTGATCGCTTGATATGGTCTTTGAGTGCATAGCCTTGTACTCTATCAATGCACCATGCACGCTCACAAGGACGCATTTTCAAGCAAGATTTTTGTGCATAAATTGTGAATACGGGAAATTGTGATTTAATCAATGAACCTGTAACAAGAATAAAATAAAATAATGACGGAATCAGAATGTAAAATGAATGTAATGAGATTCAGATGTAAGAAGTAAGTAACATCAGTAATAGTAACAGTAACATCAACAGCAGCAAATTTAAGTCTCTCGAGAACGCACATTTCCTCCTGAGGATATCATTATGAATCAGTGAAGCTTTGACTTAAATTATTGCTTCCTCTAAACACTTTTGACTCGTGACTACATAATAATATCTTAATAGAGAACATCGAATGGGCTATTTATGCAAATTATGCTAGACAAAAAACACAAAACGAACTGCTTAAGCGTTTAAAAACTCTTAAAACGTGCTTTCAAATTCTCTTCTATTTTTTTTCTGTCTCTTCATGGTGTTCAAGATCTCATATCGTTTTTTTTATTTCTATTTCTTTCGAAATGAAAAGCATCGTTTTGAGAAGCATTAAACCGTATTTAAAAAGCGAAAGAAATTTGCTTCCTTGATCACGAGTCGAAGGCTTTTCTTTATTTTTCACGTCTTTAAATGTAGAAAGAAACTAAGCTTTAGACAAAAACATCAGAAAAAAGTGAATATCGAGATCAATCTTCAAAGTTGCCAATATTGTCGTTTTCATTTAATTCAAACATGCACTCAAACCGTCTTCAAATAAAATTTAATGACGAAATCGTGTCTTAAATGCAATGTCCAAGATTGCGACTAAGATCAAATAAAATTTCATGAATTTAAATAAATAAATAAATTCATTTCTTCAATTTGCGAGAGAAAAGGAAACTTTGAGAATTTTAAAATGTTCTAAGTGGAACAACAACGAACCATCATGTGAAATTAACAGTTGCTTCACTTATAAACATCCGTATCAGTTTCAATTCTTCAGTTCAACTTCATTAACTCATTGTTGTGAAATTGCAATCATTCTGGATCATTTTCGAACAAAAAGCTTTTCACTTATTTAATTCAACTCTTTAGTGATCGACTTGAGCTTTCATCAAATTACGTGCATGTAAATTATTTTTCTTTTTATTCATTTCTCATTATTATGAAGAATTGATTTTTGTTGTGATGTAAAACGCATTAAAATTACAAAAGAAAAAGAAAGAAATCACGTCCTGAAATTTAATAAAAAATCGACAGCAAATGATTTCAACTTTAACTATCAAAAGATTTCTTTTTTTGCGTTCTCAGTAATCGGTAGCCTATTTTGAGAATGAACCTTAGGGAAATAAATTGTTTAATGGCTCATTAATTCGCTTCTTTGTTCTTTTTTTATTTCGTTCCTAATTCTGATGATTTTTTGGTGTTGGAAAGTTTGCTCTTAGGCAGCTCAATTTAATGACTTATTAATTCAAAATTAATTATTTTTCCTTACATCAGTGAACTTTAAGTAAAATTAACTGAAGATGAGGAGAAAAGTGTAAAGTCACTGACACCTTGATGAGTGTTTGCTTGCCGGGAGCCAAGTCGATATTTACAATAATTCCGTTTTTACTTCTTATTTCATGCTGATAATTGCTTTGTGATGTTGTTTTTTCGTAAACTTCTAACTACATTCAATTCTAGCGTGATGTACTTTTCAAAAAGTAAATAAATCTCAAATGTTCATTTCTACTAATGAGAATTTAAAGAGTTCACATTGTCGGAAGAGTTTCCCGTATGAAAGTAACACGAGACATAAGTATAACAATACTTAAACTTCCCCATGAAATAATTTCACTTTTTCCTTTTCAAATGTTGTTCACTTATTAATCCGTGACGACTAAAGCGATGCTTGATGTCGGAACATGGTTCTCAAGAGATGTTTGCGTTATGCATTCAAGTTGAAGTATTCTTGTGCTACTTGATGAGTTTTGGAATGTCATGTCGTGCTTTTGTTTTGCTTACCCGGCATTTTATCTGAGTTTGAATGGAATAAAACACACAATCCCGTCTCATAGTTGACCGAGCTGCATGAATCGTTTGCTTGACAAAGCTCTAAACAATCAGTCAACATTAATGTGCCAGGAACTGATTCCATCATAGTGTCGGGGGCTGAGAAGACGTATCTAGTTGACGGGAGAAAAGAAAAATGAAAGTGGGAAAGTGTGTTAGAAATGATGAGAGAAAATTTAATTATTACTGACACAAATTCTTACCCGGTGATCATCTCGAAGCTTATGTTGTCCAACTCACAATCTTCATACGCTGACGATTCTTCACTTGAGTTGCTTTCGCTGACTTTTTCCGATTCGGCAACGTCAGACTGAACAGTTGTGGGCGGTGGTGCTTCAATTTTCTCTGCTTCAATCTTCTCTAGTGCTGATGCTGTTGCAAGATTATCTTCGAGTGGAGCTTCTGCTGCATTTTGAATCGGTAAATCAATTCGCGATCTTCTCCTTGCATCAACCGTTGTGCATGATAATGCTAGCAGACAAAGAAATGCTATTTTATTCAGTTTCAACAGCATCGTTGCTTTAATCTGTGGTCAGGTGAGAATCTAGAAGTGAAAAAAGAAAGAGAAAGAAATCTCATTAACATTCATCTCATCTTAAATCCCATTCTTAAACCAAATATTATATTCCAAATAACTATTGTTAAGTCTGTTAGCCAATCATTTTATAAATTACTAAATGCGAAATTGAATGTAGCGAAAGAATATGTTTAAGTTTCCCTTTACAAATATATTCTGACATATCTCGTGCGCGGCATCGATTTCTAATAAACACACAGACAGAAATCGGAGTGAACTAATGCCGGGGGATTCCAGTCAAATGAAGGAGAGAAATAAATTTTGATTGAACTGATTAGAAAAAATATATTTTACTGCATGCAAATTCATTGCTAAAACAAATAACTGTTTCTATTTTGTTGCTATCTTTCTCGATCATCAAGTAGCTGCTAATAAGCTCCGAGGTCGACCGATGAAAGAAGCGAAAATATTACACGAAAAAAAATAAAAACTGGAACAAGTTTGTGCGGATTAAAATAGGTTCATTCTCGAGAAGAATGCAAAAAAAAAATTGTTTCGTTTCGTTTCGGCATCGAAACAATCACCGTTGCAAAATAATTTGATGAACTCGAACATAATCAAAAAGAAATGTTGCACTTTAAGTAATATTTTGCAAGGAGAGAGAGAATCAACAGAAAGCCAATAACTGTAGTATAATTCATTACAATCATATTGATTATGAATTGTACAACAAGTTGTGGATCGCGATTTGGAACAGTCTAAGAAAAGTCAAAGAAAGATGAAATTTAAGCGCCGCGATGATTACAGAATGATAGAAACTGGTCAAGTAAATTGAACAAGTCGCTTGCTTTTATTTTACCCTCAAAAATTATGCTAACAAGCGAACCACTTTAGTTATCGACTACAAGCTTTTGTTTTCAAATCTTATTCGTTTTCACAAACAACGTGAAATTCTCGAGGCGTTTGTTGTACCAATGATGGTAAAAGTATCAAATTTCTCACCAACATTGTGCCTTCAAGAATAAAACAAAGATTTAATTTTATTTTTTCTCTTTTTCCCTCCCAATTCGCTGCCTACAATGATTCCAATGTGCGCCAAAGTCACTGAGCATTGTACCGTTCGGAAAATGAATAAAGTGTAAAAACATATTTAAGCATAACAGCAGAGGTAACGGAAAAACTTCGTTGTTGTTTTATGTTTTTATTTTTTTCTGAATGAATTAAACATAAACAATTTCAGTGAAGAATGGTTTTGGTTTTGAGGGAAGGGAGACGAGCGTTGAGCGACATAATAAGTTGCTATTAAGTTATTTAGTAATGGATATTAAATAATTTAATCAGAATTTTGATGATGAAAATTACGAAGGAAATAAGAACACAATAAAAATTAAGAAAATTCCGAAACGACCTCAAACGAATTGTGTGGTAATCGCTGAAATTTCTCTTTACTTTGATGTTTTTTTTTTGGTTTTGTTTTGTTCATGTAAGTTGACCGAGTTAAGTTCAGTGGGAGGTGACAGGAAAAATATTATGAGCCATTAAATTGAGTGATTGGTATCGAAATCAAAAGAATAACACGAACTTTTAAACGACTTAAACCAACAATGAAAAGGAATCATCAATTGCAAACGTTCCACATTTTATTTGACATAGCAAAAAATAAATAATAAGACAGCAAACAATCAGCTTAGCGTAATGCAGCTTTCCTGTCATTCTTTTTTTGCCTTTGTAAATGTCATAAATATTTACTGAAGCTAGTTCGTCATTCGTTCTACTTATTCAATGCGACAAGATGAAATTGACATTAATCACAGATTATCAATAGCTTAATAGGAATCAACAGATTGACAGTTTAAGCAAAAAAAAGTCAGCTTAAATTTCTTTTTATCAATGAAACGATCACGGTTGAATTTAACAGTTGATTAAGCAAATGCTTAGACTGCTGACAACTAAATTGATTTTGCCTTTTCTTTCATCTCTTATTTGTTTTTATTTTTTATTTTTTTTAGCAAATGTATTGCATTGGGATCCGTTGATCTCCATGTCAAGTTGAAGTCACAACTCGCGAGAATTGAAGTTTTACGGAAGAAATAAATATTGTTGAAGTTCGAAGCAAAATGTGGTCAATTTGTGGAACTCTGGTAAATTAGCGTTAGAACATCTAACAACCATGACTTTCGTCGAGAACTGTCTAATTTAATTAGTAACGATTTGTAAAATGTCTTGACTCTGTTACGTTGTTGAAGTCAGTTGAATTGAAGTTCTTTGTCCGAGTGACTTTACTTATTCAATTATCTTCATATAAGAGAAATTTTATTCAATTTCTCGTTTAATGAAAAAGAAAATCCGTGATCAGTAGTAGAAGCTTGAAACTTCAGAGGGAATTCATGAAACATATGCTTATAAGTTAATACTCAAGTCAATTGAATAGCTAATTTCATATTAAAAAAAAGAATTATTTCAATATCTTATTAATTATATTTTCATTTTTCAATTTTCCTCAATCGATATATAATAAAAAATCGGAACTCATAACGAAATGTAAAGAGTCAATAGGCAATAATTTCTTTTCTTCATCGAGCTTGTAATTGTAATTGATTCTGAACTAGTTTTACTTTTCCATGATTTTTCCGTTAGATCAACAATCAATAATGAAGAGTGAAAAAGAGAGACAGAGAGATGGAGAGAGGAAAAAGGAAACAAAGAAAAGTCGACGATTCTATGCATCAATTGTCATAAATTTCATCTTTCTAATGTGTATCAGTTTTATTGAATACTTATGTCGATTGAAACACATTCTTAAAGTGGTTATATTTAATCTTTCAACAAAATTCCAAACTCGGAGTTTATAATTGCCCCGTAATAAGCAGCATCACTGTTTGTTCTTCTAAGATTATTAACGAAGTGAAGCTATTAAGTATGTGTGTATTTAAGAAGCATGGAAATATACTTGAAAACTGCCAGCGCCATTTGTAGATCTTTTTACTTATTAATAAATAGAAAGACTCGAGATTTAAATCCCCTCAATAAAAGAATTAATTTGTGTTGCTTTCATGTCTGCTTCTGCTACTATTGCTGCTGTTTGACTATCTATAAAACTTGAAACTGGACTTATCGTCTTTAGAATCTCTTTTGGGTTACATAGATAATAGGAGCATAAAGATTGAGCCATTGAATTGATGTGATTTTGAATTCTTAAACATGCAGATAAAGAAAAGGGGGAGAGATGATGAAAGAATAAAGTTCTATCTTAACGGGGTTTAGGTGCTATTAATGAATTGATTTAACACTCAGTTATGCTCGGATTGGTATTTCGTATTTCGATATATGTAATTGAAAGTGTAATAATGCAAGAAGAAACGAAAATTACAGTAATAACAACTCTTATTAAGAAGAAGTTTAGCGGAAGACTTCTTAAGATTTCTTGACGTTGTCTTTTTATTATTTCTTTGAAGTTGTATAAAAACGAGATAGAATTGCTTCCAAGTGAAGAAAGGAAACATAAATATCTGGGAAATATGCAAAGCAAGCAATCAATTTAGTTGCACGACGACATCAAAATATTTAACTGCAGAAATTATTGCCAGAGACATCGATCTTTAAATAAATCATAAATCAAATCTTAACAAACATTTAGTCGAGATAACTACAAAATCTGGGTTAATTCTTTCTTCATAAATGCTTCAACTATTTATCACCACAACTTGTCTTTTTAATGTTAACTTCTCTATTTCATGACGAACGATGAAAAAGCAAACATAGACGGAAGCAAATATTGACAAACGAAATGAAGGTATTATGATGAAGTTGAAGCCAAATGTTCTGAAATTATGTTTGGATGTTTTTATTGGAACAACATTTCTACTTCTCATTCTCCAAATTGCTTCGTTCGCTTAATAACCATTAAAGTGAAGAAAATGAAAGAAAAAAAGCAGCTTTTGGTTATTTCTTTCCTCTTGCGTTGATTTTGCCTTGGAAAGGTTAAAGAAATTCGGTCGCCCGGTAAGTGCTTTTCTGTATTCTTTTCGAATCATTCTTTCTTTTAATTTTTTGACGAGAAGAACGAAAATATTGATTGAATCGAGTCCAAACATAATTGCAATCACCGAAAGCACGTTCTCAAAAGACATTGTGTTTCTCGCTTTCTAAATGAAAAAAGAAAGAAATAAGCATGAGAGATGTGTGTTCAGTTCTAGCACGTCAGTGGAAAATAAAGAAAAAGGCGGTTTGTGTTACATCTCCCCAAAGTAAAATCTGATGTTTAAGATTTTTATTGTTTCTCATGTTGTTGATTCGCATCATCATTTCGATCATTGCGCGTTCATCTTTCTCTCGCATATTTTTCCTTCAAGCAACTTACTCGTTTGCTTCCATCGGTCGATACATGAAAGATCCGATTATTTAACGGTAATTTCTGTTACTATTTACAAGAGATAAATAAAAGAGTTCTTCTTATTATATGAGTAAGTAAAAGAAGCGGATTAAATAGGAGAAAATTGGATTCGAATTAAATTGAATGACATTTGAGTTGACATTAAAACACCAATTGCTTCAATTTTCTTGCATCAAAACTCGCTTTGTGTTGATTTATATAAAAGCTGAAGCTCTTCTTTCATTTTTTTATCTATTTTTTGGTTTTCAACCTTGAACAGTGAATCGATTTGTTCAATTGATTTTCTTGTCTATTCTCTTCATTCACCTTCTTCACTTTTTTAATCAAACCGACGGGAATTAAAAATCTGAGTTAAAATTATAAAAAAAATTGCGATAATTGAATTCTTCTCAGGATTTGTCTGACTTGGTGTCTGTTTTACGCTCCACCGCTTCACATTCTTTCCAAGTCATTAACCACCACACAATTTGTTCTTGAAGCATTCATTTTTTCATCAGCAGCATGACGTGCCAACACAAAAATCTCTTTTTTTTCTTCAACACATCCTTTCATCTCAGAATTATCTTATTGGAAATCGGAAGTACTTAACCCTCATGAAAAGCAATTAACCATTTAAACGAGCAAAAGAAATCATCATATCTTATCTTATTTATTCGCTTTGCTTTATGTTTAACATCATGTTGTGATAGAAGTAGCTGAAAAGCCCTTCACAAGGCAAATCATTATCATCCGTGCTGTGAGAGAATAAATTTATATTTTTTTCTTGTAAATGCATATCGTTAATGCCTTTTTTAGCACCTAGTAGGAGTGCTGACGATAAAAACTTAAATAGGATGGCTGATAGCTAAGTTATTAAAGTAACATAATTCTTACATAAACAATTTCTTTCTTTCTTTCCTTTTTTTGTTGTCCATTCGTTTAATGTTTTCTCCCTTTCAAATGGACGACGGCATAATATTGCATTATGAATTGCATTTTTCATTGCTTTATGTCGTAACCTCCGCGTGCTTTTTTTTGCACGAATGAAATAGAAAACAGCAAATAATGGGCATAAGGTCGTTTCTGTTTTTATATTTCTCATTTTTCAACAAACATTAAAATGTCTTAAATCATTCAAGAGTCTTGTTGAGCTGTCATTGGTGTATGTATGGCTTTCCAAAACAATTATTTCATATTAGATAAGCGGTTAGGATGATAGAAAGTTGGAAATAAGTAAAGTTCTTCCTCACTTTTATTTATCTTTCTTCTGATAAACTTTTTTGATGTGAGACGAAGGAAGAAAGGAATAAGACGATAAAAATAAATTAAAATGTGCATGATGATGGTAATTCGTGATCTACCTGTCCGACACGCAATCTTTACTTCATTTTAAATTTCACTTTTGAGCGTTGATGAGTTGAGCAGTTGAGGAGTTGAGGAGTTGTGCTGAAGAAACAAATTAACGTCCAATGGCAAGCTTTAAGCTACTATCATCAGATTAAAGCTTGAAGAAAATATATGTTTGCATCCCACAGAGGTAATTTGAGCGAAAATTCTTCAGAAGAAGAAATTACCAATCTTCACATCACGTATCAACATGAAACTATTTATGATTTGGCACTAAGTGTTTTACTCAGTGATAATAAATAGTTTTTCAATTGAGATGCGTTTCGCATGAAATGAATAAGTAATTTTGTAATACATCATGAGATGTTAGTTGTTGAGATATCGATTACCATTTTGGGTCTTGAATTATTTTATTTCTTTTCTTTCAATATCTTGCTTTGAAGATCATTTAGAAACAGGTCGATGTGCCGATGTGAAGACGACTTCTCGAAGAGAAAAGAGGAAGAAAGTTATTTAGCTCAAACAACAACAACATCGAGACTAGAGTCAAGTTTGTCGATGACGAGTTGTGTGTCGAATTTACAACAATTGAGAATTGCATTTCGATTCGTATTCAATTGATCCACCGGATCCAAGACGAATACACAATTGAAACATCTTACAAAGCTCATTGAAGTTGTCAGAGTCAAATTCTTTCTTCAGCTGTTGCTGACCTAAATGTTTGAATATTTTCATAAAAGAAAATTCATGACTTTAAAAGAGATAGAAAATGTAAAAAAGAAAAGTAAAAGACCCAAAAAGCAGCATGTAAGCCCATTTTTGGTGGATTCTTAAATCGAGAAGTGAAATGAAATAAAAAGAGTTTTCGATTTCTTCTTGACTGAGTCATGCAAGGCTAACTGATAATCCGATATAACACGTAAATCTTTTTAATTTCGCGTGAAATATCTTGTTAGCGCCCGTGATAAATGTGATAATTTTTTATTCTCTTGTTTCGAAGAATAATATAATAAAACACAATAGGGAGACGAAAAGCATGAATGTAACAATGTGATTGGCTTAATTAACATAGACCCAGTTTTAAACTTATTCGCTGATGAAAACTTCTTTTTTATTTCCTTCATTCTAGAACGTGTGGTTCGAAACAATTGAATATAAAGAGAAGAAGAATTGAGTGCATGTGTGCGATTTATTTCGGATTAAAATGGAACACTGCATGCGTCATAAATATAGTTGAAGTGAGATATGATTTATGGTTCTCTGGTTGAAATGATTTCCATTCTAATTCTGATGCGGTTTGGAACGTAAACGGAATACCAAATGGAAGTTTTTGCCTTTCATCGTCTGATGATCTAAATTGAACCATTTTCAACACTCGACTTTTAAATACAAGTTAATTGCTGAACATTTACATGACATTATATTCTCTGTTTTCATTCTTTGCTTTGTATCTTGTGTTGTTTACCAGCACATGACATGAATATTCAAATAAGATTGTTTCTTTTGACAACATTTAACGTTTTGTGTGGTGTCTGTTAACCTGCTTGCCGCGTGGGTGAAAATATATTTTGACTTCTATACCCAAACATGATTCATATTTCATTCCACATGATTTTTTTTTTGGAAAATTATTGACTTGACCCATTGCCACAAATTTCTGTGATTTTTGTTTCTTTCTTATAAGTATGAAAAAAGAAGCCACACGCACAAAAACATCTTAATGGATATGGCTGGGCTCGTTAATATGATTCAAATATGTTCAGTTTCCGATGTTTGCGAATCAACTTTAAAAGATAAACAAGAAGAAATTATAAATTCGCACGATTATAAACAACTTCCACAAAACACATCTGACATCATTTGAGACTCTCGAGATGAGCACAAATGAAAGTGCAAAAAATTTTCTTTAATGCTTCGTATTAAAAATTATTCCACTATTAAGATTCGCGTATGAGACCAAAAAACTACTTTTTCTTTCTCATCTCACAATTGTTATTCATTTTCATGTTTTATTTTTGCATTATAAGGAAATTAACTTGTTCCTACTTTTTATTAGCAACATCAAAGACCAAAATGTTCACGAGTAAAATCAATTTAACCTCGTTAATCGCTGAATGTTTCAGCATGAAACTTGATTCTTAATAAATTATTCCTTAATCCTCAAGAAGATAAATCTTAAGATGAATAATGAAATAAGAAAAACTTGCGGTGTATGGCGTTGAAGCGCGAAAGAGAGAAAAAAAGTATCGTTTTAATAAGGTCAACTTACAGTATAATTTTTTCGCACCATTTAAATGTAAAAACTCACTTGGACGACGTCGACGACGTTCAAGAGAAAAAGTACAAAGAATCAGTGGTCTCGTTTTTTAATTCGTTTATTTAATTTCTTGTTTGTGACATGAGAGCTTAGCTTGTGAATCGTTTACATGTATTTGACAAGTTCTCTAACGAGCAGTTTTGGTTTAGATTTCGGGAGACGAATAACATGAAAGAAACGAAGAAAGCAAACGAAAGATTTCAATGAGCGTAATGCTCTGTATCGTTAGTTTTTTTATTAATATTTGACGAAGGCGTTGAGAGATTTTTTGCATGTTCTTTTGTTGACTTTCAAACGCCCAAAAATGTCCGACCCGCTTCTTGTTTGTGTACTTATCAAGTCAAAAAACGTCATGTGATGACAGTACGTGTTTAAAATTGTCTCAATCGAATGCAAATTAACGGAATTTTTTTTATAATAATTTTTAAAGTAAATACACAACGAAATGTGACCTAATAACACAACACATAACAAACAATCCTATAAATAGATTTTCTCGACTTTCATAACACTCGAGACAATTTCATAGACATCGTCGCAAAATATAAAAATCAAATAAACCAGAAATAAGTGGCGTTTGTCGATTTCTTTTCTTTGAGTGCTTCCAGACTGTCACTATGACATCACGTTTTCTGTTTTTGGTGCGCTAGATCTACACAAGTTTAATATTATTCATAAAGGAGAGAAGAATCATGATGTCGACAATGTCAGTTTTCTTCTGGCGACTAAGTATGTACATTGCACTCTACTAAAGACTTTATGGGAATCTTGCTTTTCATGTGAAATCATTAAATTGAATAAAAAGTAAAATTCTACATTCGATTGTGACCTGTTTACTGCTTGCATTTGTTCTCCCGTTTTGCTTTGCTTTTTTTCCATTTTCGATTGAGAAGGAAAAATATTGCAATTCACTTTTTTTTTTCTTCATTTTTTATTCTAGAAGCTTGCGATGTGAGTCACTCATAAGACACCATTTGCCAACAAAAGGAAATTGATACGTTATAGAAAGTAAAGATTCTCATTTTTATGGTTGATCATGATTTTGTGAATGGGATACATGAAGAAGTCTTGTCGTTACTTGTTGTTTATTGTTCGATTCTTTCTTGCTAAGATATTCATTTATAAAGAATGGCAATGGCATTCGAATTGGTCTATGCAATGCCTACGATTGTAAAGATGCAAAAGCTTGTGAGAAAAATGAAAATGAGAAGCTTCATAGATAGATATGTGCTATTGAATTAGAAAGTAATTCCTTCGGCATTTTAATATGATCTGCCATGCAATGCACTGTAAAAGGGCTTCTTTGGAATTTTATTCTCTTATTCTAAGCTTTTCTAGTAGCCTATACATAAGCATTAGACATAATCGGAAATTTGTTACAAATCATTCTAAGGCGGAGAACGATGATAATTGAAGCCTCTTGAAGACCCCACCGAACGTGCTACTCTTTGATGTTTCCAATTTCATTCGCATGATTTCGATTCTATTTCATTGTAATAACTCTACCGATGAATTTGCATTGAAGCGAGTAATAAATCCCGTACAAAGAATTCTTTTTCTTACTTCTCCATTTCGTAATTAATATTCTATTGCTTTCCAATAATGTTCTTTGAAGAATTTGCTTAGATGATGCTAAGAAATTTTGAGTTCTGTTATATTATTCAACAGTTTCAACGCTGAACAAAAAGCAAATTAAGACAGAATCTGACTGCGTTTGGCATAATTTTTTGTTTCCGGAATTCTTTATTTTCAACGGTGAAATTCAACGAAAGAAAATTTCGTTTTACGGTTTCAAGTAAGCGAGAATAAAAATTAACGAGATTAAGTTATGACAAATCTCTTGAAGTTGTTGATTTATTTGAATTGGTTGAATCATGTCAAGATTCTTATGGTTATCTTAGAGAAATTATCTTCACATGAATGAATCATTAATATTCAAATGGACGTCGATAAATAAATGTAATTACTGTCGCCTACATTGAAAGTGGAAAGATTTTGCTGATTTTACATTCATTTCATTGGAGGCAACAAGTTTATATTGTATGACCCAAAAATTGTAATAATTTTCACTCCAAGATCGATAAATAAAAACTTCACATGTTCCAAATTCTATTAAAGTGAATTTATCCGAAATGGATTCGCTGTAGGAGTTTTCGATGATCAGGGAACGTAAAGTACGAGATTGTACTTCATTGAAGTGTCTGATTTTGAAAGTCAATTCTCTTTCATTAATTCTATGATCAGATTTTTATTTCTTCCTTCTTTACATCATAGATCATTTAAAATTTGCAGAAGAAAAAACTCGAATAGCTTTTTTATTACTCATATGCATTCGGTTAAGACTAATTTAAGTCGCTTTTTGTTGAACTTTTCAGATCCAACTAATTTTTCATCTAACGTTTGTAACACGTGAACAAAGTTCATCAACTTATTTTTCAATGCAATAATTTTTTTCGCAATCATGATTATGATTTGTTCAGTTAATCTTACGTTTCTTTTTTTCTTTCTACTTTTTCAAGATTATGTTGAAGTTTTTGTTTCGACTTAAAAGTTTTGTTATGCAAAATAGAGAAGGCACTTAAGAATAAAATTTTCATTCTTCAACTGAAGTTTTACAACACTCGAAAATGATTTTTCAACACGATTTGAATCTTTCTTTACCTGGATTTTTCTGTCTAAACTTTGAAAGTTGAGTTATAGTTGTTTACTTTTGCTTTTCTTTGAACAGCCGTGGATACTTCAAACTGTTGTTTCTCTTTTTCACATCTGCGCACGGTCAAAAATTCTTTTTCTTTCTCCTTTTTTTTCTTTTTTGAAAAATCACTCAACTTGAAACTTTATTAATTTAAATAAGAAACTTGACTCTTCACTTCTCCAAGACGATAATATTCGCAAAATGAATTTATAATTAAATTTCCTGGATTTATTCGCGATCCAAAAAAGTAATTTTTAAATACCGTTAGGATGAAGGAAAAAAAATTTTAATCCGAAATATTTTGCCTTCAAATATCCAATGAATGTAGATTAGTTTTCTAATCCTTTAAATAATTTCAACAGAAAGAATTTTCACTGATGATTTTGAGCTTAACATGAGTAAAGTTTTGAGACTGAGTACATGAACTTGACCGTCGTAAGGTCGCGAAAAAACTAAAGAATATTCAATGCTAGTTAGTTGTTTTATAACTTTCCTACCCACAGAACTGATCATATTCCCATTTCATTCTTCGTTGAAGAGCATTTCTTTCTTTCCACCGTAAATTTCTTTTCTTTCGCTGCTATTTCGCTCGCTCGTTTGAGTGCAGTGCAATTGTGTTCGTTTAAAGAGAGGATGATGCTGGTTCTATGCTTCCAGTTTCTCACCTTTTCTTTTATTTCTTCATTTCTTGTACATTTTTTTTTCTGTTCATTCGCCGTTGATGTGTAGATAGTTTCTCGAGTCAACATCTTAGAGCTTAGATCAAATATAATGAGATGCTGAGAATATTTTTTATTCTTATCAAAATGTTAGAATCGTTATAACCTTTTGCGTACGTTGTGTCATTGCGGATGTTTATTTTTCAATGATATTCATGACACTTTTATATAAAATATTTGTTATTATCAAAAGAAATGTTAAGACAAACTTCCTTTGAAGATAAAAGCATGAGTGACGTAATGAATTACACTTCACGGAAGGGAAATCCCTTTCCTTAACACCAATGCGAAGTTCATTGTCATAAAATCACGTGCAGAGTAATATTTTACCTTGAACAAGTTCATTTTCTCACTCGTGTGTAAATTATGCAATCGAGCATTCCGCAAATATCTCAAGAAAGAGAAGAAAGAAAGACAAAACTTCTCTCTTTGCTTCTCTGATTTATCTTTACGTGTTGCTTCCTACACTATTCGTTGAGAAAACCTGAGATCAACGAGTGAAACGTTCTCCGGCTGAGCGTGGATTCGTCTTTCGTGTTCATTAACTCATCGACTTTGAACATGATTGAATCCCGATCGCCAAGTAAAATCTTTTCTTTTTTCTCTTAATACAATTTATGCTGCCAGTAGCTTAGCTAGATTTCATTGACATAGAAAATATTAAAGAAACTGATTATCAACAATGTTGCAAGTTAACGAATGTGAAATAAAAGTTGTAAGATAATTAGATCTAAGCAAATGAGTTGTGGTTATCCTATCAAAGTTTGCTGTTATTTTAAAGTCATCTAAGTGAGCTCGCGCTAGACTCATTAATTCACTGCTATTTATGCTTGAAGACATGATGAGGAATTTCCCAAAAGAATATCTAAGCAATGAATCAAAAACAAAAATTAGAAAAATTCATGTGTTAAACTATTCTGATGTCACTTCATTTCCAAAGCTTAACTCGTGAGAATTGGGTTAAGTTTTCAAATTCTTAATTGTTTTCCGCAGTCTCCATCAAGACAGTTTTCTTTCTTTTCGGCATAATTTAGATTGTCTTTCGTAGACATATCTGAATAGATTAATCTGATCTCATGAAAATATCTCTGGCCATAGCAAGAACGGCTTGCACCGCTATTATTGTTTAAACTTCCGCATTATGCGGTCAGTTTAGGAAAATGTGTGCGATCATCGCTCTTCAAATGGTTAAGAAATGTTTCAGGCTTAAGTTGCGTCATTAGATGAAGAATGAAAAGAATAAAAAAATAAAAATATACAAATTTAACAATATCATAATTGTCCTATTATGATTTTTTATGCAAATACTCGGGTAGGCGCTGAACATCGTAGAATTATGGACTCGAGTTCAAGTTGAGAGCATGAAAGAAAGTTTATTGACTTTGCTGATTGCCGTATTGTTACACAAATATTATATTGTTTTATAGAAAAATTCCATTCCATGATGGTTATGTAGAATTATTTTAATTTCTTTCTTGTGATTTGATAACATTGTATTTTTTGTGCAATGATGAATTAAGTTCGATAAAACGTTATACAAACGGAATGGAATGCTGCAATGTTCTACTTTGAAAGGAAACTGCGGACTAAAGAAATTCTTTATTTCCTTCTTCTTTTTTTTTGTATTAAATTGACAACTTTGCCGGATCCTTAAATTATGATATTGCTACGATTCTTAAAGAGAGTTTGCAGAAATCTGCCCCCAGATATTTATGCTTCTCGTTGGCGGGATGAACAGTTCTATTTTGTTCGATGTCACGTAGCTGTTCCACTCCAGCTATAGGAAAGTCAATCAAATTGAGAAGAGAAAAAGAAGAGAACTCCGCTTTTCAATTCCTGTTGTCATCAAAGCCCGAGATATTTGCGTATGTACACTCTTCACGACGTTCCAATAAATTGTCATCTCATTGCTGCATATTTTTGTTGTCTTCTACAAAAAATTAATTTAGAATACGAAGTCAATTGACGTTTGCAAGCCTAATTTTATTTTTCATTCTCTGTCCCATCTCAAGCGTACAAAGCTTTAGTGAATTATTCAAAAATGTTTAAAAGCACAGAACAGAAACTGATATATCAAAAGATTATTAACAATGGACAATGAGAATATGAATATATGAACTTTATGTTTTCGCATTACATTTAACATGCCTCGATTTGTGGTACATTTTAATTGAAAGGTTACGAGTTTACAAGCCACATAATCGCATAGTTGAGGAGGTCTTTACTCCGCGAACTTTAATTTTATTTCATATTTTTTTACCTTCTTCAAGAAATCGCATTTTCATGTCGATGAATTTATTTATTACGAAACGAAAATCATTTGAAATTCAATTGAAACAACGATAGCTCTTTAAGCTTAAAGCAATAACTCATATTTTGTTACACCAACTACCCCACATGGTAATCAAGCAGTTTTCATAATTTACCTAGATGAGAATTTAGCTTGAGGAAAGTTTTTTTTTTCTATTCTCTTTTATGAGGAACGTGACAAAATATGTGAATAACGATACATTATGGTCATGAACATTTATGAATTGGTAATCTGCGGCTTTATGCTCAAGTTTTTGCGAAACTTAAAAAGAAAGAAAAGAATTTTGTAATTTCGTGAACTTCGCCGCATTTCTTTCTTTCCTTCCATCGTTCTTGTGTTTCATTTTAATCTGAACAAATAGTCATTAAAGTTTTGTAAGCGTAGAAAATTCATTACTTGATTAATAGTTAGCTTGCTTATGTGCAATTTTTCTTCACCTACGAGTAATGAAAGCAAGTGCAATGAAATTATCATCAGCGTAACAATCTTTTGTTTTAAAATTATTTTTTTTAACATGATAATAAAAAGAAAAATATAAAGAAGTGAGAAGCGAGAAGTGTTTTTGATTAATTATTTAATTAAATCAACATTGCATCTTGTTGTAAAGATAACAATTTCTTTCCTACAACTTCCAATCAGAAAAAGATAATAAATAATGAGAGAATTCCTTTCAAATGATGTTCAGAGTCGAAGCTTCTTGTTTCTTACTTTTTATTGATTTCTTTTAAGTTTTTGTTTTCTTTACATTCCCTTTCATAAACGCATGAATTTTAATTTGCAAAAACTTTATCTTTGCAGCATACGCTTACAGGTCACAGTGGAAAAGTAATGGCTGCAAAATTTGTCGGCGAATCACAAAAGATTGTCACCGGAAGTCATGATCGTACGTTAAAAGTTTGGGATCTTCGAAGTAAAGCATGCATCGAGACAAAATTTGCTGGTTCGAGTTGTAACGATCTTGTAACAACCGATGGTTCAGGGTCAACAATCATCAGTGGACATTTTGACAAGAAAATAAGATTCTGGGATACGAGAAGCTCGGATAGTTTAGGAAATGAAATTCAACTGCAGGGTAAAGTCACGTCACTGGATTTATCCAAAGGTTTGTTGACCACTCAACCACTCAACGCTCAATCAAGTAATAAATTAACTTTTTCTTCATTTCAATTAGATTGCCATTATCTGGCAGCATGTGTTCGCGATGATACGATAAAAATCATAGACTTGCGCAACAATCAAATACTCACATCACTCAGTCATGATAATTACAAAGTTGGATGTGATTTTGCAAGAATTGCATTTAATGCTGATAGCAGTCACGTGGCGGCTGGTGCAGCTGATGGTTCGATATACATTTGGAATGCAAGCGGAATACTAGTCTCGACTCTGAAGGATCACACGTAAGTTGGATGGGAATGAAAATGATGAAAGTTTCCATTGAAATGATTTTCTTCTTCGCAGTTCCGCTGTTCAAGCTGTGAGCTTCCATCCATTCAGTTCAGTGCTGGCATCAGTTGATCGTGCAAAAAAATGTACGATATGGACCCATATTTAATCATTCGCTTTCATTAAAATTTGCCTTTTGTTCATATTTAACGAAAATTTTCTTGAAAAACTCTCGTCATCATCACTAAAACAATAGAATTTCATCGACAAAGACGATTTTTTTAGACAAAAGATATTTTTTTATTATATTTTGAGTGAAATGTTTTTCGTTTCATTGAAATTAATTAAAGGTTTCCAAGTTTTGTATCTTTTTGTTACATTAAAGCTTACGTTCAATCAAATGAGATGGGAAATGTATTAAGTTGATGATTCTTTGAATTAAAGGAAAGTTTTTGATAAAACGTACAATGAAAGCGAATTTTTTCTTTCTTTCGTTATTTGTCTGGAGAAGCGACTTAGCAAATGAAGTGACAACCGAAAACCGGATTAGTTAGTGTGTGGAAAGTGAAGGTAAGCTAAAATGAGATTCAGATGATTAGCACACTAACTTAATAATCCAGATTATGCAAATCGATCTTGATTTTCGTTTCGTTTCATTCGGGAATGGAAAAAGCTCAATTTCAGTCTCACACAAATATTATTTTTCATTGTAATTGACTCGAACACTAGATGGAGAAATGAAATCAACAATTAAGGTTAATTGAATGTTTTTTATTTCCATCTTCCCCCCATTTCCCTCATTGAATCTCGGAAATGGTTTAAAGATTCGAATTAACTTCTTCATGAGCATCGATTGCGTGAAACAATATGCCCACTCATGAAAGCAAGTGGAGTTTAAGTAAGAAAATAAAAGAGAAGAAAATATGTCTGCGGTTGAGTTAAACGATGGGAAAATTGAATAAGAATGAAATACTCAAAATATTTCAATTAAATAAATCGGCTTGCGATTAAACATCTTTTGACTTGAAAGTTAAAAAGAAAACATTTCGTTTGAAATTCTTCGCGAATGGAATTTAAATCTTTTTTGCTTGGGTTTAAAGCTTTAAAATTTAAAGAAAGAACAAATAAAGAAAGTGTGAGAATTGCAAATTATGTTTTGCATTTGTTTAGCTAGTAAAATAGTTTAATTAAAATGCGACTAAAATTTATTGAATTTCTTTATTAACTGTAAGAATTTTCTTATGAATTTGACCTGACTTAAATGAAAACAAAACTTGCAAACTTCCCCAGTCTTGTCCCAAATTGATATACAATTTAATTAGCAATGAGAACCATTAAAGGAATTTAATTACTTTGAATCAGTTATAGTCGCCGCTCCATATACCTCAAAGAAGTCGTTAAGGTTATGGAGCAATTACTGAGTAAGAATTGTTGCTACTTAAGAGTAAAATTTGCATATCTAATAAAATATTTTAGCTCAAGTTTTTCTTTCTCACAACGTTGGAATTCATCAAGTAAATGAATTCACTAGCTGCTTGTTTAGAAATTAAAGTGACACCTTGTTGCTTATCACAGTATCATCTTCAGCATTTCTCATGTAAACCTTTGTAAGCTTACATCATTCATTAACTTTACATCGCTGTGAACTTTTTCTTTTGTCTTTTAAATTCTTTTAAAGTTAAAAAATTCTTTAGAAGTACAACTTGTAGTAATTTTGTTAACTTAAACTATGATGTCATCAATTTTCTTAACTACAATGACTTTGAATTTAATTAAAAGGCTTTCCGACTGACACACTTCCCCAAATCTCCATTCGAAGACTGTTGGGAGGAAGTCAGTGAGATAATATCGAAAATTGGTTATTAATTGCATAATTTCTCACTCCATAACGGCTTATGCTGAGAGATATTGTCATAAAGCAAAGGAAACAGTATCGAAACATCGTTCCGAAATCAATCAAGCGCTCAACTGTTCAATGTGCGAAGAATTTTGCTTGCTTACTTGCTTTCATTCATGGTGCTTAATGGCTTTGTCAGTTGTAAGCGAAGAATGAACATTCAAGTTCTAAAAGAGTCGTAAATAATTGCCATCTCTTTCAATTAAACCATTTGTCGTTCAACTACCGTTCGACGACTACAATAAGCGTGTAACAAGAGAAGTAACACAATCATGGTTATTATCCATGTTTTTGGTAATAAATTCAAACGACATTCACGATTTATTCACTTGATTTTATTCTTTTTTTGTTGGAAATAGCGTAAAATTCAGCATATCGCAAGAAAGAATTAAAAATCAGCGATGAAACTTAAGACGCTTACTTACATACACCTGACAACGATGACGATCAAAGAGGGTGTCAAGTGTTTTAAAGCTTTCTTTCTTTCATAACTATGAATATGCGATTAAATTAATTTATTGCGAAATTTTTTTCTGACTTATGAGAAAACTTTTTCGCGAGTTTCAGTGACAATTCTTCATAAAGAATCTTATCGAATTTTAAAATCTTATTAAACGCATTGAGAAATTTGTCTTTTTGTGATGTGAATGAACTTTAAGAGGCTTTAAATTATTCAATTTTCTTTAATAAGTTCACTAGATCGAAAATAAAGCTGATAGAAATGAAAACAACACGCAAAGATTTACAAAACTTTACAAGAGACGAAGGTCCATAAATGAAAGAAGTCTACACAGTTGATTATCTTTGACGACTAATCTTATAAAAATAACTTCAAATACACTTCAAACAAGCATGACAATTAAATACTGACCCAAAAAAATAACCGATATCTATATTTAAGCATTCACATAATACCAAAGTCAAAACATTCAACAGAGCGAATAATAATGATTTGCATGCTTCTGCAAAGAGAGAATGAAATAAGACAAACGCATTAAATTGATTTATTGATGTCAATTTAGAATACTAAGACCACCTTTACCATTCTACGATTAATTTGTTTCGCCAATTTCAGTCGTAAAAGCACCTTAAACAATTTCGCGAGGTTTAATAAAAGCGTTACATTAAGGTCAACATGCGACGACTGTTGTTGATGGATTTGCGGTTTATTTCTCTGTGGCATTTTCTCTCGTCTTCATCGCACCAATGCTTATCTTGTTTCTGTTTTAAAATGATTAGCAACGCTAAATACTTCGACTCCCTCTTTGTGTTTTATGGTTTTTGCGCGCTTAAGACGAAGAGTCGCAAAATGTTAAACAACGACAAAAGAAAAACTTTTTTTTTCTTCCTTTGCATGTTAAAATATTTTAAAGTCTAATGAGCTTCATGCTTGGACAAGAAATTCATGAATCATCTCAAGTTTCTTCACCACGTGAATATTAAAAGTAGAGATTTAGGCGAAATGATAAATTAGATATACGAAATATTTTAATGGTCACTTTGCCATTTCTCTTTGTTTTGTTGAAGTCTTAAAGACCAAAATGCCGATGAATTTATTATTAGCGAAAATAAAAAATCAATAAGCACATTGAATAATATTATAACACGATTTTATGCTTGGATAAGTCATGATGAACAGCATAAAATCAATTGGAGGAATTACATAATAATTAACAAACATTCAACTTGTTAAATCTTTAGAATGTTTCCATCAAATCATTGCTGAGATTGAAGCTTCGATAGCATAGCTTCAAGTGGAATCTAAGAGTTCCAATAAGAGAAATAATCTATCGTCATTACAGAAATGATTTGCTTAAATATGTAATAAACAGTTAGATATGAAATGCAATGCTGGGTGAATGGGCAACTGACAACACAAAAATTAACCGTAGTTAATAGTTTAAGGTAGGATCTGAAGGTCTTTTAACTCTTTCATTTCTTTTCGTCTTCTTATCTCACGCTCTTTTTTTTTCGTCGTGCTTGCTCGACTGTGGTGCGTTTCATGAAGTGGATTATTCACTTGTTGGTATAAACTTTAAAGCAAGTTAGAAAAAAAGGAAGATAATTAATAATCTCTAAATGCAGCGCTCACTCATCAGCCGCGGCGGGCTCGTGATGATGGCGAAAAATTAATTTAACTTTCATTCGTTTTACGATGAGTCGAGGTTGAGTAGTATCATCGTAACTAATGCGCGTCGCTAGGTGCGTCGTAGGTAAACATCAAGCTGCGGGAGGTGCCTTTGTTTTATTTTTTCAAGCCGCTGCTTGCAGTTCAATTTCAAGTTCAGTTCTGATTGTGAGATTGATGACAACACACAACTTGAAAGCATCAGTTGATGAATCGAAGCTAAAGTGTTTTTTAATTGTTTTCTCTTATGTCTAGCTCATTAGACGCATCATTAATGTTGATAGTCTTGCAGTGATTTCGAGATATTATCGCTGGCTTAATTGAATTTTGTAATCAATTCTACTTTAAAGATGTCTTAACGGAAGATTGATAAAAGTGCGGTTTGGCGAGAGAAATTCTTTCAAAGCGATGGCATCAAACTTGTTCCATTAAACTAACAAATGACGACTTTCAAAAAAATAATAATTTGAATGTTGCGTAAAAGTTGCTTGAAATGAAACTTTAATTCTCTTTTTATTATTGAATATAATTTCAATTTCTGCTATTAAAAGATTGTCGCGAAAATAATTTCTCACGTAATTAATGAACTTTCCCTTAAGTCCCACATTCCTCAAAGACCAAAAATCATCTACCAGCTTTCAATTTCATTTTTATCACATCGACATGGCTTCAAATAAGCCGCAACAAATGCAACAATGAAGAAACATTTCACGCGTCTCAATTTTTCCTCTCGTCAAAATCTATCTACGACATTTAACTTTTCAATAGCGAAAGAATAGTTAAAGTGTAGAAAATCTGTTCAACTCATCCGAACGTAAACTGGAGCAAAACAAGCAATTGACAACTTGCCTTCTTTAAATTGAAGAAATCTTTTTCCGATTTTCTTTCTTTATTTCTCAACACAAAAAGAAATAAAATAAAATAAAATATGACAATGAAAACGAAGCTGAAGAATTCTTCAATGCTTCTCCAACTATTGTGGAAATTAAATTTAGTTGAGCGCTAAACAGATTTCAATTAAATTGGAGTAAAGATGTGGAGAAATGTGTCGTGCAAAAAAAAAATTGTTTTAGGTGCAAAAAATGAAATAAAAATAAACAGTGAAAAGAAATTTTTTCCTCCAAATCCAATTCTATTCTCTTCAATGGTTTTTAATGATTCTTTCTTCTTTTTTATGTCATAAAATGTGTGGAAGAAGAGACAAACACACATCAAAGTTGTTGAAAAAGGTAATGATTGTGTGAATTGGGTTATTGGATTGAAAGTGTTGCTTTTAATTTCAAAAATATATGAAAATTAAACTCATCACAATGCTGTGCACATTGAACGATCTTATGAGAGAGTTTAACAAGCGATTACGCAATTACTTAATATGCATTGATGAGTACTTAACCACAAACGACCTACATTGGATGATTCATAGTTGGAATCTTATTAGAATCTTTCCACGAAAATGAACCTGACCCGAACGATGCCTTTACTGTTTATTTCATTCGCTCGTAAATAAATACCTAATCGAATCGGAGAAGACATCCAAAGTGGCGATGAAAACCTTTCAAATGTACTTTATGAGCTATTACAGTAAAAATAAAAAGCTAACAGTTTCTAAATGCAACGTTTAATTAAACGATAGAACGGGGTCTTCCGCATCTACACTTATTCTTCAAAATCTCTGTTGGTAACTGCTCCCCTCTCTAAGGTAAGGCAAGGTAAGAAGCTGTCCAAAAACGACGCCTTTATCAGAATCATTAGAACGCGAGATGTAAGGAAAAATAAACGTCAAAAGCGATGCGCGAGGAATTCTTTCACTACACAATTTTCAATTATTAAACTGACGCAATGGGCTTGTTGTGTGATGGTTATCAGAATGTGTATGTCTGAAAAGAACAAGAAGAAAGAAAGATCGTGTGAAACGAGGCCCAAAATGAAGAAACGGAATTCAACAGCATGCAATTATCAAATCACTGTGGCTCAAGCTCATTTATAGAAGCTCTTCCTGCTAATAAAACGTTAACTCGTCGTTCGTAACACCATCGAAAAACATCAACAGAAGATATGAAAGTAAAGGCAAAGTTCTTTTTTTCGAAATGTTTACAATGAAAGGTGAAGAGAATTTAATTTCAATGAAAGGAGAAATATAAAAAAAAATTATTAATTTATTAATCGCACAATATTTTCTTCCATTCGAAACGCAATCGGTCGTCTCAAAGTTGCTTAATGCAACATAAGAGATCTTTGTTGTTAAGAACTAACATGGTCAAATAAAATAAAATAAAATAAAGAGAAGCAAAGCAAGAAGCTGGCAGGTAGGCAATGTAGACAGGCAGCTACAACGGAACTTTTCTTTCACTTGATTTACTCTTTAAAATGGATGAAAAAATAGAATCGAATTGAATGGCAATTTAATATAATTTACGTTCTTAATTTAATTGGAATTACCCAGACACGAATTATGCAATTAAATGGTTTGAGAATTTGTGAAGATTAAAACAGTTAACGTTGCATTTTATTTACAAATTATAGATTTTGTCGTTTATTGCTAATTAAGTCGTATGTCATGTGAATGTTTAACGGGAAATGCATGCAACTGCATTACTTAATCAATGACTTTTCATCTTCATAAATCATTCATGCGAGATTCGTAAAAGCTCATCCTTATCCATCATCCAATTGATTTAATCATGTGAAGTTTCGTGTCACTTTAAATTGAAATTTAAATAATTTAATCATCCTACAATCTTCTTCACAATCTACAATCATTAAAAAAAGAAATAATGAACCTTTTGCAAAAGAAAAAGGTATCCGAAAACAGAATTAATCAATGGATTAAAGGTCTTACTGCTGTTGGTAAAATAACTATCGGATCACGCTGACCCAATTACATCTTTTCATAAAAAGAAGAAAAAAGAAATAACTTTTCTTAATTGGATTGTTCCAACTCTTCGTCATTCTTTCCTGTGTTGCTTGCTTTCGAATCACATCTTAAGTTTGTTTGTTGCAAGGTTTGTTACCATAAGATCGTTAAGATTCTTTTGCGAAAGTGATCTTAATACTTCGAGGCGTCAACAACTGTCGTTTCATGCATATAAATATAAATTCTACTGCCAGACCCGATCAAAAGTGCAAATTGAAATGTAAAATTTTATTAACACATCTTTTCTCTATCTGATACGGTGAGTCAACGAAATTTTCCTTCTTTCTTTTGACTACCAAACGAGAAAGAAAGCAAACAAGCAAGCGATGCTGAGAATACTTCACGCTCAGTAATAATTATACTTCGATGAAATAAATGCAACGCGGAATTCGACTAGAACTGTATCAGAGAATCAGTATAAGAAATTTATTTCTTTTCTTGATTAATGATTCTCTCGATTCTTGATTTAAAGTGTGTTGTTTTAAGATATTTAATAATAAATATCGCAAAGTCGCTTTCAGCGTCAATGATATAAAAATGTTCACATCTAGATTGTTATTAGCATCATCATCATATACACAATCGAAACTAAACTAAAAGCCATGCGAGCAATTCTTACGTGTAAATAAAAATAAATATCGATAGCGTTAAATTAAAATTTATGTTAAGCTTTGACTCGGATTAGGTTTCTGGTAGAATATAAAGAAACTTTACAATTCAATTGGAGAAGAAAATATTAAAATGCGAATAATTACAGTCGCGTGTAGTTGCTTCAAAATGCCGCCATTGAGTTATCAATTACAATTCTCTCGTTTTATTTATTTTCATATATTTTTTAAAACATTTCTCTTCCTTAATAGATTCCTAGATGTATGTAATTAAGAATGTGAGTAGAATTTTTGTTTAATCAATTTAAGAGAAGAAAGAAAAGAAAACTTTAATGTAGGTAGCATAGATGGAATGTTATCAACATAGATATTTATGATTTTATGATAGATAAATACTCGCACACACAAGTTGAAAACTTAATATAAATATGTATGTTGCTGAAAATATGTTAATTACTTTTATGTTCGATGATCTCTACACAGATGTATGTTAAAAGAAATTTAATCTTCACACAACATATTGAGACTGACTTTTGGGTTGGTTTTGGTGAATAAAGAAGAGACCAGCATAATAAGGTTGACGCTATAAAAAACCGATAAAAGTTTCATACGTTTATGAGGTTTTAGACTTTCATAATTGGATTTGAGGCTATAAAGAAGTTGTTTTCACCAACACCTCATATTATGTTATTTAAATCTCTTTCAAACATGCTAAATAAATTGTATTTACATCGCACGATATTCAGTTTCTTTCAAATCAATTATTCCCTCTACAACTCTTCAAAGATGTTTTTCTTATTTCGCAAACATGTTAAACATCATTAATAGCGCCAAAAATGTTAATAAATTGCCGAAGAACTAGAAAGATCTTTGACGCGTGCATGAAAATTAAATCCTAAGTGATTTTAATGAGGCGGTAACAAGATCAGGTGGATTTAATTTTCGACCTTCCCGCGCTCTGATTTTTATTTCGTTTAGACGCTTTTCTTTCAGATGTTTGCGGAATTCAAATTTGCCAGTTTTACGCTCGTTTATTCACGCCATACACTAAACAAAAATAGAATCTTTTTGCTTTTGAACCGATGGTCTCAATGTAAAATAACGGAGTTTAGCGTCGCGAAAACATTAAACGGAAGCGAGCAAAAAGAGATTTTTTTTTTCGATTTATTTGGACAGACAATATCTACGATAGATTGGAGGCGTATTAACATTTAACATCACCTCTTAACAGATCAGGTAACAAACAACCAACCCAAATGATTAAAAGAAATAAATACACAAATAATGATGAAACATTTTAAATGAGTTTATGATTGAAGGCAAACGCCTTTTGCCTTGGGCCTCCCGGGCGCAGAGCCATCCGCGAGAACATTTGAACATAAAGATTAAGTTTGAAGGTCTTGTATGTTGATGTACATTAGAAAACTGTTTGTTTAATGATGAAAAACTGTTTATTTGTGCATCTAATTAAGAATGTTTACCTGCTGATTCCAGAATCGTTTCCATATTATGATTGATTGCTCAACCTGAGAAAAAAGTTGTTTAACTTTTAAGTAATCATAAATACATTGTGTGTGTGTGTGTGTGTGTGTAAGATAGATAATTGTAAGTAAACTTTTTTTTATATATTTCACATAAATATGAATGATTCTGTATTTGGAAGACTTGAGTAGATATGAAAGTAAGAAGTGCATCATTACTCATGTCAAGTAGTAGAAAAAAAAGTCGAAATAGCAAGAAAAAAAGAAAGAAACTTCATTTTGCTTTAATTATGATGAATAAGAACATGGCTCGCTGTTTTATTATCTGCACCTATGCACATGCAGCATTTTAAATGACGCGAGAGATGTGTAATGAAAATGATAGGCGCTATAATAGAAAGGAGCTGCTTGCTATTTGCTTTAAACTACAACAAAAACAGTTCTCGAACTAATGGAAGTAAAAGTTTCTACTTCACCTCACCTGAAGCCATTGTATTAATTGCATATCATTTTTAGAGAATATCTTCTTCTATTATTGCAGGTTATTAATATTATAAAAATGAATGTAATGATGAGGAAGAAAAATCATTTCACTACTAACCAGTCTCTTAAGTGGCCGTTTGGAATTTGTCGGATGCTGTTTCACAGTTGTTAAAATGAGTTTGCAGTTTCCTGACGACGTGTAACGCTATTAACAAGTTCGCCTAAAAAACATAAGTTGCATATCTTTATGCCTCAAGCTTTCTACACGTTTTTAAAATAATTTTAAATATAAATCTGCACTGACACTTCTGTCACGCTTTAAATAATTTCTTTGAGTGATTCTTTGGACATGAGCTTGTTACTTACATCATGTTTTATTATCTACAATAAAAAGGAATCTTGCCAATCCACTTTTCATATCAAATCATGTCATATTTGACTTCAAAGCTTGCTTTACTATAATTAATTTCCATTGCAGTTTGCATCGAAATCATAAGACGTCGACATTTGATGCGTTAATGAAATTAAAATTCCATTTAAGATTGCAATCGTGAAATACTTTTCCTTTTTTATTATTAAATATTTCATTTTCCTAATGATTCATTTTTTATTTCATTTTCCTGCTCGTGTATCGGCTATTTAAAGTTACAAATAGGCGAATAAAATGTATAACAACATTATTAGTTGTTGCTAGCATCGTTTCTAGTTTTCTTCATTCAATCTATCATATCGAAATAAAACCATAAACTTCTTGTTGTTTGTTTGGTAAACAGTTCAAGACATCATAAAAGCTGAATAAGGAAAAGAAAGAAAGCAAAAACAAAAAGTTGTGTTCGTTCGGGGTCAATATCGAGGGCTAATAGCAGATGATGGGAGGGAAAAACAAATAAACATTCAATTGCAATAGAAGAGTAGAGAAAAGTACGCCACATAATGCAATCAGATGCAATGCAATTTAGGGCGAGCAGAAATCTTTTTTTATTCTTTAACAAATCTCGCCAGATTTATTCCCGAACGAATGTGTGGTTTTATGATTTGCATAATTTATTCGACAGAGGATTCACGCGCGCCGATCCACAACGAGACAACCGCATAATATTGAAAAAACCGTATGCATTACGCTCCCTTGATAGTCTCGAAAGCCGATTAAAATTGATTAAATGAGATCACCAAACATTTCCTGGTTTTGCATTTATAAAAGTAAATAAACTTTATTTTGGATCTTAAGTAGAACAGAATAGATAATGAGCAATGAATGTTGGCATCTTAATGAGATCAGCAAGTAAATTGCATCCATAAAGTCTTGCTTTTTCCATAAAGGCTTTAATTATTATAACGTTGAATATGTTGCGGCGACAAACCAAACCAATCGCCTTCATTAGCTTTCACAAGTAATTTGCATGATGAACTGTTCGGTTCTCATGAAAGTTCTCATTAGTTAAGAATTCATTTTCAAAAAGCTTCTTTAACAGCGGGGAAGAAGCCTTTTAGAGAAAATAACAGAAACACCATTAAGGAAGTCATGCTGAGTCTGTTTAATTTCCATCATAAAGCTTCGGGCAAAAATGCTTGATGAAATGTAAATTTAATTTAATTAATAAGCTCAAAGAAGTTACCACAAAGAGACGACGATGTTTCATGAATTAAGTAATCATGGAGAAATTCATCGTCAAGTGGTTAATATGATTTATTATTTCTCATTGTTATAACAAATTTAAAATAAACTCTAAACAGATCGTAAAGGAGATCAAGATATTGCTTCGCGCTTGGCTTCGCGTCATTTTCCGCCTTCGGTTCTTTATAGAAGTGCAACTTTGAATGCCGATTGTAGAATAATAAAAGCATACAATGAGTGAAAGGAGAATAAATAATGAATTGCTTTTTTGCTTATATTTCTTTCTCTCTCAATCTTTCCATCTTTCTTTTCTTATGTTACGGTACTGTTAGAATTTCCCTTGCACTCTTTGAATTTGTTTTAAAATTTGATGGAAGAGTCAGAAGTGATTGTGAAAAGAAAAGGCCGCACTGATAATCCCAAACGTATCTCTATTTATTTCTTTACTTAATTCAATCAAATATTTCTTGAAGCTTTTTTCCACTTCAAACGTAAGATTAAAATCAATTTTTTTTTCTATTATTCTAAACAAATTTTTATCTCCCTTGCAGGCCTTCATCGACCGTGAAGCTAACAAGAAAATACTACTTTTTATCTATTCTCACGTGATTGTTTTCATTAGCCTCAATTATTGGAATTTCAACTTCTGTGAAGTTAACAAAGTCAATGGGCAAGTCGAGTGCGCTTTTTGGTGGGCTCAACAGCTTTCAAAATCTTTTTTTATCAGCAAGATACGAACAGCTTTGAATAATGACATTCAAATTTGAATAAAACAACTTCGATGAATGGAAATTGTTGCTGTTGAAGACTTAATTAGAGGCAGAGATTTATTAATTACGGAAACATTTAAATCTATTCAACATGTGAGCTTGCACGATGAGAGATAAATTTCCCTTCCTGCATGTTTAAGCCGATCGATGAATGCAGACTTTATTAATCGACGTAGACAATGAGAGTCGTCGTGTGACTCAGCGGTTCCACTCGATTGATCTTTTAACGATGCAACGATTATCTAATGAATCAATGAGGTTAGAAATCAATTTCACCAAGATTATAAACTTCATAGCTTTGAGGTAAAAGCACTTAATGTCAAATTATTAAACCATTTTTTATTATAAAAAGTTTTGATCTCATAACTGTTACCTCACTAAGTATTGCAACTTGCGAGTCTTTATTCTTATTTTTGAGAGATTAGATAGCAAGGAAATATATTCATTATAATTAGAAGCTCTCTTCTGTTATCCATTGTTATCCAAGCAAGCCAACCAACGAGATTTCCTTCTTGAGTACTTTATTTCACCGCAAACATTAATTAAATTAACAAGAAGAATGTCTGCTGTCATAGAGACACTTAATTAAGAAAAGAAACAATGTTTGCGAAGCTGTTAAGCTTTTCTTTCTTCAAAACTTTGCTTTTGTCATCAGAACACAGCATTAACGTCGTGATAAAAATCTACCAACAATTAGCAAAATTAATTCGAAGTTATGCAATGGAAAGAGAAGAAAAAAAACTTTTTTTTTCATCGAATGACTTTCTAAGTCATTTGTTGGCTATTCATGTGAGTCTTTAAGCTTATTTTAGTGAATAAACAATCAATGGGAAAGCTTTGACTTAACTAACAACTAGCTGCGGCTTTATTGATGATTAAAGTTCAATAAATGAATCGCAAACAGTGAGAATTTCTGAAAACTTAATGTGCGATTAAAAACTTCAAAGGAAAATGAAAATCGTGCTTCTTTTGTTATGATCAGACATTCGTTTAATAAAACGTCTTGTGAAATGAGAAAGAAACTTCCAAGTTTCACGGCAAATGTCCGGAAGACAAGAAAAGCCTTTGCAATCGGAAAAATCACCTTTTATTGAAGAAAGAAAAATAAAACTTCTTTCCTATTCTTTTTCTTATGTTTTTTTATTATAACTTTAACCCAAATTTACGTGAAATCCGCGCCGTCGCTCTTCTAACCCCAAGGCTCCATTTGATTACATTTTTCTTGAACGAACTTTAGATCTTCCATTTTTTTTATTTCCAGTTTTAATGAGGATGAACTGTTATTGTTGAAAGAATATTAACAAGATATATATGCATTTTCATTCCAACTTGGCTGTTGCTTGCATTGTTAAGTGATTTACCTGAATTGCCATTGAGTGCTTTCTCTCGTTCTTTTCTCCTCCACAATTCAAAAGGCATTCTGAATGTTATAATCACATGCAATTGTAGCATCAGACCGGTAACAATGTTCTTTTGCTCTTTTCTCTTCAACTCAACTCAAAACCAAACAATATTTATTCCGAAAAGCTTTCGTTTTATGTCTTTAAAATCCAATTAAGAACGGGAAGCAGCAAGCAGACACACATGCAGTTGAATTAAATTTCTTCTTGTTTATGTTTAATGGCCGAATATATTAATCTATGCATCAATCTTAACTGAGTGCTACTGACATTAACAGCTCTAAAATGAGTCGTCAACGACGTGCTTTGAAAGCCATCAATCTTCTCATGCATTTTTCAGTTGATTATTTTTTCAAATAATTTTATGTTTCGCCATTCAGTATTCAAATTTAGCGAACTTCCTTTCGATGACCTTAAACTAGTTGAATGGTTTTTTTTTCTATTATATTCTGAAACGTTTTAACGTCGTCTCTCTTAACAACGAGACACAAATTTGCTGCAATCATCTCAGTGACCATCAGTGAATATAAAATGAAGAATGACGTGACTTGAAGCGCGATGTGATTTATTGTTGACCAAGCGACATTATCATCAATTTTCTTTCGGTAGATTTAACGTGCAACGTGCTTTGAAATAAAACAAGAGAAAAATTTGCTGAATCAACAAAATATGTCCCTAACGGAATATCGGAAGGAATTCTTTAAAAGGTCATTGGTGAAGTCATCAACGTACTTTGTCATGTTGCAGACGAGATTAAAGACATGAAGTTAATCAGTTTTAGAAGCGTTACAAAAAGTCAAATAAATAATGAGTAATGAAAATGAAGGTTTTGCTTGCTTTCATCACATGAAGAATCTCAACTGACAATGAAATTCTTCCGTAAAGAAGCTTCAGCAAGTGAAGTTTCTTCAAACAACTTTCATATCTTGTTTCGTCTTCTGAAGTGAAATAATTACACTTGGGGATTGCATCAAAATGTTAATATAATCACATTAATTATAAAGAGTTAACTTTTCAATTAAGCTTCGTCAATGTTTACTTTTTCGAATTCTTTTTCATTTTCAACTTGACATGATACGATAAAATGCCAAAGCGTTTACTATTAATAAATAAACAAGAATTGGAACTTCCAAAGAATGCTCAACGATGATGTCGACATTGAGATAAAACTACATCAGTAATGAACTGTCCAAATATGATCAGCGTCAATCATAAGATTGGAATGTTCATCGAAGTTGGTGCAAAATGCTGTCGATTACACCGTTACAATTGATTACCAACTAATCAACAATACTTAACTGCACAACGATGAAAGTTTTCGAAGAACTTGAACTTGCAGTCTTTGATTTATTCAAACTGCGTATTCAATTAGCTGGCAATCTGCCAGTTGATCGTCCAAATCATAACGTTCTGATTCCATGACATATTTTCATACCAAATCGATCACTAAAATGATTTGAAAGTTTAAGAAAGCATTTAAAATGAAGTGAGTCAAATAGATAGACGTGCATGTTGATACTTGATGCATGGTTCGACAACAATTAAACTTAAATTCAATCTCAATGTGTCTCTAATGTCATTTTCAGTGAGCATGAAAAAGTTCATGGAATTTTTGTACCGAATAAAAGAACGAGAATTATTCAAATGTTAAGTGTTGCGAGTTGTGATTTATTTAACAGCCGGCAAAACTTCATATAACCGAATTTTAGTCATATTTGCTTTACCGTTGTCTTAAATTAACTTTGACATCATTCAGCATGCGAACATTTTTCGTTTCTTTTAATAAAACCAAATAAAGAATTTGCACGTCAGATGATAAACTGAAAAATTGTTTTAAACTCACATACATAATTTATTCGCTTCACGATGCTTCCCTTAGGAAATAATTAAAATAAAATTATCAGAAATGAATGAAAGATAGAGACGAAAGCTTCTCTCTCTGAACCTAATAAAGCAAATCTAAAGTCCAATTCAATTATACTTTCATAGTGATTCTTAATAAGATTGAGAATAATTCTTTCTCGTGATTGTTTCTCGCATATTCAATTTGGCATTGTTCAAAGCATTGGCTTCGCAAAGAGCCCTTTAACATCTCACCAGTTGATCAAATTCCATAACAAATCGCAATAAAACATAAAATAACAAACAGTTCTCATAGTTTTGTATTAGCTAATAAGCAATTCATCATCGTGTTGTTCACATTTAGATTCAATTGAAAAGATACAACGAAGTCGTTTAGTTTTACAAACAATCTGAATTCGACTCATCTTTAAGTTTTTCACATTTCACATTTCTCGCGAATTTTATGAGCTGATCAGTCATTTCATGACGACTTTAACATAGCGGAGACAGAAATTGATGTTCTGTCTTTCTAGCCTGAAACCATAAAAAGAATCTTTGTGGCGATCACTCACAGCGATATTCAATTGCATGTTTATTCTGTTCTGACTTTTTGGCCTTTTTTTCCACTTCACTTTATTATATTTTTTTGTCTTGTTTTGTTTGATTGAACATTGTGGTGGCCGCATCTAACTCTTCTCCTGTTTATTTAATATGTTATGTTGTAATGGCATTGGGGATAATTGAGTTAACGTTATTACAACACATATAAATAGCTAAACAGATGAAATGAAAAAGAAGCAATAAGTAGAGTTGAATAAACGCAAAGCGAAAAAAATTAACTTTCGCGTAATGAAAATCAAGCTTTTTCTAAAGTCATCAAATAAATATTAATAATGTCGTTCAGTTTCTTTGAGCACCGGCAATCATTTTCATTTCTACACCGGATAGACTTCGACTCATCCATTCATAAAACGACTAACAATAATAAATGATTCAACGGATAAATTTCATCCATTGCAATGCAATACGTTGCTGGGATGTGCAAATGAAGCTTCTGAAGGTTTTTCGCCAAAGCCCGTACGAGTGTGCATTTAATAGTCGGCAATAAATATAAAGCATGATAATAAAATGTTTGTTTTTTTAACTCTTATCTCATTATGCTTAAGATGATGATTTCTTCTTCAACTTTTCTTTTTCGTGATTATTTTATTGGTTCTGTTGAAATTTCTTTATGTTGTAAATAAAATTTTATGACACGAAAGCAGGCGATCTTTTCTTTTAACTGTAAACATGAGAAACCTGCGCATTTGATAGTTCTTGAAATCAATTTAAGAATATAAATTTTAATTGTTATGCAAGCATTACTCGTAAGCTTATGCTTTGTGCAGATTGTTGTAGGTTGACGCTTTTAAAGCGATTACTCGAGTCGAATTGTGTGATCTCAAGAGTAGCATTTCACCAAGTCAAAGCTTCATTCTTGCAAAATCTGAAGTCATTTCATCTTTACGGTGTCTCGGTTTTGATTGTGAAGTTGCAAGAATTGCATTCATCGAGTCGGTTGGAAGGCAATAAAAGGCCGAATTGGTGATAATGCATGATGGGTGGTAATTGATTGCTACTCAAAACAAGCACCTTAATGCTTCTCTCGAAAATTGATTATCGTCGGTTAATTTGCATTCTTAACGTTAGGGATTGGCGGCATTGTCAATTGTTATGCAATTCCAGAATACGGCCAACCATTGCAGTATGTGATGCGTAAAACGATATTTGAATATACTTTGATGTTCCCTTTTGTAATGCCGATCGCTCATAAAAATCACTTGCAGATGTTCATACATTGTTCTTTCTTTCTTTCCTTCTTTCTTTTTGCGATGTAAATTGCTTCGATGGTAATTACCATCAAATCAGAATAAGAAGTGAAAGAAAAATAAAATCTTACGTGGTTGGAGCGCGAGGGCAAAAATAAAGCGATTAAGTAATTTTAAAAATGATGAAGGCCAAAATATAAAATTTTGAAGGCTTTCGCTTAATTTATTTGGCATTTCTTCAAATCCATAATCTCCGCGAAACAGAAGCCAAACCATGCGTGAAGTAAATCTTTTTAGATAATTAAAAATCAATAAGAGTTGCCCGCAAAAAGAATGAATAAGAAAGCAAAAGTTTGATTCATGAAGTTAAGCTTTATATTGATTTCAAGCAAAGTTGAAACAACAATGGGAAGCTTCGAACAGGTCTAAATCAAAGAGAAGCTCATTGCCACCAACTAATCATCAGAGCGATGAACTCGAACGAAAATTTCTTCCAAAATTTTTTAAATAATTTTTCTTTTCACTTCAAGGTTATTGTTCGAACAATTGAGTTTCGAAAATTACTCTAAACTGAACCGAGAATATGAACTACAACTAGTTGAAAATCATGACATGAATGATGCGGGTAGAAGTCAAATTTCCCCTCGGTTCAATGAGTTCCAAAGACAGCTAATTTATCATACAGATTTGGCGATCATCATAATGGTGGAAAAGCAAACGCTCATAAACTCATAGACCGAAATTCACGATCTAACTTCAACCTTGAACTATCATGTCGATGTCAGTCAATGAACTCCAAGTATGATGCTTTTCACTCAAACCGGAAAACGTAAATAGCATCTAGAGCACCTGCTGATGAAAAAGTATCTCGTGCAGTTAGGATATCAGCATTTGCAATAATCATGTTGCCGATTCCAGTGGAGATAAGCATAGTTTCATCATTCTCATGATGTTTTCTTCTCTTCATATTATTCTGATGTTTTATCATTACTTTAATGATGAATTTAGGGTCATTTTTCTTTTCCTTCTTCTGATTTTAAGTCTCCCGATTTCCTTAAGTCTTTCTTATAACAAACTGATATCAATTAATAACATAAATAAATCGTGATATAAATTGCCAACATTCCCTGAATCAAAAACGAAATAAAAGTTAATTAAATAAAGTTTTTGTAAATGTCATGTCATATGCCTAAAGTCTGGTTTCAAAGTAGATCAACAGCGGTAAAGAAAACATTTCATTGCACTTCTATTCAACTTTCATCTAAATTGTGTTAAATTTTTTCTTATGTTTCATGCTTCGGACTTCTCTTGAGGCTTTTGTATGTAAAGTTACGTTTTTAAATATCTATGCATTTTACCATTAGTCGACTAAATAGATCGCATTGATTTGAGAGACAGACTTCATACCTTTTTTAGCACCAGTATAGATGTAGATTGAAATTGATTTCGTTGCTGATAGCCATAATTATAAGATGAGATGAGATACATAAACATAGGAAAGGATCGCAATATATGATTTCGTATGCTTCCTATCTTCATATTGTGTTATTAATTACATTCTTTAATGCTTCAACTTTTAAAAGCACATATACATCAACTTTGTAAAAATGAAGTAGATTTCCTTCTTCTACTTGATGCTGACGAACAAATAAAATGTACGGTACGTTGAGATATGGTTGCGTAACTCTTAATCTATCCAGGAGATTAAATAAGTATTACTTAAAGTCAAGTTTATATTCAAGTCGCTTTATATTCATTTCAGTTGCTATCGTCTACCAGTGCAATGAATTCGCAGATGCCGTTTCTGACATAGATGTAATCAGTCTGGTTTGGAAAACCTACGAACAAGATTCAAATGAAAACTGAAACATTTATCTGAAGAAACTTTTATGTCTTCACTTTGTATTAGAAAAATAAAAATTTACGACTTCATTGCAGATTAAACATTTTCTTTTGACGTGTTTAACTTTAAAATCTAATTGGGTTGCGTGTTAGATTAAAATTTTAACGTTGTTTTAGATCTTTTTAGAACTTGTTTAAACCCATGTTGATCTTTCGCAACCTTTTCGTCTTAAACATACATTTTTCAAGGAAAAAATTGTAAATCTCTTTTCGTAGAAAATTATTTATAAATCATTACTAGAAAAAGAAATAATTATTGAAAGATTTTTTGCATGAGCAACATTCACGCTTGTTTCTTTTGAACTTTTTAGTATCGCGGAAGAAAATCTTGTTTTTATCAAAGTAACAAAGTATTTTTAATGGATATTGAAAAAAGTGTTTTTCGTGTAAAAACATCCCGATATGGAATTCTCTTGTTAAAACACAAGGTGAGGCGTCACTTGAGCATGAAATTCAGCGGTTTGGCGCCTTTTTGTCACATTCTTCATCTACTTCTACCCCATTCTCTCTATTTAGTATTCGTTGAGAATCATTCATATTTTTCACGATGAAATGACAACAAAGTCTATTGTAATTCACTCTATAAAGTATTATTAAAGTTCTGGTTTTGCCTATTTGCAAAATGACATTTGTACGCCTTTAAAACTTCTATACGAAAGTCAATCAATTTCAAATTTCCCGAGAGCGATTGGCGAAAGCGGCTTCATCTTCATATGCCTGTGCTTGTCTCCTAAGGAGGAAGAAAAATTAATTTAGTAACATGTACAAATTGACAGTTTATAAAGCGTTTTTTGTTTTATTCGATTCCGCATCCGTAGAAAAGCGAAAGATTATCAATTTTAATAAACAATTGCATTGACGACATGAGTGTAACCTGCATTTATGACATATTTTACTTGTATACGGGCCGAAAGTTTATGCTATTAGTGAGTTAACGGTGAATTCGTGCAATTGGAGAAAGTGAATCGATTGAGCTAACATTACATTCAATAATGTTAATATCTAAATATAAATGAAAATAAAGAAGAATTTTTATTATGCAAAATAGCGAAGAATTTGTTTTGAAAATGATTTTCCATTTACAGATTTTATTGCTTGGCATAGTGAGTTTATAAATAAAGTATTATCTATTATTGAGATCATTCTAGTAGAAACAAGTAGTTGTAATCAAAGAAATTGTTCTTATCTCTGCATTGTTTGTCTTGAAGAATTTTCAAAAATTGTTCTGATTGCGCCTTCAGCTTATGCAATTTTAGTCAACTTTGTGCTATTTTTTCAGGCATTTCTCCTTCCGAAGAGCAAATCTTTATCAAATTAAATGAAAATTACTAACCCAACCTACTTGTTATATCTGATTGTTTAAATTTTGCGGAATTGTGGAAACGTAAAACTTCATCAGACTTCACAGTAGTGTAAAGTTTTGTCTTGAATAACGTTAAAAATATAAAAATAAATCAATTTAAATAAAAATGCAATTAAATTACCATTAAAATGAATTTTGCGATGTGAAATGTCTTTGTAGATTTAGTGATATAATGTCCGGCCGAGAACATTTTTGCAACAGTTACTCAAAAAGATTCTTTTGTCATTACGCCAAATTGTATCTCAGTCGCCGATTAAAACCAGATCTGCATTCTTTATGACGCTAAACTTGTTTTCTTTTTGGCACAATTATGTCTTTTAGGACCGGAAAAGTTCAGTTAAGCACATCGTGCGCAGTTACAACTGATTTCATATTCCAGATCTTACTCAATTGTCTTAAGCGGACTTCTTTCATTCTCTCCAACGCTATGGCGCAACTGATCACACAGCAAGTGAACATTTATCAGGCAATGACCATCAAAAATATAAGAACACAAGAAAACAAACAATTTCTTTCTTTTTCCCACAAAATAAACCACAGCACGAGAGAAAATAACAATTCAAGCTTATTTTGATTTGTAGATTTATTTAAATTAATTCCATCTAATGTTCATGCGCTTGTATTTTTACCTTTTTACGTAACCATGTTTATCGCATAATTACTTTCTTAGGAATTCATCTTCTTGCCGTGTTGTGTTTCATTACATTTTGCTGCTTTGTGCATTCATCTCTTCATTCCTCAAGCTGATGCGAAGCAAGTAAATATTTTTTGATAAAGAAACAAAAGAGCATCTCGATCGAAAATCTAATAGGAAATGCTTTCAGTCTTGCATTCGCTTTAATCTTATCATGAATATTCATGTAAGCAACGAAGCGATGGGAAAATTTAATCAAATTGTTAATTCATTTCACTTCTTTTGCCTGGATCATGTGTTTGAAGATTAAAATGCTTATCTTCATTTGACAGTTTGATTACGTATATGTTTGTTGTTCTTGTTCAATGCGCGCGAGAAGAGTAAACACGAGTCAAGAAAATGTTTTTCACGCTTTCTGATATCAACTTTTGCAACATGTTTGACACTTGATGAGCGAAGAGGAATTTTATTAGCTTAAAGGAATTGTAAATATTTATTTGCTATCACAGCTTTCGCATTCTTTTTTATTTAATTAAACTGTATGTTATCAACTACCGTTTGTTAATTAAATTATATGTGCGTTAAATAGTTAAATAATTACAATTCATCCCTCATTTTGGTAATAAATTGAAACAACATTCACAACTCTTTTATTACTTATATTACTTTTCTTGTCTTACCTTTATTTTCTCGCTCTCGCATAACGCAAATCATATCAAAGATGATGTAAAATTGTAATAAATCACCATGATATCAATTGGTATCAGTGATTGAGAAATTTACCTTCATACATCAATATAAAATTATAGAAATAATAAAATTGCTATTGAAGTTCTTAGAAAAAGCTGTTGATCAAGTAGAATAAAATTATTTCAAGTCCTAAACGAAATTTCCTATCGAAGTTGATTTTGTAAATTCTGAAGGCAAATGCTGTAATAAGAACGAAGACGTTTCATGCTTCCAACTATCATACCCAACTGGAAATGTCGCAAACCTCAATGTAGAACTGTCACCTTTGTTATTTAAGTACCTGTTTTAGTATAGAACTCCACATTAAATGTTAATTGTTGGCAGAAATGAATTTGAGTAGATATATAAAAGGACGAAATCCGAAAANTAATAAGAACGAAGACGTTCCATGCTTCTCACTATCATACCCAACTGGAAATGTCGCAAACCTCAATGTAGAACTGTCACCTTTGTTATTCAAGTACTTAATTAATTTCGTTTCACGTTATCGTGTCATAACAAAAATATTTACTGTTTTAGTATAGAACTCCACATTAAATGTTAATTGTGGGCAGAAATGAATTTGAGTAGATATATAAAAGGACGAAATCCGAAAAAAATTTCACTAGGAAATTCAATTCATTGAGTGATTTTCTAAAGACTTGCCTAAAGATGAACTTTATTTGTCTTTTGTATAATTTTCACTGCTTATGGTAAGAATTTTAAAAATTGTCGGAATCTGATATGAAATTCTAAATGTTTTTTCGACAGCTCTTTCGTTGATTGCATTTGTCAGTGCTGGAGGTGATGTTCCATAATTTCCAGATTGCGATAAAGGTGAAACAATCTTCTGTGATGGTAATTCAGACATTTGTCATTCAAACTTCTTTCTCACCTATTTTCTGCTGTTGTAGAAAAGTTGCTTAAAATGAAATAAAAAAACGAAATTTGTCAACTTACAAGATTTTTCCTGTACTGAAATTCTTAAAAAATTATTCAAAAAATCAATTCAAAGAGCGTAATATTGTCATCTATATTTGTATGATTCGAATGATGTATGCAGTTCAGTGTTGTGCAATTTCTTAGAGTAGATGTCCACCTTCTAAGAGCTTTTGAAACCTTTTAGATAAATGTAGATGCTGACAAAGTTTGTTTCTATGAACACTGGTGAGTAAATCCTCAAAACCTTCAAATTACTTCAATAGTTTACAATTTCACTTCCAACTTTGAGCTAGGTTAAGACAATTTCAATATTTTTGTTCACATTAGCATATCTAATTAGAAGAACGACATGCGATGCTGATTGAGTTCTCTTTTTCTTACCTTTTGATATGTGAATATCTTCTCACTTTCATACGCTTTTGTATCAACTTCATTTGAAAATGTTACAAGCTGAGCACCTGTGACGTGACAAGCAATGAAAGAAAGGAAAAAATTGCCAAACATTTATTTTCGGCGAACTGACCTACATCGATTATTGATCCAAAAAGGAAATCGCAAAAACATGACACGAAATTCCGTACCATGCTGCTGAGAATATTTGTAAAGAAAAGTCCGACTTACTTAAACGCATTAATTTGATAAAGCATGACCACCACGAAAGCGAAAAGACAGCGCAGAGTTAAACTCCAAAAATTATTGCAATCACTAATTTCCGATGGACAACTTCCATTGAGCCCAGACACTTCTCCATTATTGGCTTGTTGCTCAATTTGTCATCTGTCAATTTATTGAGGTTGCACGCGAAAACTACAAAACGATTTTTGCTGATGTTCTTCAGACATTCACCGTGACTGGAAGAGAGTTAAGTGACCATAAAAAGTAATCACCTGAAGTGAAAATGCTCGAAATATTGAAACAATCAAGGCGCTCTAATGACATTACAAAACGCTGTCGAAATTGAATTCAAATCGAGAATTTGGTTAAAGAAAAATATTTAAGTACAGTTAATGAAATGTACACAACAACTCGCCGGTTTAAAATCTCTTCCGAAATATAAAATGTTTGATTAAATTTCATAAATCAAACACAAATCAATTAATATCGATCGATCGATGAAAATAACTGCTGAATACGTTAGTAGCAAGAAATGCCTGCAGTGAAGTGAAGTCAATCGTTAAAATCTATGCACGTTTTAAAATAATAATAATAAAAAAAGAAAAAGTTCATTATTTGAAAGATAAAACTCACGGTGATCGTTACAATAAAAGACAGAAAAAAGCTCGCTTCTCGCAACGTCCTAAAACATCTTTTAATTCACTATTTAAAATGCAATTAGTCGCTAGTGGAAAATGACCACACGAAAGTAATAAATCATGAAAGTAAAACCAATCATTTATGTTGAAAGCGAGCGATAAAGAAAGATGGGAAGAATTTTTATTTTTTGTTGTTGCACTTTGATAGAAATTTTTAATCATTTATGTTGACTTGAATGGTGGGTGATCTCATCTTTGATTCATCATCTCATCTCAGCCATAATCTCGTGATCGTTTCTCCATCATTTGGTTCACTTTCTTACAAGCATCATTAAAGAAACATATTTTATTAAGGAATTTTAGCACAAGACATCTTCATTCCTTTGCTCTTCGGTTGATCACTTGATCGGTTATTTTTATGTTGCTATTTGAACAGATTGGAAAAGAAATTATTTTATGACTTTCGTCTAATTTTTATGGAAAGTCTTCGGACGTTGTTATGATCCTTGGGAAAATTAAACTTCATTAGTGAGATGCTTTCTGCACTATTCAAATTATTTCCTTACTATTTACAGTTAACACGAAAATCATAATGAAGAAAACATAAAAATTTAAGATTGATTATCTCGAAAGAATTGTACAAATATTAAATCCTAATGACGGCTTGTTGTTCTGACCGTTTTGCTAGCCCCACACAAATACTTTAGAAAGATTTTTAACACGAGATAAATTATCGAAAGAACTGACAAGCTTAAAGTCGGTTTTTGTTACATTTATTAAATATTTTTTGTGCAAGCTGCAAAAGTTCAAAATACTTAAAGAATGCCAATGCATGGTAATGTTAATATTTATGCTTTATTTTGACTTACATGATTCACGTTTACACGATATAAATCGATTGTTTCGAACCATATAGCAGTGATACTTTGTTGCTTTCTTTGATCACGTTCCTTTCGTTTAAAGCTGCAAGCTAAATATTAGTTCAACCTGCAAGCGATGTTGTCTACGATCTGTGAAGAATTGAAAATATTTCGAAGAATGAACTGTCGATGAACCTTGTTAAGCTCAACGCTTGAAGTTAAAAAAGAATTGTCAATATTTTATAACAGCATTCAGTAGTTAGTAATTAGAACATGATCTACAAACAGAAATGTGATCTAAATGCATGAAAATTAATTGTCGAATTTTACGATACCTGCTTTCCATTGATAAGTAGAAACTCGATCGTCTCGTTTTTATTATTTTCTGTATGTTTAACGTTTAAAGCATGAAGAGATTATTGAAAATAAAATTATTTCTACGACTTCCTTTGCAGACGTTTATTTGTGCTATAACAATCTTATTTTAATTACGTGGTCTATGATGCGATGGCTAAGCTATCTATACTGATGGCGATAAAAGAAGGAAACCGTAAAACAACAGAAGACATAAACTCTTCAATTGTCAATACTCTCATCGCTGTTATTAATCTCTTCATCGTTTATTTTATTTTTTATAGCATTCAACATTAGACAAATTGATTTCAATAACATATTTATGTAGGATTATTCAGAGATTAAATTAAATTGAATGTGATAAAGATCTTGTCAGATAATGTCGAGTAAGATGACAACCGAAATATTAAAACATGACAAGACCATAGCGATGATCAATGAATTTTGATTTCATTCAAAAGAAATTCACGAAGAAATAAACAGTAAAGCTCAAATTTCAACAGGTTTCCAACAGTTCATCACGTGAAGCTTTTTAATATTTTTTTTTATTATTTAAATCGATTCACAATTATGCTCATAAAACAGTTATTAACACCTCTGGTGAAAATATTTCCATTGCGAAAAGTGTGGCGATAAGTTGAAAAGAGCGCTTCCCGGCGATTTTCTTAATTTATGTTCATTCTTTACCAGCAACAAAAATCTCATAATTTTGTTTTTTGAAAACAGAATAAGCTCATATCATTTAATAAATAGTTAAAGTAACTGTAAGAATGGTTTGAATGGGTATCAAAGTATCTAGCCCTGAAGTTATTTGAGTCTATGAAGAATTTGATTGTAAATAATAAATGAAAAGAAACAAACATAAGAAAAGTGGAAATGCTTCTGTGATCAAAAGCGATCATCGATAAAACGAAAATTTAGTGCATGAAAATTTAATATTAAATGACTTTATCAGGAGAAACATTATTTTAAACTCAATAACAGTCATTTAGAACAGCAATCTCAAAAATTTCTTCTTTCTAGCTAAAGTCTCGACTCTTGAGTTGATTATAATAAATATTTCAATCTCGAACAACAAGCAACAGCAGTGAATTTATAAAATGTATGAAAAAAAGAAAACAAACGCTCGAGGAAGTCGTCGCTTGATTTCATTGATGGGAAAAAAAAACTTGTGTACCTTAAACGAACTTATGTTCGAATACCTCCAATTGCTTTAACATTATATTGTGTAGTTCACCAACGTTTCACCTATAGATCACTGCGACAGATAAACTTTCTTTAAAGTATTTTGAATGAGAGGCAAAAATAAAAAAAAATGGGAAGAGAAACAGAGTCGAGTCTATCAGACAGTAAACATCAAGCTGAGAATTACATTGACCTACAAAAACAGTCAGTTGGTTAGATAAAAATCGGTAAATGATCGTTTGCCATTGAAAAGTCGTACTAGTGATATTTTATTGCTACTTAATGGACTACAAATTTAATTTTCATGACCTCTACCCCTCCCTCAATGGGACCTGCGGATGGGACGTACAGATGGAAGAAACTTGATAATGTTCTTATTATTTAAAATTAAACCTGCCATTGTTGATTATCTATGAGAACATTATTCAAATCACTTTCATTTGAAAGGTAAGCTTGTGAGCAGTGAGTGATATTAAATCTCGTAAAAATGACTTACATACTTTATATCATTCCTTTCCGACGATATCTCGATGATTAACGTATTTAATCTTTTCTTCTATTCACTTCTAATGAGCTGCAATATCATCTCACATCATTTCCCTCGTAAATGCTAGTTATTAGAGTCGCGATTTTAATTGCGCATTTTTTATATGATTCAATATTGTAATGATAAGATCGCGTTCTCGACTTTTGTATAATTAACAAGGAAGAATATTTTTTGTTATTTTACTTTCAATAGAAATCTGAGAGAAGTGCTGTTTCATGCCTTTTTCAGCACCTTCCAGTGGTGTATTGTGTAGGAAGGAACATAGATAAAGGATTGGAGTTGATGATAACCATAATTATTGCGAAACATGATCTTAAACATAAAATTTTATGTCGCAGGGGAAAAAAGAAGGAAAGAATTTTCCTTTTAAGGTAGCGATAAAAAGTTGTTTGATTTGATTTTACGAGAGAAAAAACTCATTAAGTTACAATTATAAATATTAAGAATCTTTAAAGCCATCATTAGAATGCTTTTAAAGCTTTTTGAGCAAATATAAGAGTCGTCACTTGAGAATACGTTTCAAAGCTAGATATTAATTTGAAAGCATTCATTAATGAAGTTGATACACTTGAGTTTCCGCTACAATTTTCTTTAAATCTATGCGAGTTGTATTGTGCAAAAAATATAAAATAACAAAATAAAAATAAATGCTGTGCTCGTGAGAATAAAAAGTGGAACTTGTTGTGTGTTAAACGAATTGTTTTTATGCTCTTTTTTCACTTCGCTTGCTGTAAATACGTGCGACTACAACTCTACTAAAGACAAGAGTGACTTAAAGCTGCTGGATAAAGAGAGAATGTAGATTTTCTATTCTTTCTCCTTTAAAGATTGTTCAATTAACTTTTAATGTTATGAGATGCAATAAAAAACGTTTTCACATTTTGAATCTCGATAAAAATCTCCATTTCGCAGTCACTAAAACTTCTGTGATTGCATTTGATATTCTTTAAGCTATGATGACAAGACCGCTTAACATTTCTCCTGTGATGATCATTTGCCGCCACTTTTAAAAAGCAATTAAATAAATTTAGCGAATTCTGTCAAAAAGTTTCATTTGAGCAACTTCATCAAATGAACGCGTGAGAGAAGAAGAGCCGTGGGCATTCGATGAAAAGATCAAAAAGAAATTCTCATGAGAATGAGGCCGAAATCACGAAAATAAAAGAAAAAATGAAGAAGAAAATCGTTTGATTGTTTTAGCTGCTTAAACAATTACAAATAATTAAAAATCTCTACATTGTTGAAGAAGAATTAATCTTCAAGTAAGCAATTCAAGTCCATGATCAAGACAAGAACGACGACACGAGTTTTTCATTTTCTTGAATTTCCGCGTTATGGACTTAAAACGAAACTCAACTTCATGTGCGACTTTTCATTCGAATTGAAATGGTGATGGTGGGAACAATGGCTTGTAATCTATTGACATCTGTTAGCATAGATTTTTGTTTTAACATATTAAAAAATGCGTCATTAGAATCTATTTAGTCAATATCATAATTGTGCGAAGCTTGAGTTCTTTTGTATGCAAAATAAGGCTTTATGGACGGTTGGAATGTTCGATCACTGACTCACAAAGCCACACAGAAGTTTATTGACTTTTGGCTAGTTATTGCTGTATTGTTATTTAAATTCGATTAAAGATCGGAGGAGCTCATAGATTCACAGAGTTTCGAAGTTCACTCGTTATTTGCGATTCGACTGATAACATTGTTCTTACCTTTACATTTTAAGTTTTATGAACTTACATTTTTGTACGATAAAAATCATTTATCGGATGCAGTTTTCTGTCAAGTTTATTGCGACATTCAAATGGATTTTACTAACTGTGTGTGAGCGGGAATTACAAACGAAGCATTTTTATTTAGATATTTATTTAATTGTTGTTTTTTTTTGCTATTGTTTTTCTCTCTCTCTCACATGAAGCTGGCATAAAGTGACAAGCGGCGAACTAAAACTGTCAAAACATATTTCCGAAGCAATTTCTTTTCATTTCTATAAATGGCACTCAAACATATCACGAAGGAAAAAATATTCATTTAGTTTTAAATAAATAAAATCACATTTTCTTGTCCCCTCACATCATTGATTGCTTATGAATCATGGCATGTGAAAATTCTTTTCCTCTGAAATGGTAAACGATGAATGTGACCAAATGTTAGCTAGCAATGATTAATCAAAATGCACGTTTTGTTGTTCGATATTCATTTCGGAGACCGCCGACAGTGAAATCTCGTCGCATTCTTCTCATCTGATTCGTTACATTTTCTTTCACCTTTTCCACGTCTTTAAATGTTGGCTATGGAGGCCACTTGCCTACTCGTGATGTGTTGCATTCCGCAAATGTATTTCACTCATCGATACAGAAACCAAAGTCTTAAAACAAAAGAGATATCGGTGCATTAAAATGCGTTTTTAATCGCGAAAATCTCAGCTCACTTATCTCTCATCTTCAATGCTCACTCAATGTCAATTTCTTTTAACTTTCTCTGTGCTTAATCGATTTGTGGAGTTAATAAAGTATACATGTACAAGGCTTTGTGATGAAGAAAAACGAGATTCTGTCTTTCTAGTGTAGATATCGGCAAACAAGATTACTTTTCTGATCACAGATATGCGAATGTAGAGAATGTTTAATAATTTATAATTAAGTCGTGAGATGAAATCAGAAACGATTACAAACTTTTATCAACGATTGAATGTTTTTGTGTAATCTGAAAGAATTTACAGGTGCAAATTCTTTTCCATCAATCAAGAATCTTTCGACACATTCAATTAAAGAAACGAGAAGAAAATTGCTTCTTGCTATAAGTTTTAGTTTATTATTGTTATCAGTCTAAAGTAATAAAAAATAAACTTCTAAGATTTATGTCACAAAATTATGGTTTAGACGTTTAGACATCGCCAACATTTAAAACCGTCTAAGCAATGATATCGCGAAGTCACATGTGACAATTAAATATATTTATAAAGATTATAGAAAAAAAAACAAGATTTTTACGTCTTTCCCACCTTGATTTGCTGTTTCTTTACTTATCACTTATTACAGCATAAATAAACATAAAAAATACGAAAAGAATAACAATATCTGACTATAAATTTATATGGAAAGATGTTATCGTATCATGCACGATCTAGGTATAGGTAATGTAATGTGAAGGTACTTAGAGAATCATGAATCGATTGGCTGGCAGCGAGTATGTACATATATAAATAAAATATGTTTTTTCGATAACAGCTGAAAGGAGAATTAGCCTTCAAAATGTAAACATAAATCAGATAAAGAGATTATGGATTCGACGGAGAAAAACTTATCTATCGCAGTAATGAAATTGAAAAGAATTTTTTTCCTTCTTTTTCTTAAAATAAAATTAAAATTCCTGAGAAGCGAAACGATTGGGGGAACATAAGTTTGCATACTTGAACATCAATTTGTTTGTAACAAGGAACGCAAAATCCGTTAGACAAGAGAAATTTCCGCATCGTCTTGAGTTGTTAAAATTAGCGCGAACACTTTAAATCCGCAATGTATTTATTATCTGTTTTCGAACGTAAATTTGTATCCAAATAATGAAGTATGCTTAGATATGTAACCACTAAACAATTTTCTAATCAAAGAAAAAACCTCTTCTTGCATTAATCATAAATTGGAAAGAGCTTTTAAAACATTAACACATGATAAATTATCAGAAGAGATGTCGGAAGATGCAACATGAATATAACTGAGACGTGATTGTGATAAAAATGTGAACATGAACGAGTGTGGATGATTTATGCGTTATGTTGGATTAATGCTTGATATTATTTATCAAAGAAAGAGTAACCGTTTCAAATTCCTTACACATACAACCTGTAATGTGAATAGATAAGCAGTTTCACGACAAGTCTTGCATTTCTTATTCTCACAAATTTCATTACAATTTTAACAACAACGAGATTAATGGAACTTCATAATTGGTGTTTAGAGACCCCAGGAAGTTATGTTAAATGAATGGACAAGACAAAAGATCTTTCTTTCGCTAATTGATGCCACCAAAGTAACTGAACAGCAAGCGCTTACAAAATGATAAAAGAAAAGACAAGAAATATTTCTCCAAAGAATTGATTTCATGGCGCGCCAATAACCTCTCAAAAAAATTCCAACATACAATGCAAGAAAATAGATTGAAATCAATTTATTCTGAAATGTTTTATCTTATGAAAACTTTGTTGAGCAAGCGAAGCGCTTAAATAGTCGAAAAAGGTATTCTTGTGATTGTCTTCATTAGCCTTAATTATCGATAGATTAGAGCTCAATGCTGTTGAAAACTTGAGAATGCTTTCAATCCAAAGCCGTTTGCAATCAATTGAATTGTTTACTAGCGTTAAATTACTTAATTATCGCTTCCTATTTCAACAATTGTAATGCTTTCAAAAGTGTTTCATGAAATTCAATGTAAAGATAAGAATGAAAAAATAATTTTCAATCATATTCGAAGACTTAATTAACAATATTTATTAATTATTGAAAGAAAGCCTTCCGTCTTTGATAAATTTTTAATATTCTTTCTGTTTAATCATGAAACATACACACTTTGTCATAATTTGTCAAGCTGCAATTTTCTCGTCAACCGCTTTCTTTTCCATCTTATGCGTACTCGCTAATACTTCTTAGCACAGCCTTTTCGATTGATCTCCCGATCATACGACTGGCGCTTGCGATGAGTGTAAATCAATTATCAGCTCAGGTTGACTTTTGCATTAATGAATAAGTCATTCGTCTATATTAGACGACAGTAACAGTTATGTTTTTCTATCGGCTGATAAGTTTACATCAAAGCATTGCTGAATGAATGAAATGGAGGGAAAAAGTTTTGTTATCATCTTGATCGCTTAAAGTCATTATGCAGTAACATAATAATTTAATTAAGTCGTTCGTCTAAGTTTTTAAGAAAGAAACAAGATTAAACTACATCTTTGTAAAGTTCATGATTTAATGCAAACATAACAACAATAAAGAAAAATGAACACCATCGATGATAACAACTTTCCAAAGTTAAAAAGAAAAAAGAAAATGATATTTAAAGCAAAAAGTTACATAAGAAATCAGTTTTTGTTCATTTCTTACAATTGATAGTTGCTTATTGCTGCCCACCTACTTCATTTGGTGTTGTTGCCGTTCATGTAATGAGAGAAAAAGAAATAAAATAATGCCGGGAATTTCATGTTTATAAAAGTCTCGTAATAAATTGAGAATAATTGAAGAGCATTTAATGTTATTTTTCTTATACTTTTGTTCAATTGAATGACCACGCGCGTAACAGAAAAAGAAAATCTTCACATACTTGATTCTTATCTATTAAATCGATGTTTAAGAAATGAAGAGTTAAGTAGATCGACATATAAGTAAACATTAGTACGAAGATGGAAAGAATTTCAAAAGTTGAAGAGTTAAAAAATCATGCTGAGAAAACAGCATTCTGATTACACCACTGCACTTCCAATTGCGACGATGATAGAGAGAACTATGTTTACAACACAGCATATTTTACTTTAGAATGGAAATATATGTAACAACGAATAGTAACATATATGAATTTATGTTATGGGCATGTAATTTATTAATTTAAAATACTTTTGTTGCTTTCTCTCTTCAACATGCTGGTGGCTGAATCAACAGAAAATAATTCTTAATATGGTTTGCCATTACGTGATTCCCCAAGCTGATAACAATTTTTTTTGCTTCTTTCTCTTTTTGACTTTCCACTTGTGCATGAAAATTGCAAAAAGCTCTACGACAACTATGAACATTATCATAAACAATACAATGCACAGCATATCTTGAAATAATATTAATACACTTTGCGTTCTCTTCTGTCATCTTTCTAGAGATGCACGTTGTCTATTAAGTAGCTTTGTGTAAAAATGAAACTCGAATTATCATTTTTCATAAAGGAACATTGATTATTTCATTTCAAATGAACTGATTGTATATATTGCTCTAGTCAACATAAATGCAACGGAGTCCTTCTATTTTCTCTAAGATATTTAATTTATCATTATTTTCGCATAGATAAAGAATTGATAAGTATCGGTTTGAACTCGTGTGTGTCTAGAGTTGCAAAACATTTCAATGGTGAACGAGTGAAAGAAACATGCTGAATGAAATAAATGGTTTAATTATGTGCTTACTATTATAACAGCCATAATTCAAGCTATCTTCTTGATATGGTCTTTATGTGAGTTTAAATGTACTTAGAATTTTCAATTTTCTCATGGTTTTAAAATTACCTAAATAAAATGGTCTTAAAGCGTAATATACCGTGCAAATTGCAATACTTTGCATTTCTTAAATGATTCTGAACACTAAAGAATAAAGAATAATGGAAGTAGCTATAAACATTATTGAATTTATGAAGAGAAGAGATATAAAGCTTATTAAAATTTATGCTGTAGATAAAAGTTTTACAAAATAACGGATTTCTAGTTTTTAAATTTTTATAGCAAAAGCTTTAAGGCTTTGAAAAGTTCCTATAAAACGTTAATAAAAAAGTTCCAATGAATAATATTTAACTAATTTGTACAAAATTGAATGTCAATGGATTGTTTGTATCCAGAAAGGCTTTGATAGAATATAATTCTGATACATCGTTTTCACAGTTCAGGATATTTGAGAGAATTGCACGGACATCTACATTCACTAACTAGTTTAACATCATAAATTATTTTAAAACTTTAATGACTCACGACAAAGTTGCAAAGAAATAATTAAATGAGCATCGTCAATTTTGTTGTTCTGAGGAGTTTAATTTCAAAAGGCTCAAGTGGTGAACAAGCTTAAATTGGAAAATTACTTCAGGAAAAAAAAGTTTCACTCCGATCCTAAATTTATCTCTGTAAGTATCTCTTAATTAGTTTAATCTTAGTTTCACATCTTATTTTCGAGCATAGTCATGAAAATTACTTGCATTGTGAACATGAAAAGGCACATCATTTTGATACTGTTTTCTTTTTGAATATCATGAAATTTCCTACTTTCTTCGACTGCTTTCCATTATAGCAAACATTATACACAAAGAATTTTAATAAAGGTTTTAAGTTTTTCTTATATCTCTTGCTCTCTATCTCAAAAGCCCGTAAAATTCAATTTTCTTTTTCTTTTATGCACACCATAAAGAGTATAAAACGAAAAGCATAACTTTAAATATTCATCGACAGTGAACCCTTCTTATCCATTATTTATCGCTTATGCAACCCCGAAATCAAGGCATTCACATTTACTTTTTGAATTTTCCTTCTTTTCATTTCTTTATAAATAAGAAGAAGAGAAGCATCGAATAAGAGATTTGAGGGTGGAAAATTTATATAAAATTCCTTTAATAAATAATGAATGCACAGCCGGAAAAGAAGTGAAAAGAAAAACATTCGTGAAGAATGAAAACCGTTGGCAAACAAAGCACGTGAAGTAAATTTGTATTGAATAATTTATTTTCAATAATATGCATACGTTTGTGTTCAAACTTCACTAAAGTTATAAAAAACTCTTCATCGGTGAACTTTTATATTTTACGACTAACAAGTTGATGAAGGTGACTGTGCCATATTCAAGTTTCTGCTCCCTAATACGACCTAAGCTGTTCCTATTTGCTAGCTACATACAAGTGCAAGTTTCCTTTTTTACTTTCTTGGATTATTTTTCAACAAAACCCGCACGATTGCCACAAATTTTATACAGCGAAACCTCACTGAAGCGGTTCAGGCTCTCTTTACCTCATTTCACAATTATTTTAACAAAGAATATCCATATCGTTTTGAATTATGAATACTACGTTCACTCTTCAATTCTATGCTTACAATTACTTATAGTTATTTACAGTGCATTCTCCCTGAACCTCACCAAGCAATCGATATTATGCAAGTACGACTATTCCAACTTCACTGGCAATGAAAAGAAATTCGCAGCGATCTTTAATAAACTTCATTCACTTCTGAACAATAAACATTTTCTATTTTACTGCATTTATGTAACATTTTTAGAGCACCTAATAATTCCTACTTTCAAGACTCTCTCTCTCATTCACTATTCAGCTTATGCATACAGTCACCTCTCTCTGAAGCAAGCCAAATACTCGTTTAACCCTTTTGAGGTACAAATTAAATTAGATAAACAAGTCAAATTAAATTTAAATCAATTATATTTAAGTTTATACAATAAATTTTTGCTTCTTGGAACCGAAACCTTACTATTATCCAAATCGAAATTAATTTCAACTAGTACTCCCCGATACACTATTTTCAACAACTCCCTATTAACTTCGTACTGCTCCCGGGCACGCATTAAGCCATCTGCACTAACCAATTATCCCAATGCTTTTGCCTACATAACCTCAGGTGTCATATACTATATCTTCTACTCAACTTGTTTATTAGACATCTCGCCTGACGTCTCCCACTTCTTTAAGTCTCTAATAATGGGAAGAGGAAGATATTCTAGAATCAAAGGAAAGAAAGCAAAATCAGCCAAGTATGTTGACTTCTCTGATTCCAATCCGGAAGAACCTTCCCATGATAATTCTGGCTATCAAGTGGAAGATGAATTTCTCGATGCTTCCAATGAAACAGTGCCACCCGAACATAATGAACCTTACGTTGACTCAGAAGATAACGCCTTATCACAATATCTGCCTCAACGCGATCAATTCCAAGATCAATCGAATTTTAGCGATACCAGCTCTTTAACGAGCAAAAGAAGCTTTGACCAAATAGCTAGTCCAAATAGTGATGTTCAGGCCAACCAAAAACTTCAAATTGTTGAAAAATTAACGCACAATGAAGACTCTAGCAGTCGTGAGGATTTGGCCACAGGTTTTAAGGGTTTATGCGTAAACGTCAAAGACTTTTTAGGCCTGGATAGCGACTTACAACTTAGCGAATCAGAAATGAATAGACTTAACAGGCAAATCCAAGCCTACACCGGTCGTCCCAACATTAACGTTCTGCTTGCTAGTATTCAGGTGCGTTCCTTTCAAACTTCTCATTTAATCCCCAAAGTTCTCAATTTCACTTCTTCTCATAAACAGAAAGACAAAATGGAGGCCACTTCATCTAACTCTCCAACTCAACTCACTCCTGAGGGAAATTCCTACTCAAATCCCACTGAAGTGAACAACGGTGCCCACTCTAGTTCAGCCTCAACTCAAATTGCAGCCAACACTCCCGTAGTCTCTGAAGTAAACAATAACATCTATTCGCCATCCACTAGCCAGACTTCCGGTCTTAAGAGAAACTGGAACACTAACCAGTCCCGGGACCTCCCCACACCGCCACCACCAACTTTGAGGCCATCGCAAGGTAGCCCAAATGTTTCTCGATTCAAAGATCAAGGAATCGTCGAAAATGATGGCACTGTTTTCGTGGCTTACTATCCTGAGTCTTACCCAGAAAATATCATCAGCTACGCGGACAAGAACAAAATCATGAACCAAATGAGTAACCAATACAAAGATGGACGAGATGAAATGAAAAAGAGGAAAATTGCCCAAGTGGAAATTCAAGCCACTTCAGGAATACTTCTTATGAAAGAGAAAAATGTTAAAGGAGCTGGATGGAATGAGTTGCTATTTAAGCAACAAAATTGGACGAAGATCTTGGGCTACAACTTACTTTGTGTCCCAGCACGCGACATCTCTGTCTCCCCAGCTTTCATGCTGATTGTCCCCCGCACGGACCTTAATTGGAAAGACATTGTATTAAATATCCGTAACAGCAACAAAAAAGTCTTTAGCACCAAAGATTGGAAGCTCACGGTGGCTTTAGACGACAAAGGTTTTGCTAACGGTCCCAAAAAGTTTCTGTTTATATCAAATGGAAACCTCATCAACTTCATGAACGATAAAAAGAGCATCAAAATCAATTTCCCTCCTTTTAACCCGGCAACAATCCGGAAAATGCATCATGGCGGGAACAACCCGTTGATTTATGCATCTAGTAAGTTATTGTTCGTCATAATGTTGTTATTCCCATATTCTAACTTTTCATATTGTCAGATATTGGATCTAAGACTGATACCGAAGAGGCTGAAGAAAAGTGGGAGAAGAACAAGCGTTTGGTCGAAGAATTTGATCGCGACTTTGGAGGTGACGAGCAAGAAGAGTCCATGGAAGATTCTGATTCGGATTAAAGCTCATCTCTATAAATGTACCTGCATATTTTATGCTCACTCGTTAAGCTTGAAACTCATCTTGAACTTTTACAACGAATTGTTATTTCTAGGGTTAAGTCTTATTTGTGATAAGCGCAATGACGCCCTTTCTCTTCATATTTTTCTTTACATTTATTTTCGCATATTTTATGCTCACTCGTTAAGTTTGAAGCTCACCTTGAATTTTTACAATGAATTGTTATTTCTAGGGTTAAGTCTTATTTGTGATAAGCGCAATGTCGCCCCATCTTTTCATATGTTTCTTTACATTTATTTTCGCATATTTTATGCTCACTCGTTAAGTTTGAAACTCATCTTGAATTTTTACAACGAATTGTTATTTCTAGGGTTAAGTCTTATTTGTGATAAGCGCAATGTCGCCCTATCTCTTCATATTTTTCTTCACATTTATCTTCTCTCATATGAATCTTCCGCCCATTACTTATATCATAGACCAAAGCTCTCTAAGTCACTAATAAAGAGATTACTTGAATTAAACAATTCGCATTTTTCTATCAGAATGTTTACTATCTATGCTTTCTCCACATTTATTACAGGAACAACCAAGAAATTATTAAGAGTAAGTAATAAAAAGCAAGAAATTACAAAGTTTATCATGAAGAATTTTATTCGGTACATTTTCATAACCACAACAACAACATTATTAGTAAGTAATGGAGCGCACAAAAAAATCAGGTCCATCGGCAAAAAATGCATTTCTCTTGACATCTCTAATTTACATAGTTTTGGGTGCATCATAAATAAAGTCTCCAATTTGCGAAAATCTAAGCATATTAAAATAGATACCTCAATTTTACGAAAATTTCGAAGACAATCAATCCAAATGGACTTTCATTATTTATCTGTTCCATTTTATTTCCACATAACAACATATTCATTTAATCACAGAAAATTTCACTCACATTCTACAGTTGAACGCCGGTAAGCGGAAATCCGCTTTCGACGAACTACTGATGAAATGTGGAAATAATCAAATTGACATTCTCTTGCTTCAAGAACCAGCACTGCACAAAGGCAAAGTTTGTAACATAATGAATGGCGACATGTTTTATACAAAAAAATCTAATAACAGAGTTATGTCGTGTATCTGGATTAAGAAAAATACAAATAGATTTTTAGATCCTTTTTTATTAACTGAGTTTTCGGATGATACTCTAACAGCTATAACAGTTAAAGTTAAATTGGATGGCGGATCAATCAAAACAATCGTTCTAATATCTTTCTACTCTCCAGGCTTACCTGTTTCGGTTCAGCCGATAAGTAAAAATTTAATTTCTCTAGTTAGATACTGCAAATCACAGAATCTCGAGTTCATTTTATCAGCTGATGCAAATGCACATCATCAAATTTGGGGCGGATACCAAACGTGCAATAGAGGCATAAAAGTGCTGGATTTCATCATCAACGAAAATCTCATTTTATTAAATAAAGGAGAATATCCAACTTTTATAAGAGGGAACTCCNAAACATTCGTGAAGAATGAAAACCGTTGGCAAACAAAGCACGTGAAGTAAATTTGTATTGAATAATTTATTTTCAATAATATGCATACGTTTGTGTTCAAACTTCACTAAAGTTATAAAAAACTCTTCATCGGTGAACTTTTATATTTTACGACTAACAAGTTGATGAAGGTGACTGTGCCATATTCAAGTTTCTCAGATTAATTATCATTCCACAAAACAACTATCAAAACTAAATTAAACTGCAGTGAGTGCATCGAACATTAAAAATATAAAAGAATAAAATCGAGTGGAATAATATGGTGAGAAAACTTTATTTATCAATTAAAAGCACATCTGTTGTATGAACTTTTTTTCTTCTCATTTCTTGCCTCGCCAATTTTCTTCCACCAAAGGCGAAATCGAACAAATCGTGCAATATATAAACACCTACGTCAGCGTAGTAAAAGAACTAAAGATGGATAAATTAATTGAACGCTTTTTATGTATGTGCTTGAATGTGCACATTTAAACTGGAAATTAAAATCCACTCATCCATGAAATCGAATATCTGTTGCACGTACACTATTCATACTTCGTATAACAACCAACCAACCATTGTGAATGTGAATCTTGCTAAGAATAGAAAAAAGCTTTGCCAGCGGGCTATCAGAAAAATATAATTGTATCAAAAAGAAAGAAAAAGTTTTTTCTTCCTCCATTTGATCAATAGTCTTACAACTCAATTGCATTTTCAATTCTAATAACATGTAATGAATCAAGTTGATTGCTACAGCATTGTAATCGATATTTGAACAATGAAAAAAGGTTTAATTTTCTCTTTTTATTTCAGGATCGAAAAACTTTTATTGCTGTTTTTTGAAGCTACGATAAGAATGATGTGAATGTTAACAACGATAATGCTTTTTTGTAGGATTTAAGAAACTTAAAGTTTCAGACAGTTCAGTTAATTGAAAATGAAAAAACTGCACAAGCGATTCGTGATTTTCTTGCAATATTTAACGTTAGACAAGTCGTTTAAAAGTAATTTAATTAATGTCCTTTTGTGACAGTGAAAGTTTGAAATGAGATCTATAAATCATATCTGTGAACATCTGACACTTCATCGTCATATTGAGTCCCAAACATATCACTAGAAAATCTGTCCCAAAGAGTTCATCATTTTCTCAACTTTCAGTTAATACTTTCCCAATGTAAGTAAAATGAAGAAGGCCAAAAAATAAATAGATAGAAAAAGTTTTTCCATTATCATGTCATCTTTTTACTTTACACTCAATCTTCTGACCCGATCCTGTATCATCTTCTAAAGCTTCATGGATAAAGTTCAAATACACGAAAATTCACCGCTTGTCCTCGTTTTCATTCAAGATTCAACATGATTTATTAAACCGCCGGGTATTCAATATCCAAAATGATTACCACGTCCATCATTGCATCGTGATTACATCAACTTTCCCTTTTCATACGAAATAAAGATGCCACAACTCGGCTCAAAAGACGTTCATAATAAAATTTCCATTTTTCTCCCTTGAGTGAACTTCTTTTCTTTTCACTTCAAAATGCAAATTGCTCAACAAGCGTATGATCAACATTCACATTATTTTTTCTGCCTACAATGCAAGCAATCCTTCCACCACCCTTAGCTAGCAATTTATCGAAAATAAATGACTCAATCAAAAGATGGTCATAGATAACGTGGGTGAAAGTGCATGGGGAAGAAATTTAAAGAAACCGCAAGGGCGAAGGATGGAAGAATAGAAATGATGGCAATTTATCAGTCTGAAAGGAAAATTTCTTGATTGAAAAGTGCTTTTAGACGTAAAATGTTTTTTGCTGATATTTTTTTTCTTCTTATATTTTGTCAAGTTTTGAAGATCGATGAAAAAGTTTGTGCGTTGAATTTTAAATGAAAAATGAAGTTTATTGAGTTGAGTTTTTTTCTTCCTATCTCGTTTCAATGAAGAAACGAGAAAGAATTGAAAAGGAAATTTAAGAAGAAGAAAATTTTCCTTTTCCTACTCAACTTCAATTTCTATAAGCAAGCCAATCAATCAACAGACATCTCACTTCCTCATTTTCATGACTTCCGGCAAAACGAATCGTCTTCTGTCACCGTCACAATCCACGGTAAATAAGACGTGATTCTGGAATTGACTGATGGCGTTTTTGTTCCACAACCGACACCATAACTCACCAAACCGATTACATATTGACGACCTTTTGAGTAATAAAGTGGCCCACCGCTGACCGGAAACATCAGAAAAGGAAATCATGATAGGCGCTTTAGGGCAAATTGTTTTCCCACTCACCTGTCACTCGTACATGAATCTTTCTTCTCAGCATATGTACACATTTTTGCACTGTTGTAGATTGAATCTTTACAGTATTTTATCGGAAGTATTTGAAGAGAAACTTTCTGTAAAATTTTCGCTGGAGTACCAAAAAAATCTAAAAGACCAAAACCAGTGACGGTGACAAACTTCCCGTCAAACGAGCTAAAATAAAATCAACTTTCAAATATAAATGTTGCTTAAAGTTTTAAGATGTCTTTAAATACTCTTCTTGAAACTCCCATGGTAAACATGCTGGTGCAACAGCAGCATTAAAAACGATTGCTTTAACAGTCCGTATCAAAGCAATGTCAAAATCTTGTTCGTATGCTTCTCGGGAATAATTCTCATGTCGCACATATTTTTCAAGCTCGTAAGATTCTGTGTAGATTGTTTCGCTTGAAGAACTTAAGTCATGTTCGCCAACGTAAGCAGCAACATTAGACAGATCAGCATAGAGCTCTTCATTGAAACAATGTGCACCTGTTAATCCCCATCGTTCACTTATGATTACACCCCCGCAAAACACACGATTTATTGGCAATGCGACCAGCGCAATCATTGAGGGAAATTCATGAAGATTTGCGTCATTTCCATTGAATATTCGTGCCTACAAAATCAATTTCAGTTGTTGAATTTAAAAACTTAAAATTTACTTCATTTAAACCTCTCAAACCTTCCTCGACCATCCACAATCACATGGCGACAGAACTCTTCTTACGGAGCAAATATAACGATCATTAGTCACGTCAACTTGAGTGACATAAGCCATTGTTAATCGATTAAGAACACTTCGCCTGCGAAATTTTCTTCGAGCTCCATAACGATTACAAAAATAATCAGAATTCCTTAAGTCTTTATGTCCATCAAGTGATAAAAAGAATCGCTTAAGTGGACATTTGTGAGATTCTGATTGATCAATTTGTATGACACAAGTTACATCGATAATATAATTTACAGGTGCACTGACGGTGTAGCGACATGATGAAGCGTTGAAGAGATTCAAAGTATCGAATGAGCTTATCGTCACGTTCTCATCCGTCTCAAGCTCAAAGGTTTTATCGCAACTCTCAAATAAAGCTGTTGATGAATGAAGGAGCAAGAGAAGAAGAAACTTTTCAAGCATCTTTTAAGATGTTGTTGAGCTGAATATCAACGACGACTAAAGTAGAAAACGACAGCGTTTGAAACCAGATGTTAAATTTATAAGACAACACTGACATAAAAACGAATTTTTCTATTACAATTTATTTTAATTTCAACAGAAATTACGTCAATAATGTAATTGACAAAGCGCATTATAATTATTTGAAAAATTTAGTGATGAAATCTTTTTAATCAACAAGCTGACATTACACAAATGAATTAATGTCTTGAATTGTTATTTTCTATCCGTGTTAAACTTTACTCTTTTTGTTATTGATAAGTTCAGTTCTAAAGGAAACTTAGTCTTGAGTTTTCACTTGTATCAATAAATTATCGTTATTGAGACATAAACAGATGTAAGTGAAGGCAATTCTCCAAGGTTTGTTCATACAGATGTGAATATTGATGATGTCTTCCTTTCGTCTTTCAATAGAATTTGCGCAAGAATGATGTGAGAAAGAATTGTGAACGTTCCGCACTTGAATTATCTGTTCATCTCCGAGAACGATTAAAAGTGCTGATAAGCATCTTCAAATTTGTCAAATCATTTTAATTTTTTTTATCCTTTAATTATGGAAGTTAAGAATTGACTTGTCAACAGTTTTGAAAGAAAATTCAATTTTCGAAAGATTTTTCTCGAGCTTTTCGCTTTGTGTGTTTGTATAATTGAAGTTTTTACTTAACCAGAGAAGAGTGTGTTGAATTGTAATTAAGAAAAGAATTAAACAAGGGGCAGTTAATGTCGTTGAATATAATAAAATTGAGTCAGTGTGAAGTGCGCAATTATTACTGTTTGAATATTTAACTTTATCGAAAACAGACACAGAATTAATCAAATTACAGATAATTAATTGTATATCAGTTCGATGACATTGTGTGAGTTTTTTTTACCAATAACACCTTCGATGAAGTGAAAACTGTTCTGACAGTCTTAAACTTCGCTTTCAAGATGTTAGAAAGATCTTGCCGACGTGTCTATAGGAAGTACAAAATACGAATTCGTAATGTGAGATATTTTAAAATTACTTTCTGAACTACAATTAAAAATATTTTAACCATCAACAGGTCAAAGAAATAAGACTTAAAAAAATTTTAAGCTTGATTTGTTTGATTCTTTTCACAATTTTCCTGCTTCAATTAGTGAATGATGAAAATGTTAATCTCGACGTTTCCCATCAGGCTTTCACTTACAAAGAACCATTCAAGTCTTACTTCAGATATAATCATAATAATTCAGAGTTGAAAGACTGGCATGATTACGTAACAATCGTCAGAGAATCGCAAAGAACTGGCGATGGAGAACAAGGAAAAGCTGTCATCGTTGCTGACGAATACAAAAACGAAAGTGAAAGTTTGTTTGAAATTTATCATCACAATGCATTTGTAAGTGAGAGAATTGCTAAAGATCGCTCAGTTCCAGACGTTCGACCTGAAGCTTGTAAACATTTTAAATATTTGTCAGAATTGCCGTCAGTTAGTGTGATTATTCCATTCAGAGATGAAGCATTCAGCACTTTACTTCGAACAGTTCACAGCGTGGTGACAAGATCACCGCCAGAATTATTAAAGGAAGTTATTCTTGCAAATGATGTCAGTGAGAATGAATATCTTTATGGTGGGCTTGAAGAATACGTTGAGGAACATTTTGGATCAAAAGTCAAAATTCGAGTGATGCCTGAACGATATGGCTTGATCAAAACACGATTAGCTGCAGCTCGTATTGCTAAAGGCGATGTTCTTGTGTTTCTTGATTGTCACACTGAAGCAAACGTTAATTGGTTGCCGCCATTGATTGAGCCAATTGCAAAGAATTATCGAATCGTTACTTGTCCATACATCGATGTCATTAATGCAAATACTTACGCATATGAAGGAAGAACAAGCGGAGCACGCGGAGGCTTCAGTTGGGATATGGTTTATGAGTTCATGTCAGTGAGACCTGGCGATCAATCAGACGAGGCTGATCCATATGAAAATCCGGTTTATAAAATAAAATCCTTCCTTTAAATTTTCAATTTAAATTTGCAATTTTAGATCATGATGGGCTGCGCTTTTGCGATATCTTCAAAGTTCTTCTGGGAACTTGGTGGTTATGATAACGCACTAGACATATGGGGTGGAGAGCAATACGAGTTGAGCTTCAAGACATGGCTTTGTGGTGGTAAACAATTTAATCTCAAAATTTAATTTAAGAACTTTTCTTTATATATTTTTCAATGTTGAAAGGAAAACTTTTGGATATTCCATGCTCACGTGTTGCGCATTTATATCGAAAGCGAGTTATAGAGAAAATCCCTAACAAATCTGGTTATAACACAAGGTAGAAATTTTACAATCTTATTATAAATAATTGACATTAAATGTTTAATTCAAATTAGAAATCACATGCGAGTTGCTGAGATTTGGATGGATGAATACAAAAATGTCTTCTATGGAAAAGATCCGCAAAGATTTGAAGGAATGGAATTTGGTGACATTTCTTACATGTTAAACATAAAAAAGAAACTCAAATGCAAGCCTTTCAAATACTTCTTGGAAGTTGTTGCGCCTGACATTGTTGATCGTTATCCGCCTTATGAACCACCGACATTTGCTTATGGAGCTGTAAGTATTAATAATTAACATAAATAATGAAATGTTTGATATTAGAATTTTTATTTTAGATTCAAAGCGTCTCACATTCAAATCTTTGCATTGATGTCATGAAAATTACTGCTTCGAATCCCGTAGAACTTTATCCTTGTTTTAAAAACTTAACTCATCCTTCTCGCCATCAAAGATTTCGTTTGAGACTTCATCGGGATATCTCAGTTGAAGCTTCGAGCAACTTTTGTCTTGATGTGGATAAATCAAATAATGTGATTCTCTACAATTGTTTCTTCCATCAAACTCATCCTCAATATTTTCGTTATGACATTGACACAAAACAAATTTATTGTGGTCATGTAACGAAAAACAATAAATGCATCGATTGTGACCCAATCAAGAAAACTGTGTTTGCTGCGCCTTGCAATAAAAATTCTCTGACACAGAAGTGGCATTGGGGTGTTACCAATGAAACAATGCTTAGAAATTGGCCTGACTATGGCAAACCATTGAAGGATGAAGGAGATATCAAATACTTTAAATTGAAAAAAGATAAATTAAAAGAAAATCTGATATAAAATGTAATAATGAAAGAAAATGATTTTTATTTTATTAAGCTACAGTTTTCTGCTGGGAAGTTAGCGTCAAAATTTGTAGTAAAATGTAATGGGGACGATGCATGGGGACAATGGGGAGCGAATCGCATTATTATATGATTTCAGCTCTGCACATTTTGACGCTAGCTTTTGACGCTAATTTCTGCGCAGTACAGTTTTCAACTTATTTAAAATTTGTCTAGATTAAGGAAGGTAAAATACTCGCCGAATTTTAAATGGCTAATAAAATTAAAACAAAAGGAGTTGGAGAATATTCATTCATTGGCGAATATCGATGATGTCTTCTTTCCATCACTAAAAAGAATTTGCGCAAAATTGATGAAGGAAGATTACGAACGTTCCACCCTTCAAATGTCTGCTCTGATCCGGATGAGAAATAAAACGTTGATTAGCATTCTCGACTTTTACCATCATTTCATTCGAAAACCTAATTTCCTTTAGCGACAAGAGTGGAGAATTCAATTTTCCAATCAAAACATTAACAGAAAGTGAATTTTTTTTTTGTTGCTCGTTTATGGCTTTAAAATTCTTTTCATATTCTTTTCATATTCTAAACGAAAGTTTTTGGTTGTTTACAGTTCAAAGTCTGCCTTCTCATCATTAAAAGAAAGTTAATGTTTATCTCACTCTCCCTAAAGTTTACCTGTTCAGCTTTCGTCACACAACTTTCGCACCGCATTTATATCCTTGCAATGACATTTCCTGTTTAATCTCCTTTATTAGCTTCACATGTAAAAAGAAATCTCTACGCAGGTATTCTGATTTTACGCTCACGCCATTGCAAATTCCATTACCACAAAAAACGTACAAGAGAAGAAATTATCTTTACAAATCTACGCTGCTTCCTTTATGGTTAAATTCTTAGTTAATCTGAATAATGTCATCTCGTTTACGTGTGAGAGTTTTGAATAAAAGGAAATTCAACGGAAATTGTTTTTCAAAATGTCACGTTCATTTCGCTCACACGGCACGGCCTTAAAGAGTTTTTTTAAATTGATGAGGGTGAATGTTTATCAACGATTTAATAAAAGACAACTCTTTGCATGTTGAAGTTAATTTCTAAAAGTTTTGAGTTTAAGCATTTAAAATTTAATTTCAGCCTCCAAGTTCACGATAAACTTTGCAACATCAAATATTGATTATTGATGTCTACTTCAGCTCAATTTCTTTTTAATTTTCTGTTATAAATCTTCTGTTTTTGACATAAAACTCCCTAATTGGCTTAATTTCCTAAAGCAAAACCACAAAACCTAATTAAAGTCTCACGATTTTGAAACTGCTTTGATATTTTCCCCGAAAAATTTCGCACGACTATTCGGATTAAATAACAAGAATTGGTTTCTTTTTCTCAAAAGGTCTTCGTTAGTTAAAGGCTAACAGCATGAAGAAAGGCAGCGTGTGTCCCTTTCAAAGACACTCCTAAACATTTTCAACGACCTTTTTATAGCAAACCCCAATGATTAATGAAGTCATTTTCGCAAGAAAACTTTCTCAATATAGGTGAGAAGCACTTAGGAAAAAGCACTCACACGGAAATCGTTTGGCATTATAAAATTATTCAAATCACATTCTGTCACTTTATGGGCTTCTCGTTAACTTCACAAAACTTTTCTGTCACCTTCTTTGGTGTTAAAAATATGAAATGATTTTTTATTCTTTTAGATCTACATGATGAATGCAAAATAATATTTCAGATCTTTTATGATGTTTTCGGTATTAACAGCTTTGCGTGGGTGGATGGAAAGAAATGTAAAAAGTTTGTCACTCTTGAACTTCATAAAAGTGCAATTTGTTTCGACAACAATTGTTTGAGTGAAAGTCTTAAAGATGACTCTGGGTTTAAGTTCGAAACATTAAATAAGGATGAGCTTGATTTTAATGCTGTTATTTTCATTCCTTCCTAAAAGATATCAACTTAAGCTCATAAGAGTTTTTATTCCTTCATCTTAAATTAACCCGAAAAGCCACAGCACTTTATATGATTTGAAAAATCGCTTTTCAAGTTGTGCGGTTTCATCATTAAAATATGTTTTCTCGGGTTTGTCGTAAATATAATGAATGCAAAAGTTTTAATTTATACTCGAAAGTCGTTTAAGTTTAGTTGTTGGCTTGGTGTTTGGGATTGTGTGGGAAATTCATGAAAATCGTAATAAAATGGCAATAACATATTTTCCGTATGAAAAACATTTTATATCTCCATGGTTTTTATTACTTTTCATTGCTTAATGTCTTTATTTGTTTCGTTGTGGGAGTCGAGAAGTGAAACAAATTTTACGTTTAACGTTGAGATTTGAGGAGAAACACGTAAAATTTAAGCTAATGAAGATGTAAGCGAAGAAAAGAAGCTTTTCATGGTTGAAAGGAAAGTAATTAGGATGAAGGAAAAGTCTCGATATGAAATCAAGCACGCACTCAGTTGAATGATGAAACGTTCTCTTATTTCTTCTTCTCTTTTTTTCCATAGATTCGCATTTTATCAAAGAAGAACATGTTGAACATTGACTTCTTGAAACGTGATGCTCTTAAAATTGAACAACTTCTGAAACGCTAATGACTTTCGTTAACTTTAAATACTTACTTACTTATGTAACATTACAACTTGTATTTTCCTTTGAGGCTTTTCTTAGGAATCTTCTGAATGAATAATCTTGAGAATACTTCGCGAAAGGAAAGATTCAAGATTGTAGAAATTTAAGAGATAAAACATTTCAAATTTCTAAAGCAAATTTTTATGGCGATGTTGACATAAAAATTATTTTTTTAACATGTCGGTTTTAATGGGAAAAAATAAGCAAAGAAATGCTTTGTACAAAAATTTACAACTGTTTTGACAATTAATTAAGCCCAATTCTCATCTGGCGAATCTTATCTCACATCATCTTTAATGATAAACTGATAAGAATGAACAAACATTTTAAGAACAAAAGCAAATTTGTTCTTTGTCGTTTTGCAGTCACTTTGAAATCAGATCTTGAGTGGAGTTAAATTAATTTTCATTTTCGCAATGATGTTTTATTCTGTCATCCTGCTGTGTACATGTTTTGTAAGCTTCAGTCAAGCTTGGTTTGAAAATTGTGACTTAAAGTATGATGTAACAGGATCGACTTCAAAGATTTTAGTAAATGCCAATTATCCTGGATATTATCCTTCGGGAAGCTCCTGTAAGTGGCAGATTTCAGCTCCAACAGGATATTTTGTTCAACTTCACTGCGTTTACAACTTAACGACTTATCCTACGGAATGTCCATCACAAAGACTTTACGTGTCAAGAGATGCTGACCCCAACTTGGATAATTCGGAATTTTTCTGCGGGTATTCTGAGTTTACAAAAGAGAGTTTTGGAAATGACATCACGTTCGGTTACACGTCAAACTTTGATGGAAACGGATGGTTTTACTGTGAAGCGAAAGCTGTGTTAAGAACTCACGAAAATTGTCATTGTGGTTGGAGTAGAACTGTAAGAAGTCAGAAAATTTTATCGTGATGGTTGAAGTAAGAGATTAATTACAGGGAAGAATCATCGGAGGTTCATATGCGCTTCCTAACGAATTCATTTCAATGGTTGGAATTGTTGACGTCTCAGATCAGAACAATGTAAATGGACCAATCTTCTGCGGTGGAGCGATAAGTGTGAAAAATTAATTCAACTTTTTATCACTAACAAATAGAATTATAAATCTTTTCTTATCTTAAGTTAGCGAGAATTTTGTTCTCACTGCGGCTCATTGTTTCAATGTTTATCGACCTGTATCAGTCATCTTCTCACTGGTTGGTGATCATGACATCTCTAGAGGCGATGACACTCCTTATGCTGAGCTTTATGAGACACAGAAAATTATCATTAACAACAATTACATTCCTGAATCTGATGATCAAAATAGCGACATTGCTTTGATTCAAACCGCACGTTCAATCAAATGGAAACGAACAATTGGACCAGCTTGCTTGCCTTATCCTTACTTTTCTTATGACACTTACTTCGACGGATATCCAGTAATTGGTGAATATTTCAATTAATTTCAGACTTTTTTTAATGATTGATTTAAAATATTTTCAGCGCTTGGATGGGGAAGCAGTGAGTGAATGAGTTTCAACTTAATTCTCTAAATAATTTCATAATTTTTATCAACCAGCGGAGTTTGCTGGACCTTCATCATCAATATTGAAGAAGACTTCTTTGTATGTTGTTGATAGCGATAGTTGCAATGACATTTATGGTGATATCAACAGTGGAAAAATTTGCACGCATGCTCAAGGTAAATAGAAAAGCTTGAGGTGAATGGCAAATTTCAAGACTTTCTTCATTAGGAACCGACACATGTCAAAGAGATTCCGGTGGAAGTTTATATTGGACTTACGGGGGAAATCAATTCACCATCGGCATTGTAAGTTATGGTTTGGACTGTGCATCTAAATATCCAGCTGTAAACACTCGAGTGACTAATTACATAACATGGATCGAACAGCAAGCGCCTGGAGCTTTCTTCTGTAAGAAATATTTTTTCTAGACTTTCATCTGAAGTCACAAAGAACAACAACAAAAAAATGAATGAAAGTTTGAAAACATTTAATAAGCCAATAAAATTTATTATGGAAATATGGTTTAGTGAAGCAGCGTGAAATAAAACTTACAACCTTTGTTGCATAAAATTTAAATGCATTCAGGAAGAGAGAGAAAAGAATTCTCCACCATTTCACTTTTAAATAATCATAAAAGAAAACGATGTCATAATTTTCAGAATCAAAAGACCATAAAATTGAACGTAAGTAGAAAGGATGAACAAGAAGAATATGGAAAACTAAATAATTCATGCGGGCTTACATGGAGTGATGTGGGTGGTTTGGAAGTGAATAAAACGATGAAGTTCAAATGGAATGATGACGAGGAATATTTCATTGTGATTCTATTTATCAGCAGGCATTTTGCTAGCTCACATTTTACTTTAAATAATTCATGAACCCTTTTTAACTAAAACTTTCAAAAACTTAGAATTTAAAAGATTTCAGAAGCTCTTTAATGACTGACTTGCCTCGCTTCACGTTTTTTATATGTCGCTGTGCTCGAATGGCTTCTTAACTTCTTTTCATTGACTTCCTTCTGCCATCATTCACCTGATATTCAGATTGAAGCTTTCAATTCATCATGCAGCACATAATTAATGATCAGTCACGTTTACGTTCACGTTCATCCAGTCTGAAGCAGGTTTCCTAGTGAAATGTTGCGTTAAAAGATTCAATAAACTGTTGAAAGTGATTAATTGCAGCATGCTTTCTGTCGGTCAAGACACACATCAAATCTTACGCAATATTTGTTTTATTGTTATGAGCTTCCGGTTTGTCTGCCAACGATTTCCTTCCATCGCATTGACTTTTGTTTATTTACTTATTCCACTCATATTTCATTTTGAAATGTTTTATTAGAAAGTTTAGCAGAAGCTTTCAAAGAAGTTCGAGAGATGAAAAAGTTTCAGGAAAGGAAAATCAATGTAAGAGCAGATTATCCGCTCAATTATGCTTCAAAGATATTTAAGTTTCATATTAATCTTAAGCATTTTCTTGAACATAAAATAAAGAATTTTAATGCCATGTGGCTCGTCTCTTCTTCTCTTCTGGTTTACAGATTGATTGTGGGCAAATATTTTAATCCTCTTCAGAACAGATTTTGAAATTTCCTATGCTGACTGAGAATTTCTATCGACGATGAAAAGAAAATTTAATAAAAAACCAAGTTTGACATCATGTCAAAAATATTGTTGCTGAATTGATGAAATTTGCAGACTATTTAGAAAGTTGAATCTGTTGGAAGTTTAATCTTCAAAGATAAAATGATTTTTTAATTACAAAATGCATTTCGATTCAATGAATATAAATTTCACACATGTTAATCTGTCTGAAAAACATTTTTACAAATGAATAACAAACTCAATTTTTCTCCCTTTCAAAACATTAAATTCCAATCTGAGTAAGTCAATAAGATTTTTTATCACTGAAAGTGAAATCTCAAAGTGAATAAAAGAAACTTGAATGCTTTAGAAAAAAAGATCTCAATAAAACAGCAGAACGAAAGAAGATTCATAAAATTTATAAAAAGTATCTCAGCAACAGCAAAAAAAGGAAAGGAAATGAAAAATTCTGAATAATTTCTTTAAGAGGGTGAAAGAGTCTGCAAGTGGAATCTGGGAGTGACAGTTGATAGATATCAAAGCATTAAAAATAGGAAAAGGCTCTAAACACACGACGTGAAGTGAATGAATGGAATAAAAGGAACAGAAAATCGTCAACAAGAAATTCCAATTAAAAAAGATGAAGAAAGATTTGCCGTGTGATAAGTGATAAAAAATTAAGGAAGGAAGGAAAACATTTGAACAACAAAGAAGCTTAAAAGCATTGAGCAACGAGCTGCTTAAAGTGACTGCCGTTTAGCAATCTTTCAAATACTACAAAACAGTGAAAGGAAATTTTCTGCCATTTCGCAGATCTTCCGTTCGATATTGAATTTAGGACACAAAAAATATTATTTTTTATGCTTCAAATCCGCTTTTAATATTTTTTCTTATTCATTGCGTGGGTGAAAAAAAAGCAACAAAAAATTTAATTAAAAAGTTTGGTGGCCTTCGAGGAAGAGAAAATAAAAATAAAAGAAAAATAAATTGCAAATCGATGAATAATAATTGTTGGAGCTTCGCACTCGTAATAATTTCGAGTGTTCTTCATGTTGCCGTGGAGGACGAGTTCTGAGTAAGTTGAGACGATGAAGAGACAAAAATTTAATCTTTAAAGCTTCATTCATTTCCGAGTTGTTTGTGTCGTAAACGAAATCAGCGAAAACTGAATAAATAAGCGATATCATCGCAATGATGATCATCATCGGTACATGACTCATGAGCTTTTCTCCACTTAAAGCACATAAAAGCAAGAGACAGCGACGAAAGCGAATGGTGAAGTTGTCAAGGATTTTTACGAACATTTTTATGAAACATTTTATGAATTGAATGTCATGAACTTTTTCGCGATCTGTTTTTACCTGTGACGACCTCGTTTATGGCAACTAAAAGAGAAAGAGAGAGAAAAGAATGTGTTTGAGGTAGACAACTTGATTAGATGAATGAATTTATTCGAAAAGATTTGTGTAAAAAGTTTCATGCGGTGATGAAATCAAACATTGATGACTTTAAAGTTCAATTTGAGCTTTGATATTGACGAAGAATAATTTCCAATTTCTTTATTATCATCACAGCACATAAAGCTGACTAGTTTATAATGACGTTTAGTAGCAAGTCGTTTAATGTCTGACACAAAACTTGCTACATCATAAAACGTCTCGTTAACATTTCCGACGTCTTTTTATGAATGAAAATTCATGAATTGATGATGTTTTATTGTAAAACGACATTTTCGTTCTCATATCTTGAAGAATTGAAGAATGATGCTTTATGAAATGACATAAAAATTAAAAAAAAATTGTTTGTTGCTTCGACAATAAACACGAAAGTAAAACTGAACCAGTTCAATTAAGTGCCAAAAATATTTTCGTGTATTCTTTTATTGATCAATTTCATAAGTATGAAAAAATATTTAAAGGACTTCATGATAAATTAAAATTTATTTGTCAAACACGAGATCGTGACGTATTTTAATATTTTATTGAATAAATAATAACTTCGTTAAATCGATGTCTGTTTAATAGCTTGCAAAGTGTAAAAGGAACTTCACCTTCCACTAGCTTTATCAGTTCTTTTCGTCACAACTTCCTTTGTGTTGGAATTTGAATTAAATTTTGAAAATGGACAGAATTTCAATCTACTGTGGAATACTTTTGTTCGCTTTTGGTAACAAATATTTTTTAATTGATATTATACCATTTTTAACTATTTTTCCTTTAGCTTTCATGTCATTTGAGATTGTCAGTGCTGGAGGTGGGATTTCGATTGCTCCAATTTGTGAGGATGACACACCGATACCATGTGAAAGCTTTGTTTGCCCCACTGGTACTTCAAAAATTTTGATTGGTGATCAGGGCTTGTGCTGTTGTGGTGTTTAAAATAAATTTTCTTTTTAAAGAATTTATTATTTTCATTTCTATCATGATTGGAAATATTGAAAATAAAATAAAGTTCATTGATTCATTGGCAAATTTTTTGTTTCATTTTATAACATTTAATTTGATGAATAATAATTACAATAGAATCTGTGACAGCTTAAACATTCCCTCAAACCTATTCATCATGCTTCTTCTCTAGTTTCGTTACTTTTCACAGAACACAGCGTGACAGAAGAAGAGAAAAGATTATTATTAGAAGAATACAACTTTCTACGTCTTGCAACAAAAACGATATCTAAACTAATTTAATGAAGCTCATAAATTCCTTTTCTACGATATTTACTATCGACTGTCTCACCTGTAAAATAGGTAATTCTTTTGGGATTCGTAAAAACTTTTGCATTTCTAGGGCGCATTGAATTCGCTCATTCATCATACATATATTATAACGATTTCTCATTGAATGAAACAATGGCATGTTAAGTACATTCGTGATGCTAATAAAAAT